CCATCTCAGCTTCCAATCTATTCCAAGAGTATATCTTTCGCCGAGATCCTACTTTAGCCTCGCGCAACATCAAGGGGAGGAAAATCGATGCGTTAACACAGTCATGCTATCGTCTCGCCATCAATTACTACAACCATGCCATCAGAACCATTAGCGACACAACCTCCAACGGCAACAAATCCCCGCAGCTGAACCTTGCATCAACTCTTTTACTAGTTCTTTTCGAATCGCAATCTGGCAGTGTCCACGGGAGTTTCGTCCATATGGATGGTGCCGATGCCATCGTTATATCTTCTCTGAAACAACTCTGCCAAACATCAACAGGGCGCCTTCTTCTCAAGAGCTGGGCCGACATGCGGGCACGCAAAAACAGACAGAAACTTGCATTTAGACCACTAGAGGTCGAATTCAGCAGAGCTTCCGATCCTCGACACAGAGTCTTGATGTCTCATGCTCTGCAATTTTCCTCGTTCATCGCACCTGCCCTTACAAATGCCATTTCGATGAGGGATCGGCTTGTCTTGCAAGTGTGCGTGGCTTGTGAAGGTATAGATGAGGGTCTTGTACTAAGCCATTTTCGACAATGGTACTCGCATGCCTTTGACTTCAAATACTCAGAGGAGCTCTCTTCTGAGGCTGGATGTGCTGTCACCATGAAGGAGTTGATGAGCGGCCTTGATGCTACTAAACAGGCACTGCGGGAATGGCATAGCAGCCTTGACGAATCACGGCTCCCTGTTTCCCAGGCATCTCTACATCCCGCACTTGATCAGAGCTTCGAGGACCGGCTGGTCTTGGTCGAAGATATCACACCACTACAGTTTCAGACTCCTGAAGCCGCGTTCGATTATTTGCGTTATGCTGTTAGCTTGGTCATTACATCGCCGCAAGTCCTGGGTATGTATGTTCTCGCAACGCGGCCAAGAGCGCCCAAAACACAGGTTCCCGCCGTTATTGCTCACCTGCTTTCGGTCATTGAAGGTCTTAACTCAGCGGAGCTTATCCGTTACGACGTGTATGATAGTGGGCCTCTCTGGGTCCTGGTCACTTTGGCGCTGTGCGTGCCAGAGTCTCACATTGTGTCTTGGATACTTGAGACCATCCTGCCAAGATATGAGAAGTACGCGCACCGTGGCTCGGTGCTTATAACTTTCATAAATGTGAAAGATATGCTGTTGTGCATACAGTCGCAATTGCAAAAGGGCATATTGCCACTACTATGCTCCTCAAGTTCTGTAATTACAGAAGACCTTATTTCCAGCCCAATAGCACGATTTGGGCAGAAGTTTGCTATTGTAGGCCGGAACACCTTGGGGTCTTTTAGCCGCATTGTTGTGTCAGCTTGATATTAGACTCCATTCAGAATTAGAGCAATATTGCAGCTAATATAATATTGGATTCAAAAGCCAGACACTGTCAGACTTATATATGTAAAGAGTTATACCTACTGCATCTCGGAGTTCGTGATTTCTTCTATGAGAAAGCTGAGTATTAAGGCCAGCCGCCTTGAAATATCCCAATGTCCATGTCTTCGCAGAATATCCGTGACGTTATAGAGTGTATTAGGACCCATCTGTTCCATTACATCAATGGATGATGACTCGCTTCGCTTCAATTCTGTAACCTCGACGTTTCTCTGAATTGCCAGCCCTCCGAACTTGATGTAACAATAGACGACAACGCCAGCATAGAAGAGGGACAGAGGCACATGGATAGCTGACTCATCGGCGATAGCCTGCATGCTATGTATTTTTATGATGAATGCGGCGTGCACAGCGCAGCGGAATCCATCGTTGCTTCGGACCCAGCGACTAACCTCATCCTCTTCTAACGCGGTGGGCGGCGTCTCGTCCCGACCTATGATCCGTTCAAGGAAGTCAAAATCTACGTAGAGCGCCATGAACGCTTGATGCCACAGACCCATCAAGCTAAACGGATCGTGGTTTAGGTCAACGACACTCCCGACGATTGCCTCGTGCCACAATGTGAGGCGTTGTCGAATTGTGGTTCCGTGATCCTCGAGTAAACCACGGCATCGTGCCTCGGAAATATGAGCATAGTATCCAGCGAGCTGTGCGTATGCATAAAAAGGACTTTTGCACACAGCCTGGCTCGGGGAACACACCGGAACAAGATTCTCGCCGTGACGTGCCGTCTGAGTCATGGACGTAACAGCAGCATGCCATTTTGAGGCCGTTGTGGCTGAGAATAATTCGGCAGAACAGCAAGTGGGTAGCCTATTGTGGTCATACCCCAGAAGGCCTTCGTGGTGGAAAATCTTGGTGAACTCTGAATCGTGTATCTGTAAAGCTAAGATAAGTCGCAACGTTTCCTCTCGCTGGGCCCAACGCCTCCAACTGCCCTCCATATCAGTCACGTCAATGGTGTCAGTGGATTCGAGCGCCTCTCGCACTCTGAAAAGCCCAGCTTGCCTTGCCCAAGCGATGATTGTACCATGGAATGATTCCGTCAAAAGCAGGTCGTTAGGTTGACCGGAAAGAATTCCGTAGGTCTGCCCTATTGTTGCAGCCTGGGCAACCGCCAACGCCTCGCATCCGCCTTTGTGGATATAACGTTCCCACTGGCCAGGTCAGAAAGGCTCATTGAACTATATATACAGGTTTGGATAATACGTACAGATGCCAAGATAGCCTTATTCAGCTTGGTGAAAATCGCTTTCGCACACCGTGCGGCCCCGTCTGATCCCACAAAAAGAGCTCCTATCGAGCAAATGGACAGGAGGACGAGTGCCCTTTCTGATGTCGGTCGGAATGACGCGGAGTGGATGATGGGAAATAGTGGTTGGAACTTGGAGAAGTAAAGCTTAACGCATAGATTCTAGGACAACAAAAACGATTAGCTGAATAGCCAAAGATGTTGTGAGCTGGCTGCCGAGTCATACGAGAAATTCGGTAGAAGGAAGAGCTATATCCTGCGGACTCGGTGCGAGCCGAGTTGATAAGGCAATACGGTACTCTTCATCCACTTCCTCTTGATTCATAAAAGAAACTGAGGGTTGTGGTATGCCTGGCTCAGGTACCGGCCGAGTGTACCATCGGCTATGGATAGCCTTGCAAACTTCCATCTGCCTTTTGATAGCACCTGAAGTCGCTGTGAGAGCATCCCCAGTAGTATTGTCTGTTGCTGAAAGAGATACACCCAAGAACTGGTCATTACTCAGGCCAGGGAGTTTGTTAGCCTCCATAATCGCCGACTCCATGGCTTCCAGATCGAATTGATCATCAAACCAAAGATAATCGGTGCCGCTAGATCCATGCAGCTGTGTACATGGAGAGCCAGGAAGATCTGTCAATGAGATGTCCAGGCAATTATCATAGGATTCTGCCGAGAATGCGGCACTATCCTGTGCTAGAGGCTCCGTGTCACTAATCAGTGATCCAGAAGTGCTGGGAGAGCATTCAGAACGTCTCAGATTGATAGATTCAGACTCTTCAATATTGCGCGATTCTACATCGGCATAATCGGTATTCATTGCATGTCGTTGGCCGACTGGAGGAGACTAGAAGTTAGTATATGCAGAAGCATTCAAACCCCAGAGCTGTGGACAGTCCTGGTTTTGTGAGGGTCATCTGGGCTAGGCTTACCTGCATTTTGTTTTCCACCTACGTGCATACCACGTCTAACGCATGAGTTTGTTCGCTCATGCCGCATGAGTGAGTCTCTGGAAGATTAAATAGTAAGTAGTCAAGCTTGAGGATGACAGGATGCGCCGAAGCGGCGGACAGTATACCTTCGGCTGTAAGCCTTGGGGCAATGAGTGCATACGAAAGGCTTTTGCTTTGTGTGTGATTGAGTATGTCTGACGAGATGCTCTTTCTTTTTAAACGCTTGACGGCATTGCGAGCAATGCCATATGCGGGCTTTGTCGCGTGCTGGTGGTCTCGGCTGGGTAGTAGAGGTCAGCGCCTGCGCACAGGGACTCTCATTGGACGCAACATCCATCATCGCAGGAACACTCCGACTGCATCACAGGTGAGCGTCGTGATGAAGGTAGACCCAGGTGATTTGCCGAAACTGGGAGGGATCTCAAGCGTGAGGGGAGAACCACGTGACGTAGCTTGTACCGCGCGTTACAGCCATAGGTCCTCAGGGCTCACTACTTTCCGCATCGACGAATCAGGGGTCATAGCGCGTATTCGTTCCTGCCCCGGCCTATTCATGGCATGGTCTTAATCTACCGGGGACATCTGGCCTTTAGATCCGAAGAAACCCAAGCCATTAGGATTGAAGGTAGGGAGTAGACACATGTAAGAGTCTATAGAAATAAGTATAAAGGTTTTTAAACTACAGAAATATTTATTTTAAAACATCTTATAAATAATTTTAATTTTAATTTTAATTTAAATGAGTTCTATTAACTTATATACTTTTTTGAATATTTTAGAGTTATTCTATATTATTCTGTATTGATTTTTAAAAAATTTTAATTCTTTAGTCGAGATAAATACATTCCTTTAGCACCAGCCTCTCTTATCAGTCTGTCGGCAAAGCCGAAAGCAAAGGGCGAGGCATACCGGATTCGCCATTGACCCTCGGCCTTCTGAAACGCTTTCCCCGCGGGCGGCTGGTTTTGCCGAAGAGGCAGTCCTGCTGTCTCGCTCCATACCCCGCAAAGGGGCTTTGCTAATGGTAGATCTTCAGTAGTATTATGACAATCCCCGCAATGGAAAGACAGAAGTCTAGGACATCCACATCGGTGACGCGGGGCCCATGAAAAATCCGGGGCAGCATCCCCGCAGCTAACGGAATGGCTAGGCGTGGAAGAACAGGAAAATGGGGCTTCGCAGCCTTGAGTTGATAATTCGAGAGTGATTCAAGGAAACTCAATTAAATGAAATTGCTTTTACATAAAGCCTTGTGGGTACCGCGCCTCTCAGTACCATTTCCCTGAATTGCAGACCCCTTGCTGTTGTACGGATACCGGTATTAGAATCGAACCCATTGTCTTGTATAATACAGCCTGGCACCCGCAGTACATCATGGCATCATCTTCACATTTTGATATTTCGCATGTCTCCAAACTTCTCATCCTCTTTTCACTTGCTGCTGGCGGACTGATACTCTATATGGTTGTCAAGTATGCCCTGCAGAGCCAACGCCCAAGCAAGTTCCCTCCTGGGCCACGAGCTCTTCCCATCATAGGAAACCTGCATCTCCTCTCCCGAACCAAGGCCTTTATCCAGTATTGATGCCCTTTTTATCGAACCATAAAATGAAGCCTAAGAACTAACTTATGTCCACTAGGTTTAGTGAATGGGGACGTACATATGGTACCATTATTGGTCTCAAGCTAGGTCCCCAAAATGTAGTCATCTTAAACGATCACAAACATGTGCAAGAGTAAGATATGGCGGGGCTGGTGAAGACGCAAAGAGAGCTGACTATATTCTTGTAAGACTTTTTGACAAAAGGGGCTCGATTTATTCTGATCGTCCGCCAAGTCACATCGCCAATGACATTATGTTCACGAACGACACGCACATCTTGTTTGTACCTTATGGAGACAGCTGGAGAAAATTGAGGAAAACACTTCAGGGACTCCTAAACATCAAAGCTGTCGATCGCTTACTTCCCATTCAGAACGCCGAGGCCACACAGATGATGCATCAGCTTCTTCAATCCCCGGATGACTGGTATGATCATGTCCGGAGATACTCAACATCCGTAATTCTCGCATCTGTATATGGCCTTAGAGGTCCAACCTTTGAACATCCCCGCGTCAAGTCGCTCTACCATGTCCAAGACCAACTTACCCAGATAGCTGAACTTGGTGCTACACCACCAGTTGATGTATTTCCAATACTCCAGTACTTGCCCGACTTCTTGTCACCTTGGCGAATATGGGCTCGAAACATTAGAAAAGAGCATCGGGCGCTCTATTTCAAACTGCTAAGCGAGACGCAAGAGTTAGTTGCCAAAAATAAGGCACCAGAAGATTCGTTCATGGTGCGACTGTTGAAAGAACAAGATATGAGTGGCCTTGACGACGAACATCTGGCATATATTGGAGGAAGCCTCGTAAGTGATTATCTTCTTCTTACAAAGCCACATATCAAAGGGCTTGTTGGCTAACGTGGTGCAATGATGGCAGATGGAAGCTGGCTCAGACACGACAGCGTCCACATTGCTCTCTTTCATTCTTGCCATGGCGCTTTTCCCTGAGTCTCTTACGAAATGTCAAGCAGAGGTGGACTCTATCTGTGGGGCTGGGAGATCACCAACTTTCGACGACTTCGAGTCACTCACATACCTGAAAGCTGCAATGACAGAGGTAAGGACTCAATCTATGTTAATCTCCTAGCATTGTATGCCAACCTAACCCGCCGAGCAGACTCTCCGCTGGAGACCCGTGGCCGCTGGAGGGATCCCGCATGCACTGACCCAAGATGACTACTACGAGGACTATTACCTACCAAAAGGGACCATTCTATTCGCGAATGCTTGGGCGATACACCGCTCGTCTGACTACGATGCTCCGGACCAGTTCTATCCTGACCGGTTCTTACAAAATAAGCTCGGGACTGCCCATGATTCTATTCATTCTGACAACAAGAGACGGCCAATTTATGGATTTGGTGCTGGGCGACGGGTATGCCCTGGTCAGAGGCTAGCAGAAAATTCATTGGTACCCACCAGCTCCAAAACGAATTAAAGAGACACTCAAAGAAGCTAATGAAATGAATAGCTCCTGAACATGGCAAAACTGGTTTGGGCGTTCGATATCAAGCCTGCTGCAGATAAGATTGACAGCTCGATAGAGACAGGGTATACTGGAGGTTTCCTTATTACACCAAAGAAATTCCCTCTATGTCTTACGCTGCGGTCAGCAGACAGAGAAAGAGTAATCAAAAGAGACTTCTTAAAGTGTTTAGAACTACTTAAGAAGTTTAAAGAGTAAGTTTATATATATAGTTAAATATAAAATAATTTTAAAATAAATCCTTTTTTATACTTATATTAAAATACTAAATATATATTATTTAAGTAAGTATGTAATTAATAAAAATCTTTCAATACTTATTTATTTTATATTTAAGATATAACTTAAGCTGTAATTGTAACTGGTATAACAGTATTTGTCTAATACTTCTTACTTAGCAAAGCTTGTAAGGAAGCCAGGTTGCTCGAAGTCCATCTCCTGTACCAGCTGCACATCTCCAACAAGAACGTTAAACCTACGGCCTACTTCCAAGTAAAGATTCTGCGATCGTTCAGCAAGCTCCCTAGATCCGCCACAGCGAACGATGCCTCGGGTATGCCACGTCGCCTGCATAGGCGCATTGCTGAGGGTGATGCCACCTGCGAGAGCAATCTGGGTCTCAACAAGGCTCAGGATACGGTCTTCGCTGAACCACCAGGCATATCCCCACTCAGCGAGAAGAAGGTCTAGTTTCTCTCAGTAAATACTCCAGAGCTTTATCACGTCGGGAAAGGATCATACGAGCATCTGTATGGTTCTTCTTCAAAATTTCGTTGTTGGATCGAGCCGCATCTGGTGACCAGAGGGTTGCAAAGTGGTCCGCTGCCCGCTTCTTTCGGCGCTCGAGTGCTTCTGCGTCACCCTGTTCTTCGGTTCTATAAGACTCTTTAAGCAGGGTGACCCTAACACGAAGTAGAGATTTGCTCTCACCTTGGTCCAAACATATCCACAACACCCGGCTTAAATGCCCCAAACAGGGGAATAAGCGATCCCAATGACCTCGGATTTCCAATCATAAGGGTAAGCTTGAGTATAACCTCCTTTATGCGTCTCTGCACGATCAATTCCTTTTCTACAGGCAGATCCTTCGTGGCAATGCGGTACAGATCTGCCTGGCGTGCACCGGCATTTGCTCCGGCCAGTGCTGCGGCCTAGGGGACTAATCAGCGGCTCGTTGGCATACTGAGAGCTTTGGTAGAACTTACTGCAGCAAGGTACCATGTTTGATCAGTTATGTCAAGGTCAGATTCTGCCTGACGGTATTTGTCCAAGAAATCCAGTGATGCTGCCATCTCTCTATTGCTTTGGTCTCTTTGTCTGTTGGTGGTTCTAGTACGAGATTGAAAGCTTTCTAACAAACTGCAGCACTTCTTGCATCCTTATATACAAAAAATGTGGATATCTCCACTGGTTTGAGGGGTAAGAGAGCTTACGGACCGAACTTTTTAGACGGTATCAGAGCTGTATGCAAAAGCCGAGCCGTTCTGTTACTAGGGTTCCATTGTTCCCTTCCTGCTGGCAGCGGATAATTGAGAATACACAAAAGGATCGCCAGCAATCTAGGATTATCCACTTTAGAGGCCGAAATAGCACGAGTCGCGAAGCCGAGCCGGTAACCAGAGACACTAGAGGCTTTGCCTGGTTTGTGCCTTGAACAATTCATCACGAAACGGAAACTGAGCAGCACCCGCAAAGCCGCGGAAGACGCGGTTCTTCGGTTTTCCAATGCTATAGTAGGCTTCTGATAGGTTTAAGGACGCTCTAGGCACTCGGGGCCCACGCCGGTGTCTGAGCTTGGGTTTTGTCCTCGGCTTCGCGCTTCGGCATATCCGACAGTCTAAGCCAGACGTCCTCGTCAGTCCGGACAACTATACAATAAAGCTAGGCATAATTCAAGACTCTTTTGGTTGAAAAAAACGCAAATCACTTCTGTACTCTGTTGTGTCTTCGCTGCTTTATCATCACGTCAGCTATGCCATCATCCAAGCTTGCGCCTGTAAGGCGTATTGTCATCGGCCACGACAACAACGCGCACTCGACCATCAAGTATGATAGCCAGCTCATGTCGGAGCATCTGACCATGGGCGTCGAAGTCAAAACTCTTTGGATAACCGACACATTTCCAGCCAACACAAATATTGTGGGAGACCCAACGGAATCGCACTCTGGCTTTATGGCTCCAGGTTCTCTCATCAGAGTCGTGGACTTTCCTCCGCAATCGCAAGGTGCAACACATCGAACAGTGTCCTTGGACTATATTATTCTGGTCAAAGGTAGCCTTGTGCATTGGACGGACGATGGCAGTACTACCACGGTCAATGAAGGAGACGTTCTGGTTCAACAAGGAACAATGCACCGTTGGGATAACAACACGGATGAGTGGGCTCGGATCGTGTGTATTATTCTTCCAGCAACTGAGCCAGTGATTAATGGCCAAAAGCTGGGGGATGACTCTCACTCAATTGGGCTTTCGTGACCATACTTTACCTAGAAATACGTGGATTTAGACAAGTCTTGGTTATTCAGTTGCAATTTCAAGATTAATTAGATCAATATGTTAGTGCTCATCATTTTGTTGCCACAGCTGCACAACAGATCTGAGATCCTTCAATTCTATCCAACTATTGACTCTAGCCCCCGATACCATTTTGGAATGCTTTCATTAACAATGCGCCAGGACTGGTTCTCTTCTTAATTCCGTGAACCTTGCCCATAACAAAGTTGTGTCTCCTGCTCGACGAATTTTCATCAATACCCGGCCTCCTTTATGAAATAGATAGTAATTTACGTTTTTGAGTGAACTGAAATAAAAGAGCGGCATACTGGTGTAATAGAGAGCTGTCTTGTGAGTAATGACTATCTCTTAGTTTTCTTCGCTTTCCTCATTATTAAATCTACATTCAAAACCCCAGAGTAGCATACTTCTTATTGCCTTATGCAGTGATATCGGTAATAGGTCATTCGATTGATATGAAGGTTGAGTTGGCCAATGCCTAGGTTGTAACAAGGGGGATGGTAAGGTAGCTAGCTGTAGAACCACCAACGTGGACATGGTGTGTGCCAAAATTCTCCATGCTTTCGTTGCCACGAAGACTAGGGAATTCAGCCAGTGTCATGCTATGGCCAGAAATCTTCAGCATAAGCCCCTCGCCCCCTTCAAAGGCCATTCCAGTCTGCCAAAGCCCAATATCCAACCTGACGATAGTACCTGGTTTGACTTTGCGCTGCTCAGTGTAGTCATGCTCAGGAAAATTGAGGATAGATGTTTCAGAGTCGAGTGCCCTGTGGCTGGCTCTGAGGTACCCACTGGGTCCCAGGTAGACAAGAGAGTTGATCCTCTCAACATCGTTATCTTGGATCCCCGAGTCCTTTGACGGGATATTGATATTTTGAAGGACTTTTCCATTCCGATCAATCTTCCGTAGCTGAACACAGACATCAAAGTCATCATGCTCTAGACACGACATGTACAAGGTTGCTTGCGCATTCCCGACAAGATAAACGGCATCTCTAAAAGTGTACTCAAACTTCAGTTCCTCAGGGTCGCTGTCCATTTGCATGAACGGAACATCGGACTTGTAAGAAACTTGTGACTCTGCCGATGGGGGGACATTCAAAAGCATTTCGTTCGGGCACAGGTATAGTTGCTCATTCTTGGTGGCCGGGATTGGCCAAGCTGGAAAGACATGGTTGATGATTGGCTCCTTCAACGCGAAGTCAGTCAAGATAATGGAGAGTAGAAACAATTAGTAAAAGATGCATTACCTTGTTGTAGCGTAAGATAGAGACACGAACTCTTGGAGTCAGTTCCCAGCTGTTATCCTTGCCTTTAGTGTAGCGATCCAGGAACTGCTGGAGTTCGTCATTCGTCTCTTGTTGGTAAAGATCATGCCACTCTTGAGTAGCATGCACTCGGAGCCTAGTGGAAGGGTTTAGTAAGAGCAATCTGGACCGTTGTCTGTAAGAACAATCCTACCATTTGTGCTTTGTTGGCGCCTCAGTGTAGCCTCTGAATGACCCAAAGGTGTGTAATCCGGTCGAGTAACTAGCAACTGCGTATATTGGCACATTAATGTTGCTGACATTGGCTCTTTTGTCTGCCCAGTAGTCATTCAGTAAGGAATTCTTTTCAATCATTGACACAAGGTTCTCCTGTTTGCCTCTCCCTAGGTACCGCTCTATTAGCAAAGCTGATAGCCTGAGGCGATGGGGACAACAAACCAAAGTTTTGCTGAGCTAGGAATCGAAGAAACGCTTTGCATGGTACACCACCGCGGCAGATAATTTCCCTATAAATATCGCTGGCCCCCTCGAACGGCGCGATGCACTTCAGATGGGGGGGTCTCTCAGCAGCAATAAACCACTGAGAGATGCCCAGCCACGAATTGCCGACGAATGCAACGGCTTCGTTACACCATGGAAGCCGCGCAAGTTCCTCAACAACATCGTATCCATCCTTTCCCTCGGCTATCCCCCACCAGCTAATTGGAATCAATACAAAAGGTGATAAAGAATTGGTGTATATGCTTCTTACAAGAGGTCGCCTTCGGAGTCCCAAGAACCCCTAATGTCCACATTGACGACTGCGTAGCCACGAGCAGTCCATTCGGCAGGATCTGGGGCCTCGAACTTTTCATAGCCGGAGAGACGGCTTTTAGGCACGCCTACTCTTCCTGGCACCAAATCAAGGCAAAAAAAGCCTGTGATTAGGTTAGCCGCATGATTACCCATAGTGATTACTAGCGTCAAAATTCCTATTACCTCTTCCGGTCTTTCCGTAGGGACTCCAGGCCACAAGAGCAGGTACTTTCTCAGCGTCATTGGCGGGACGGAAAATATCCGCCCTGATATGCACGCCATCTCTTAGAGTAAATTGAACATCTTTCTCAAATACTGTATCAGTTTGAAAGGGGGCTGATTCTTGGTTCTTTCTGTGTCCCTTTTTAAGCACAGTAACGCTGTGATGGGCATTGTCGTACTTGTCATCTTGCTCGGGGGGCGGAAGAGACGACTGTAGTACATCCACAGATCCGACCTTGAGCGGCATTGCGCTTGGAACCTTAGATTATCAAGAAAGAGAGGTAAAATTGCTGGAAACTATGGCGAGTGGTGATTCCTAATCCTTTCGGGGGGATATTAGATAGGGCTTCGGCAAGGTATAGATGAGCATTTCTTGGCCTATTAACTTATGGGTGATCCTGGCTAATAACTTGGTGATCCTCTTGTGAATGAACATTGGTTAGTTCACTTCCTCGGCGTTAAGTTCGCTTCCGCTCCGTTTTGCGGGGAAAATAAACTTCGAGGCGGAGATTCTTGGTATTCCGGAGGCGACCCTCAAAGGCCGACTCTCGGGCTTTGCATTCGGCTTTTCCGGACCAATTAGGCTAAAGACTTCCATTCCCCACAGTGCTTTCTATCGGAGTGGTCAGAAGACAGGCGAAGAATGTGGATGAAGCACACCCATCCACCCACTACTGCTTACAGTACTATAAGTTAGCACTTTGTACTCACGACTACCCTAGAATACACCATGTACTCGTGGATCCAACAACAATACAGAGCAAATATATCACATCACCCCAACACTGCATTGAAATATTCATACATGGTCAACATTATCACAAATATCTACATTTTCTGATACTGATTCTTTCACCAAGGTCAACAGACAGCCACGACAATCCCTCCCAATGGCTCTCAAATACATCATTAAAAATGCGACCGTGCTCTCCATCGACGAGAGCATAGGAAACGTCGCTGACTGTGACGTTCTGATTGAGCATGGTTTTATCAAAGCCGTGGGCCCAAATTTGAAGCATTCTGATCACATCGTCATCGACGGGACGGATGCTATTGTGTCCCCGGGCTTCATCGACACTCACCGTCACACGTGGCAAACTCAACTCAGGACTATCTGCACCGACTTTGTCCTCTCTGACTATTTGCTCAACGTGCGACACATCTACGGATCCTGTTACTCAGCCGAGGATGCCTATATGGGGAACTACTGCGGAGCTCTCGAATCCATCGACAATGGCATCACTTATCTCATTGACCACTCACATATCATGAACAGCCCCGCTCACGCGGATGCAGCTATCAAAGGGCTGCGCGACGCAAAGATCAGAGGAACCTTTTGTTATGGTTTCTACCCAAATCCAGCCTGGGCGGGTTCCAACGTAGATGCTGAAAGGGAAAAGGATGTTGAGTGGCGGTTGAAAGATGCTGCACGGGTTCGTCAAGAGCACTTTCCCGTCAACGGACCCGATGAGCTTCTACGATTCGGAGTCGCGCCGTCTGAGGCAGAGGCAATTCCTTTCCAACAGCTTCTGCACGAGTTCGAGGCGGCAAGATCCATCGGCGCTGCCATAATTACAGCGCACATCGCCCTGGGCAAGTTTGACAGTGGCCACATGACAACTAAGAGGTTTGGGGAGTTGGACCTATTGGGCTCGGACATACTGTGGAGCCACGCCAATTCTCTTACCGACGAGGAGCTGCAGCTTGTCAAGAAGTACGACTTGGGTCTTTCTGCGACTCCAGAGATCGAGATGCAGATGGGCGTTGGCTATCCTATCGCATACAAGGCGAAAGAGCGCGGTGTCAGAGTCGGGCTCGGCGTCGATATCACTTCCAACTGTCCCGGTGACATGTTTCAACAGATGCGACTTGTTCTCCAGGCCCAACGATACGAGGAGCAAAAAAAGTCCCCTTTCCCGCTTCCTATGGCACGACCGTGTGCTGAAGTTCTTGAGATGGCGACTATTGGAGGCGCCCGAGCTGTCGGCCTAGAAAGCCTGATTGGGAGCATCACTCCAGGTAAACGGGCGGACCTCATCATGACCAAGTGCGATTCTACGAGGCTTACCCCAGTTCATGATCCTGTGGCTGCCTTGGTTAACTATGCAAATGGTTCCGATATCGATACGGTCATGGTGAATGGAGAAATCCTCAAGTCTGGTGGCAAGTTAGTAAACGTGGAATGGCCAAAGATTCGCGCAGAAATACGCAAATCAGCGGCGAAAATCATGGATATGTCGAAACTGGCCCCAGAGGAGGAAGTGGAAGAAGCACGTAATGCCATGATGAGGGCAATGCAGTAAGAAAAGGATTTAGCTCCAGCAAGAGTCCCAGACGCTGGAACGACTCATTCAAAATCTTACGTGTGAGGCGCCTGATATGAGCCATCAGCTGAGGGGCTTGCAAAGACAGCCGTTGTACCATAGCTCGAATTAATATATCACCATATAGTAACATCATTTGAAGACGACACAGTCGAGCCTAATTGATCGCGATGCCCACATCAGTGTCTCCCTCAGAAGTACTCTGATGATTCGTGAACAACGGATCATCAAGGTGTTCGAACATCGAAAAGTCGAATGGGAATGACTCGGGACCCAGGTATTCAGTGTCGGCTTGACTTAATGGGATGTTTAGGACAGAGTCTATCAAGACTGTGCTGACATTCTGCTGGACTACATTTCATCAATAAGTAGAAATTATCCAATAGAGCAGGAAATACCGCACCTATATGGTCGCAGAGCCGAGCTATGTGCCGCAGAAAGCTCGAGGCTCTCTCCACAGCAGGATGGTCAGGCACTAACTTGCAGAACGCCTGTCTGGCGAGGTCGACGTATATCCAGGCTTTGAAGGCGGCCTGCGATCCTCCAAAAGCAGCATCCCTTGTCTGCAGGCATATCAAAGCGAAGCATGTCAGTGCCGCGTTGTAAACTGAAATACTGTCAGTATTTGAGTTTTCTTTGACAAACATGTCACGCTCACCAATCTGGATCAATGTCCACCACATTCCTGGACCAGGTTTTCCGCCTTCAAACGCGTTGATCGTGGCGACAATAGCTTCGGCCGAATCGATACTTGTTTCAAGACTAGGCCTGGAGAACATAAGAATCTGTCGTCTAGACGTTGGGGTTATGTCGTTAGAGTTGGCTAATTTCCCCACAGCCGATAGCACAAGTACAAGAGCTGGCCTATGTAGCATAAGGCGGACGTTGTGATACCGCAAACCTAGGACCCTGTATAAATTGTTTTGGGAATTAGCTTCATCCTCTGGGGCAGCTGAGGAGTCTATGATCGCTGCCCGCCATTCCTCCGGTAATGAATCAAGCCATTCGTCAAGCTTTTGGCTCATACAGGCAATGGATGCTATAATATCCATGAATCGAGATAGGTCGAGAGGCTTCGGGCTCTGGAAATATTCTGTGTTAACAATCTGTCCTAGGATTGCGTACAGCTTGCTGCGAAACGGGTCAGCGAGCCCTCAATATTGAGTAATGTGGTCAAGATGTGCTCACAAAGATAGGTAAAAGAATGTTGAACTTTTTTCTTCGGGCCAGTTATCCGATGGTGAAGGTCTTGGAGCAGAAGCTGGTAATGGTTGGTTTACGAAGTAATCAGCTCGTTGTACATAAGGCCCCAATAGAGACGGACGGCCAAAATGCATTGAAAAGGCGCTACACCATGTGTTAGCCTTGCTGTAAGACTAAGCTGCCATGGGGCATCACCTATCCATGAACAAACACAGTTGCCAAGTTCGTCTTTTGGCCTCTCTTTCAGCGGCAAAATCCTTGGCTAGGTAATCCACATGGTGGAGGCCCTGGCGGAGGGCCTTTTGGACGGCCATGGAATATGTCGACCATGAATCCGAACACCGATCAGTACTTTGCAAATACTGGCTCATTAACAGGTAGGACTGGACTGTGATTATAAAGGCAAAAGTAACGCCGTAAGTCAGTCAACGCGACACTCATCTTCACCGTGGATGCAGGTCTTACCTTGTTCAAGATTGCCACATGCTAAGTCATCCTTTGATAACAAACTTTTGGACCGTTCAAAGAAAAGTCTCGAAATGAAAAATCTCCTTGTAGTCGGCGTTATCGAATCAATACTCGACGCTGTAGCTATTGCTAGGACCATATCGAGCAACGCCAGCTTAGATGCGTCCGGGGGGAGTGTTGACTCGTAGATGGGATCAACATGAGTGTGGAAAAATGTAGCTTTGTCGAGAAATGGGTTCATCGAACCATAGTCCCGGAAGAAAAGCTCGACCAGGGACCTGGTTGCATGATCTGGGGGAAGGACATAAAGACCCTCATTATCAGTATGTTTAGCTACTGGGACTGACTCCATGTGAAACACTGCTGCTGGAGGGGAGCATTCTGGCTTGATGAACTCTGAAATCTTGCTGTCCATGCCACGGAAGGAAGACAGGGTCGTGGAATCAACTTCTCCCAGTATCTGCCTAAGATAGAAAATGTTGGAAGAAGGACCTATGATTGGATTAGATCATGGGACTTTGCACGACACCACCATATCACGCATCGGGGAATAGACAGACCGTAGAACTCTTCCCCAGTGCTACCTATGCCATCTTGAGCACTACTGGAACATAGATACTGAACTTGTGTAAAGTCTTCAGGCAGGTCCTGGATAACTAGTTCTGGAGTGTCGGATTCATCGGATTCTTCTGCCGTCGAACATGATGTCTTTCGAAGTCGTTGGACAGTATCTTCCAAAGCCTTGAGCCGCTGCTCAAGTATCAGGGTGCTGCTCGTTACGATTAGCACTTCCGCCAACCACTAGTTGTTTCTTTCCGCAAATACTTGTCTGGAATAGCCTCTTGTTGTTCGCGATGAGGTGTTCGATATTCGCAACGCGCATCGGTATCCTGGCAATGGAAGCACGAAGGATACCCTCCATCGCACTGATGGAACATTTTAGCGCCAAGATTAATGGGTAGGGTAGGGTTAAACAGAGCACTGACTTTGACTTTCCTTGCGCGACAACGGTTGCAGGCAAGGATTGTTCGTTGCCTTTTAGGTGCAGGCATATCTGTACCACTTTGATCTCGCTTTCGAGCAAGATTTGATTCCAACGAGCCACTGCCATTGTTCCGTGGGGATGGTTGCATGTCCATTATGTGCGAGTGATAGAGTTGTGCGATGGTGCTTTTGAAACTCCGTGGAGTAACTGTGGGAGGGCATAACACGACCTTATTGATAAAGGAACAATGGGAACCCCGCATTTGCATCAGGAGGTCTGTCTGACCGGCATCGAAACCGCGAAATCCCTGCAGCAGTGAAACTAACGACATTCAGGTGAGTCAGTAGGTAGCGGTAGCGTACCTACAAGCCTATTACTTAGTGCTCCAACCCCGCACCGGAGATTTTCAATTATCCGGATGTTGTGGCACCACAATACATTCGCCCGTGGATGGCGGATCAATTGAGTCGCTGTCAATGGGTCAATCTACGTTATTGAAAGGCTTAGTCTAGCTTAAGCACAAGACGCACCTACTTGCGCACAACATCTTGAAAAGGAAAGAAGTCGCAAGCAAAGGGTGTCTCCTTGGGGTCGCAGGTATCCAAGCTCTCTCTGCACACTAGCTCTTCTCTTTTCTTCAAGAAACAGCCGCGTTGGGAGCAGCATCTCCATCTGTACTTGAGCTTCTGCAGTTTTATCTTCTATCATGCGTCCATTATGGGGCAGGGGAAAAATATGAGGACCGGTGAGGGTGCAACGTGTCTCTGTGTTCTTGTCTCGGGTGGCTCTGATATATCTTTCGTGGCTTGGTCAAGCTATACTCCCTGTAACCAGACACGAACTGTATTTGAAACATCCTAAACTCACCCAGTCATCTATATCAATGAGTCTAGTTCCCGTAGTGGTTAAAGCTGTCTTTATAATAGTGTCTACATAGTATCAAACTTAACCATGTTTACCAGTGTCCCGATCTTCTCGATCTGAATGTCAATTCTGCCTCCGTTCTCCAGGCTTATACGAGGCTTCCGAAAATATCCAATGCCAGCGGGCGTTCCTGTAAGTATAATGGAGCCAGACTCCAGCGTTGTTCCTCTGGAAAGATATGAAACTTGCTTCGCCACTGAAAAGATCATATTGTTTGTATTTCCATTCTGCACAGTCTGGCCATCATAGACAGCTTTTATACCAAGCGATTGGGGATCTTGAATCGCTGAAGGTGCAACAAGTACAGGGCCTATCGGCTTATTAATAAGACTGAACCAAGTTGGTCAAAGGTGACCAATAACCGGCTTGAAAACATACCGATTGGGCAACTGTTGTCAAGTCCTTTAGAGAAAGACCACTGTTTCACTGCCAGCTGGAGATTCCGGGCCGAAACGTCGTTGGCCGCTGTATATCCCAAGACATAGTCCAAAGCTCTATGCTCTGGAATATCTCGGCCAGTCTTTCCAATCACAACACAAAGCTCTGCTTCGTAATCGCTCGATCCGTCCTGAGCGCATTTTGGGATAGTGATTGCCGCCGGAAAAGGGTCGGCGAGTGCAGTGCGCGGCTTAGTAAAAACCTCTAGGTCACTGGGAATTGAGAAACCGCCTTCCTTTTTTTTATATCAGTAATTTTGTCTATGTATTCGCGCAAAATATGAAGGGAGGGCTAGCTCACATACCTTTGCATGGTCCTTATAATTCAGCCCAAGACATCTGATATAGTTGCACTGCCCTCGTTCGACCGGTGCGAGTAACTTTGCCAATTTGTCAGTATTGATACGTTCTATTCGTCTTGTTTATTTTTCAGTCCGTAACTTACCTGGTCTACAGTAAGCACATGGTCTGTGATGGTGGCGTTATACATGTCTCCGTTGAGTAAGAATGCCTTGACCTCAACACCATTCACAGAGTCGAGCCCGATATCCCGAGTGGGATCGACCAACTGGCCCAGGTGAATCTGGCCATCCTCTTTGGCTCTAAACCGAATCAAATGGGTCCAAGATGACATGTTGGTGTTTATATGGTGGGTGAAAAAGACTTAGAAGGGCTGGTTTATGCCCTCGCTGATGATATAGCAATGAACTTGAGAGAATCTTGTAATTAATAACACTAACGCCGCCATGATATTTAGTTAGATACTGTTGAAATTACCAAGTCCTCGCCCACTAACAATGCCCCGCGAACGGCCCCGCAAGTTCCCCACAACTTCCCCCACAACTTCCCCACAAAGTCGAACTTGTCCTGCAAAAACGAGGGCCTAGCGGGGATCCTCGTCGAGTCCAAGACATGGGTTGCAGAGGAGATTGAATATATTAGGGAACTGTTGATAGCCCTAGAAAGGTAGGTGTGAGCGTAGACACCTGAGAGACTAAGAAAAATGGTGGACGACGACCTCCAAGAGACAACTGACATCATTATATGCGGCTGTGGGCCAACCGGTGCCATGCTTTCAGTGCTATTGAGTCAATACTCCATCCCCCATGTCATCCTCGAAAAAGACATGGAGGTTAATGGTGATCCGCGGGGAATCGCACTTGACGAAGACGGTATACGCTACCTCCAGGCATGCGGCATCTACGACAAGATATTCACAGAAATTGGGCAATGTAAGTTTGTTCATTGTATTTTCTGCGTTTTGCTTTTTGACACCAGCGACCTTAGGTATGGAGAATTTTAGATTTATCGGAAAGAATTACACAGACCTGAATAGGGAGCCTTTCTTAATAATGAACTATGGCACAGTAAGTGAGAAACTCTTCGAGGGTGACGCGCTACGTTACTAACCTGACTTTTACCTGTAGACCGAGGGGGGTACCGGCCATCCAGGCTTCATATGCCACAAACAGCCATGCATTGAGCAGAACCTTAGGTCTCAGATTACAGCCCTCGGTACAGCCAAGTTACGCTTGGGTTCAACAGTCAACTCTATTACAGAGGACAAAGATTGGGTCTATGCCCGTTATACCAACAAATCGAATCAAACTGGCATTGTTCGGGCAAGATTTCTTGTCGGGGCAGATGGTAAGACAGGATTCACACGTAAGCAATACCTTGAGCCCAAGGGAGTTACCATGGACCAAGCTTTAGATGTGCCATATGAGCAAGACTGGGTAGCCCTCAACTGGGAAATCTCTCTCCCAACGCCATCAACGCACCCTGACTTTCCCCTCTGGGAAAAAGGATATACACCACAGCAAGTCTACGATGAATTCTTTCCTCGGGACTTTCGGTTCTTGTGCAATCCTGTCCGTGCTGCAGTGTGCGGCCGCTTTGGGCTCATTAGTGATAGATTGTGGCGTTTCGAGTTTGTCGTCCTCCTTGGGGAGAACCCAATCGAGATGGCCAAAGAAGATCAGGTTGCTGCAATTGTCCACCCTTATATCACCCACTTGGGCAGCCGATATGGTATCAATGACAAAAGAATCACCTATCCGTTAGACTGTATAAAAGTTCTTCGATGTCGGCCATTTCGGTTCTCGGCAAGAAGTTGCAACAAATGGTCTCTTGGTCGGGTGATGCTATGCGGGGATGCTGCCCATGTATTTCCGCCCTTTGGTGGCCAGGGAATTGCTTCAGGCTTCCGTGATGCCATATCACTTGCTTGGAGGTTGCGTATAGCCGTTGATGGATCGTCTAAGCCCCATGTGTTGGGCTTTCAGAAGCTATTACAAGGATGGTACTCGGAACGAAAACAACAACTCGACAAGTCACTCCGGTCAACTGTCGAGAACGGAGAATACGTCACCCAGTCCAACACATTCAAAGCTTTCCTACGCGATTGCTACTTCTATTTGGCACAACTAGTCCCCAGCTGGAAACACTGGTTACAGCTAGGGAACCGGAGGGATGGGATGACCAAGTACCAGTGGAAGCCGGGGACTGGGATGGCCTTTTTGCCTAGCCTTGGCGGAGGTGTCATGTTCCCTCAGGTTTACGCAGCGTCTACCACTCATTCCTTGCCACGTCAACCTGTTTTCTTTACCGACGATATTATCTTCAACCGGCAGAAGAAGGGGATTTTCCAAGTTGTTGTAATCTTGCAGCTAGGCGGGAGTATAGATGGCATCGACGCCGCCTTGGATGGCCTCCAAGAGCTTTCGGCGGGGGCCTTGCAAGATAGAGAAGCCACATGGTTCTTGGACAGCACTGACTCACCTCCCTCCCATCTGAAGGGTCCGTCTATTTATCGACTTGCTAGTGCCGAGGAGTTCGCTCGGGAGCCAAGACTATGTGCAGGGCGACCAGAGCCCGTAGGATATGATGCACACAGGATGTCAAAAGAAGTGGGTGGAAAGACATTTGTCATTTTACGTCCCGATAGGTTTGTTTTCGCGGCTTGCGATACCAGATCAGAACTATTGTACGCGGCAGAAATGCTCCGGTATCTTGTTACAACTGGCTGGGTGGCTATTTAATATTGTTATGGCTCTCAGAGCTGAAGACAGTTTTGATATTTGCTTTGTTCTAGATTCGTGATATGAAGACTGCAGTAGGCTTGAGAATCGAGTTACACTTTTCATTGACTGAGTTAGGGTTCATGTTTCAATGACTTTCCCTCCATACTGTAGCACCCGGCGGGGGCTTCTGCACTGATAGAACCATTATCACCCAAAGGCGAACACGTTATTTGCAGAGATAAACCTCTGAACATTTCTCCACACGTTCTTCCTGCAGACAGAAGCAATGCAGTACACCAAAGGCGACGTCCCCGCAAGCACGAAAGAGGGCCCCGCAAGCTGCGGGAGACAGAATAAGAGCCGGTTGGTTGCCCCGCATAGGCTGTATACCGGGTGGCATTCACATCGGCATCGGGTACAAACCTAACGTATTTCCCCACCACCCTATACACCCCTAGACCCCATATACCATAATGCCATTAATGCATTAATATAATAAGCTACTTTACTCCTTTTTATAGAATTTAAATTAAATGCGTTTTTTATTATCAATAGAAATAAGTTTAAAGTTATCAATTTATAGATTTTTCAACCTACATAAAGGATTTTTTTATTAAATTTGTACCTATTATATTCATAACTATAAAATAGGGTTTAAGTTGAAAAGTCTATCAAGAAAGCTAAAAAGATACCTTACTGTATAGACTTAAAAATTATATTAGCTATAATTTAGTTTATTACAGGCTATATAGCTCTGTATTTAGGGTATTATTTATATTACAGAAGGTACATTCTAATCAGCATATAGGTATGTGGGGTTTAGGGATGTGTGGGGTAGCGGGGAAATACATTAAGATATCATAATATAAAATACAACCTTCTAAAACGCTTCCTCTTAGAGACAATAACAACACATTGGCCAATATATCATATCTTCAAAACACAGCAGCGACTTTCCCGACAAGATCACAATGACTAGCGTAAGTATCTTATGACTGTGGGGCTGTTGAACCGCCACCGCTGCTAACAACTGGCTACCTACCAGACTCCAACTATCTTGAAATTCAATACTGGCGCCTCGGTGCTGGATGTTGAGGCCAATGACACCAGTGGACAGACTACTACCGCCGAGTGGCAGCAGAAACACGGCATCAGCCCGTTGGATCAGATCCGCACGACCAGGCTGGTGCATATGCGTTACCAGCACCCAGACCTTGAAAACATCCGCACTTTTCTCTACGACTTTGGCATGATTACGGCCAAGGAGACCGAGGACGCCATTTGGTTCCGAGGCTATGGGGTCGACCAGTATGTCTACTATGCGCAGAAGGGGCCTAAACAATTCCTCGGCGGGACATTCGAGGTCGAGACCTATGATGATCTTGTCAAAGCCTCTAAGATCGAGGGAGCTAGTGAAATTCAACAGATTGCTGATGCACCAGGAGGCGGCTCGCTGGTGACTGTCTACGACCCCGAAGGCTTGCCAATAAATTTCATCCACGGACAGGAACCAGCCGAAGTGGGAAAGATGCCCGACAGGCTTATAGTCAACTTTGAAGATGAGAAGCCACGCAAACGAAGATTCCAGCGGTTTAGCGAGGGACCAGCAGCGGTGCACAAGGTCAGATGACATAAATATTTACTCAAATCCAGCTGTTTGCACCAGTACTGATAGGGAAAACAGCTTGGTCATTACGGACTCTGCGTCCAGGATTTTGGTAAGCAGCTTGACTGGTATACTCGAAATTTCAACTTTGTACCCACCGATATGCTTTACGTCCAAGACAGTAGCAACAGCAGACGCGAGGTAGCACTCTTCGCTCACATAGACAGAGGAAACGACTGCGTCGACCATCATACAATCTTCCTGAGTACCATTCCAGCAGGTCAGAAATCTCATGTGCATCACTGCTCCTTCGAAGTTCATGATTTTGATACCCAGAAGCTAGGCCATGAGTGGCTAGCGAAAAAAGGGTACAAAAGCGTTTGGGGTGTTGGACGTCATATCTTGGGAAGCCAGATTTTTGACTATTGGTGGGATACTACGGGGAACATGATTGAGCATTATGCAGACGGCGACTTGGTTAATAAGGATACGCCAGTTTCTTATTTACCGGCAGGAAATGAGAGCCTAGCAGTCTGGGGCCCAGAAGTGCCAGATGGTTTTCTTGATTAAGAAAACCTCCAAGAATAGGATAGCATTGGTAACTATTCTACTTTTGATAGCTATGTAATTCAGGTTACTTCGCTTGTGGCCTGCGCTATGTGACATCAAAAGCCCGCTTTTGATGATCAATCCGCATTTGCCCCCAGGGTTTGGCCTAGGATTGCGGAGACTTGGTCAACGGAGGACAATAACTGGATTTGCCTGTGTGCAAGTGTGAGTGGCGATGGAAAATAGTGTGATTCTTCACTTAGCCTCATAGCTGCATCTATTCTTCGGATGCACGGCGGTTTTAGGCTTAGCCGTTTGTGATGTAAGTTTTCTGGGATCCTGCAGATCATTCCCGTCAATCTAAAACGGGGATCGATATTAAGCCGCGCTTTGGCAGAGAGGAGATGCCTCTGACAGTCCTCTCACTTTTTAAAAAGATCACCAGCTTCAATATATAATCCAATAAAGCCGCTATATCCGGCAGGATATTTTCTCTTATTTTCTGTGAATATACAGATGTTCAGCTTCTCTAAATATCTCAGGTTTAGGACTCCTGTGTAGGATTCGCCACAATAGTTCCAAGCCAATATTCATCCTGATCAGGGTGGTCCGTCCACTCATGATCTTCGTCTTCCACATACAACCTCACAATCCTTCCATCAGGGTCTTCACAAGCCATGACCCAGCCCTTTATCCCTGTGAATATCTTACTCCTCTTCACCGCATGCCCATCCAGCCACATCCCCCACTCTTCCAGGTCTGCACGAGTACCCACGCCCCATGTAATAGGGTCCCAACCCTTCTGCGCTTCAGCTTGTCCAGGCACATGGCGTAGCTCGATGATGAGCTTTGTGGGCTCGTGCGTGAGCATGATGGCAAAGAGCTTGTGGTCTGGCGTGTAATGGTTGTATTGCAGGATGCGCGTCATAGGAAAGATAGTTTCGTAAAACCTTCCAGTCTCGAGGATGTCGTGGCAGGGTAGCTTTAGATGATTGATGCCACTAAAAGATTGTGGCTTTTTTGGCTGCAGTTGCGCCATTGCGGCAGCTAAAGGTAAGATTGAATGCTGTTTGTTCAAGTTGGATGAGCTGAATCTGCTGCTTCACCCATTGCTCTTATATAATTCCCAAGCCGATACTTCCGAAAGGTGTTCAGATCGGCAAGGGTAACATGATTGCCACTCGCGTCAATCAATAAGGCCGAACCCGACTTACCGAGCTTTTGTTTTAGTGCGCTGACGATGACATCAGAAAGCCTCTTATTCAATCTAAGTTCTGGGTGCTGATCTGAGGTCCTAGCTAATGGCCTTGTCGCAAATATCACATCTCTTGTAACTTTAAGATTATACTAGCGTTTTATCATTCTCACTGGTTTTGACAATGATCTGTGGATATGCTATGTGGATAATAAAGACTAGAAATATTGTTCATAGCCTTAAGAAGATTGTTCAAATAGACGTCTAGCGAACGGGGGCGATACCATCCGCGATGATTCAGTAAACCTCAACATTTAGGGGTTCCATATCACCTATCTGAGCTTTGATACAGTCTCCTTTCACCAGCCATCTATTTCCATGCGATCTAGCAGATCCAGAAGGCGTTCCAGTCATCACCATATCTCCAGGGTCCAGAGGCAGTATCTGGCTCATCTCAGCAATGCATTCTGCTGGGCTCCGAATCATCTCGCTGGTGGACCCATCCATCATCAAATCACCGTTAAGCCACAATTTGACAGGCACATTATCCAAATTTCCAATGCACTCCTTAGGCCAAAAGAGGGGCCCGCAAGGTTTCATTCCAGGCTGTGCTTTGCCACGTATGATGTCCACCAAGCCTTGGGGACCAGTCTGGAAGAGATCGCGACAGCTGAGATCAAGGCCAATAGTGTATCCAGCGATAGCTTCTGCAGCCTGCTCTTGAGTCGCGTTTCTGAGCCCTTTTCCCATCACAACTGTCAACTCGCACTCCCAGTCAAACTGGTTGGTCGTCGGTGGAAGAGGAACTGTCTTTCCGGGTCCCACGATCGAGCTGGTAGGCGGACAACTGAAGAACGGCATAGGGTCCCATTTCTCCACAGACAGACCCATCTCTTTCAGATGACCCGAATAATTGGCCCCGACTGCAAGAAGCTTGTTGGGGTAGCGGATTGGCGTATGAAAATTTGCGTCTTTGAGCTGAATTCGGTCTGTTACGACTTGTGCATCTCCGTTGACTACACGTGATGCAAACTGTTGCAGCGAAGAGTACGCCCGAGACCAATCCTGGAGCAGGTCACAGACGGTGCGACCGTGGAAAGACTCATCAAGGGATGACAGTGGGTACACCCATTGCTTGATTACAACTGCAGCCTCGAGGCTTTCATCTGCGTTGCGAATAGTAGCGAGTCCAAATGATACTCTGTTGGGGGACATTTCTGGTAGGTATTGAAGCAGCTTGCTCTGTCGGTAGGCAGATAATGTATTGACTTAAGTTGATTTGGCACTACAGCCGAACGTGATGATGGCCTGGCCTTTATGTGAGTGCAACTACGTCTGCTGTGAGACGAACATAGTCAGCCCTACCTGGGTAGTCACAACCACCAATAGCTGTAGCGCATTTGCCTGACGTCATAATGAAGCATTATATCTGGTCAACATTGCTTCGATCCTAGGTCTTGCAGTATCGTGTTGAAGCCTGAACGGGAACGTCGGAGTCGGTATCGTCGGCATTCCAGCGATGTGTTGTTGGTTCTATTACCAAGATGTTGGTAGGAGCCAGAGGCTGGAAAGGTGATCGACAAAAGTGATTGTCGATCACTTTTACGCACGCATGACCTCTTTAGGTCTAGGTCTCACATCGGATGCATGGCCTTTTTAGGTTTACTGGAGGGACAGGAAGACGCTAACCTCTACAGTACTAGGCCATGAGTTTTGACCTGTGTTGAGGACGATTGAGGCCTTCCGTGGGGGCTGCGAGTAGGGATATAAAGCATCCATAGGAATTGAGTTCAAACTATCGATCTACACATCTCTCTCATCACGCGGACACATTCATCAAAATGACACATTCCGTTGATTTCGACAACCCAGGCAAGACTGTCCTCAAGCCAGTAAAATTAGCACACGTGGTACTTCGTACCAACAACTTCCTCCGTCTCTCATCCTACTATCAGACCTTTCTCCAAGCCCAAATCAATTTTGAAAATGATTTCATGCATCTCCTTACCTACGATGATGAACATCACCGCATTGGTATAGTCAACATGGACATCGCCAACAAAGACCCAAAGACATGCGGTCTTGAGCACATCGCCTTCTCCTACTCATCCCTCACCGACCTCGCCATGTCCTATCTTCAGCGGAAGGAAAATGGTATTGAGCCATTTTGGTGCATCAATCATGGCCCTACTACCAGTGTGTACTATCATGATCCTGATGGGAATACGCTTGAGTTGCAGGTTGAGAATTTTGATACGTTGGAGGAAGCGGCGGAGTATATGAAGTCAGAGGCCTATTTGACGAATCCGCTGGGTGTAGATTTTGATATGATGGATTTGATCAAGAGGATTAGAAGCGGGGAGAGTGAGAAGAGTCTGAAAGCGAGGCCGGCGAGCGGGCCACGAAGCTTAGATACTGTCCCAGCTTAGGTAACGGGTCTGTTGAGTTATTGGCAGGCCAAAGCAATTTGTTGTCGAATCCAATTCTCAAGTCTGTACGTAAAGTCTTTGTTTCTAGCCGATACACGTTTATTCTGCTGTAGAGCCCAGCATACCGCACGAGTATAGCAGAGAGTGATCCTTTCCTGAGTGAGATAGAGTGAGCCACAATCATCAAGCTGGATAGAGGCCAATAACGAGGTGCTCGACTCAACAAGGATATCTGCTAAGTTTGATGTAGCCTTTTGATGTATCTCAGTTTCCCGATCCAAATCGAGTTGGTCCAGAGACATGTTTCTCATCGCAAAAAGAGCGTCAATCAATGCCGACCTCAAGGCTAGTTGTCCATGGTAGAAAAACGACATTTGATGCGCAATGAATGAGTCCTCGTAAATCAAAATGTAGTCTGTAAATGGCAAAGAACTCGCTATCAACGCCTGAAGAACCTCGCTATGATCAGCAAGGCGGATACGTTTTGGCGTCCAGGATGCAGGAAGGCAGGCCTTCCAATGCTCATACTCGTCCAATTTCATTTGGATTTGGTAAATCAAATGTGACAACTCTACCAAGTGAAAGGAACCGAGATCTTGGGATATTGAGAGGGTTTGTTGAGCTTCAAGTTGCATCTTGCTGAGACTATATCTTGGGGTGGATAGATCCAGCATATTGACACAGGCCAACTGTACTGGTAAAGGTTCGAGTCCGAGGCCGAGTTGTCTCACTTGCAAACGATGGTTTGCCATTCGATAGATGGCAAGTCCAACGTCGGATTCGATCTGCTCAGCTCCTCTGACTGCAAGCAAATACTCGATCGCATTGTTGTGAAGTTTAAGGGGCTCTTCTCTGACCATGAAAACAACCTAGAGTTGTTCGTTAATTTCCCAATGCCATGTTCTATTCAGTTGACGATATATTTACCTCAAACATGTCGATAGTCATGATCGCCATCAACGTAGCATCATCTGCGACGAGGGTATGGTGCAGAATCGCGTTTCTAATAGACGCCAGTGCAGCACCGTATCTCGAAAATGCCATCTGCTTCAGGTTTCCATTGCAAATCATGAACTTCCCTGCATTGGCTAACGCAAAAGCCTCAACTGCAAGGTTCAGCGCAGAGGCTGGAGCAGCCTTGGCTTTCATCTCGGGTAGTAAATCAAGGTATCCAGGATTCTTCAGCTTTGCGCAAGGTCTCGAGACCCATTCCGCGTAGAATTTATCCAGTATCCTGTCCTCCAGCTTGAAAAGAACGGGACTGGGAATGGCCAGCCAAGCTTTTTGGTTAGCTGGATTCCGTTCTTTGGCAAGAGAAGGAAGGGGGCTCACAAGTTTGCAGAGCGTCGACGTTCAGGACGCATAAAGTATCGACAGAATTGGTATCATAGAGGCAAAGCCGATTGGTCGTATGTTTTATACCACGACGTGCTCGCTCAGAATTGACTTTGGCCGTTGCATTTTGATCACGAAACATGAAGTCAGAATCCGACGCATATCCGCCACAAACGATTTCACGCCTCGAGCAGAGGCCACATGTCGGTCTCTTAAGGTCGCACTATGATAGTCGTCAGCCAGGATGGTTCAATGTAGACCCAGTGGTTCTCACCTTTGTCTTGGCGGTTCTGCAAGGTAAACAAGCGCGGGAAGTAACCATCATGCAGCTTCACATGCGGAGTAATCCAAGCCAATACTTCCAGTGAAGTCTTATTAACTTATTTAGGTCAGAGAGATTATTGCGATTACCTCTAATTGTGGGAAAGGTCACAAGTTTCTCTGCTGAAGAATCCATCGGCATTCGCGGTACTGAGTCTCCCCGCTCCAAATGTCAGCCTTGCGCCTCTAGTCTGCGCCTTGATGTCATAACCGCGCGCGTAAGCTAGAAGGCTACTACAATTAGGGATTTTAGGTTGACATTAAGTAAAGGCCTATACAGAGAGTAAATACTATAACTATTAGAGAGTCTCCTCAGCAAATATATCTAATCGAGGATTTAAGCTTATATTTACACTTGCTGCAGTCCAGTTCTACCAGAAGTGTTGCTGCTCGCAGCCCTTAGCCTTTATTTTGGGGCTAAAGCTTCTTTTAAGCCCTCTCGCATCACCTCGTCACAACCGTTGGCACCACCACCGGACAGCGAAACCGAAGTGGTGTACTCGTAGTCTATGATTACCACAACCTCGGCTTTCAAACCCGATGACGCCCTGTTGTTGTGGGCCCGAGATCCAATTACGGTGAGAAGGCCTCTGATGCCTAGACTTAAATCCCATCTATCCCTTTAAAGGTCGAAATGTATAGGCGCCCTATTGTTTATTGAGTTATATTATAGCATATATGTAGAGATACAAGCTGAAGGTTATATTGTTATGTATACCTCTTAGTTTGTTTTCTTTATAATCCCTTAAGGCTTATAGTAAGATATAATAGTTATTATAAAAGCTTATAAATAAAAGCTTATATAAAGAGAAAAAAAGTAATATATCTTTATTTATTATTTATATTTATATCTTAAAGATTAACTTTATAGATTGCAGTTTTACAATATAACTCTTAAAAGAGTTCTTTTTTTTTCTTCAGAAATATATTTAAAGTTCTTTTTATCTAAGATATATACTTATTATTAAATAGGCTTACAAAGCTAATTTAAGCTATTATACTAAATAGCTAATATATTGCCTTAATTAATTTTAATAAAAGTATCATTTTAAGTTAATAGACCCTACAGCTAATAGCTTATGTAGCGTTTCTTTCTCTACGCTCTGCCCGCAACTTCGCGCCGTATCGACCCCACCGAGTTGCGCGCCTCTACGTTGAAACCTGATGGCTTTGAACTCAACAACGGCCGATTAGACCTCGGACAGACTCCAGTGGCGTTCAGTGAGTGGAAGCAGCTTGGTGTAAATTTGCCCCATCTACCGAACATGCGCCCCTATCGTCCCCAACGCATTTGCGATCAACTGATTGCCCGCGACCTGAGTGGAATCCTCCAGTTAGATCCACTCAAGATTCTTTACGCCACCGACCCTACAGACATGCAGTCGTGGTATACACAAAACCCTGCCCAGGCCTGTTTTGTCGCGGTAAGCGGTTACCTTGTGCTATGGACTTCCATGGCTGCAAGCATCTCTCTGTACATCTAACTCTGATTAAGTAAGTACGCTCTGGTGTTTCATTCTTCTGCTTCGAAACCGGCCCCTGTACCGATGAACATGCTTTGCATTTCGGTGCACAATTCCTCTATATATTAACAAGTTGATGATCATTCTATTCCCTTTTATGGCAATGGTGTTAACAGTGTAAGAAGCGGTATTTCGCACCACTAACCCACCACAACCGCTGCGGACGCAGTGATTGCTGCTTACCTACTGTCCCTCATGCCAAATAAATGCACATCAACTCAGTTAAATAACCAGTTCTACTGATGCATGATTCATGTACGGCAATAGCAGCGATTGTCCAGCCATTTATTCACAACTACATCTCTAGTATCTTAGTATTTGCGACATAGACATGTTGTATACTTTCGCACTCACATAGACAAAAGAAATCTCAACCGATATCCTTTCTCATAAACTCCAAGAATCCAAAATCATTTATTCTCTAGTCTCCATGATCCACATCTCCTTCATAACTCTATATCCACGTATATGAGTCCAAAGACAACCTAATCTCGTATTGCATGCCACATATAATCCTGTACCTCTTGTAAATAACTTATAATACCCCGATAGAGTAAGTCTCTCTCCCATCCTAGACCTAATAGACTCTAGGATAACTATTGTATGTCAAGCTATACGCTCTAGATACCCGAAGTGCTTAGTAGTCGTAGAACTCAATTAATAGTGGTGAGAGATAAGAAACTCAGCAAACAGACTTAACAAAGCCTTGCTGAATGAATTGGGGGTAAGTGCATCAATGAGATCCCATTCCTTTCGCACCCAGTATTCAATATCCTCATTACACTTATCCAAGGTACCAGAGGACTTAAGAGCATCGACAAGAGCCGGTACATTGTGGCCTTGCCAGTAGCCAAACCACTTTTCACGGTCGGGGTGATCCAGTGTGAACATCTTAGCAACTGGATAGGTAATCTTGTGGTTGTAGAGATCGTCTGCTGCACTTTTACCTTTGACCTTGCCAAGGACATCCAAGACGTCATCTCGAATTTGAAAAGCGATACCTAAACAAATATTAATAAAATTTCCTTTCTGATATGGATAACGGCAAGGAAGATCTTACCCAAGTTTTGAACGTAAGCCCCAAGTGCTTCAATTTGCTTGGGAGTTCCTCCTCCAACAATTGCCCCGACAAAACCGCAAAAGGATGCGGGAATACCGCTCTTGCATCGATGCAGATTGATAACCCGAGCCAGCATTCTCTCAGCATCCTGGATACTTGGGAGATTGTCCATACTCATTCCCGCAATGTCAAGTCCTTGGCCGGCGTGGCCGACTCGCATCATCTCAAAATACATTGCGTAGATGTCCCGACGCTGTGAGTCAGACAGGGCTTCGTTGTCTCGAATAATGGTCTCTCCCCAGAAATACATAGCGCATCCGGCATTAATAGCAGTCGGGGCCCCGATGACCTTGTGCACACAAGGTCCTCCGCGACGCGTGTCGCTATCATCCTCGATATCGTCAATGATCAACGAAGCCGTATGGATCAGCTCCGGCAAAACCAGAAAGGATCTCCAGTCGTTCGCGTTACCACCTACTATTCCAACCGCAGCACCAAAAAGCATGGGTCGCCTGCGCACGCGTCATGTCAGCCATATCTTCAGCTCTCTCGGAGAGGGTCCAGCAGTGGAGGAAACTCACCAGTTCTTGCCGCCTCTGTCATTTAGCATATAGAATCCATCAACGATGTTCTGCTGAATCTTCTCTTCTTCGTAAGGATCAAAGTGCACTCTGGTAATATGTTTGAAGTGACCTGGACGAATCGAAGAGGGGATCCAGGCTTCCAGTTCTTGTCGAACGACTGAGGTCGCATTTTCCAAGATCTGCTCCATGGACTTAGACATATCTGTCCCTTTCACGAGCTCCATAGCCCCAAATCCGTTGATGGGTGCGCCTTGCCAAGTACCTGAAAATCGAACGGCTCCCTCGTAGAAAGAGGGCATGCGCAACCAAGTCTGGAATTCTTGGTTCTGTGTGACCGACACAATCTCCAGGTTAACATTAAGGCTGGGTATCCCAAGTTTCCAGCAGGTGTCAAAGTTTTGGAAAGTATGTCCTGATTCCCAAGGCTCGCTCGATATAAGTGTAAATTCAGTCAGCTGGTGGCGCTGACCAAATTCGTCGTAGTACAGAACATATTGCTCAAGAACTTCCTTGCCATCAAGTACCTGTGAGTAATTTGATTAGAAAAGCAAGGTAATTAGGATAGATAGACAAACCTGAGTAATGCACACCTCCATATCTTTGACTATTGAGACCAGGGAGATCCAGTTCCAGCCGTATCCCAAGGCTGCCGGTTGCTCTTTAGTTTCCTCCCCTGCTAAAGAATATTCGTGGTCTACCCAGGCTGTACCGGTCACCGCTTCCCCCTTGTACACCCCAGCACCTAGGGTCCGGGGCCAGCTGTAATAGAACATCGCTCCCTACGAATAAGTCAGTCTTATATATTCCGAGACCATTACAGGAAGGTACATACGGTCTTGTCGTTGAGTGTCTCTCCGTCGTGGCCATGAAGCATGACGGGCTTTGTTGCGTGGACCTGAATCTCAAGCTCGATTTCAGGAACCTTGAGGTGGTATGAGCCGTTTTCGCCAAATAGAATCGCACCGTTGTCCCATTCAAGATGCAATGCTGGCCCAACTCCCTTGTCATGTTGATGGACCTGCACAGGGCTTGATAGCAGATCGTCGGGGATAAATAAGGGCACATCTTTGCAATTAGGCCCAGCGTCAAGCATACTTTGGATTGCTTTGCTGAGGCCAGTATGTTTACCTTGCAGCGACTTCAAAAGATGTTTGGGTAGGTTGGAGGGTACCTTTGAATAGGTGTTATACTTTCTCGTCTTCCAGTCTAGGGTCGCATAAACGACAGCCCAGTTATGCTCCCTTGTCTTCGAATCTAACTCGATGTCGGCCGCTTGACGGAAAAGACAAACAATAACAGTATGGATAGGATCCCCAGATTTGTTGGTAGACATAGCACCATGGAGATGTGTCTGTATGTAGTACCATTCTGTCTTGGCACCAAGTTGTGGTTTGTCGGTAATTCGGGGATCCATATATCGGTCGGGGCAGTCAGTTACATCCCGTCCAAAGGTATCACTATCGGGTAGAATGGTAACGGAGTGGATGGGAGTGACTTTTGTCTCAGCTTTATGTTTCTGCGGAACGAACGGAAGGCTATCATGGCCAGAGGATACAGTAGTCGCGGCATTGGACATGGTTTAAGACAGTAGGTAGTGATAATAGCTTTGAATGAAAAGGAAGAGTGGGTAAAGAATAAGGATAACTTGAACAAAAAGAATGGTTGATTACATGGAAATATATATGTGCCATTGCTGCATATAAGTTGGCGCCCTTGTTTGTTTCGTTTGCGCGTTGCTGCGTAAGGTAACATGACATCAGGAATGTTGTAAGTCTTGGTGCAGCTTAACATGACCAGTAAGGTGTGATCTATTCAGCCCTTGCATAGACATAAATGCCTCATAAACCGAGTGTCTTATCATCCGGAACAAGAGGTTGGTCGCTTGCAGTTTCTCATTTCTCGAAATGGGGTGATAAGGCACGGCATTGTATGCAGGAGTCATGTCACATATCTATTGAAGGATATGCCAGCTAGAACCTTAGACAATTGTCTTAGTTGTAACCTTGAGGGATGGCGCGCGTCAGCTACGGCCGCCCTAGCAGGGCGACAGGGCGTCTACAGTATAATGGGGAAAACAATGTGGTTCATATGCTTAGTATGTCATAGACGATCCCTGCGCAGAGGGGTAATTCTGGATCTGGATGAGCACTCCAGTCAGGTAGATGTAGATAAATCATGACCTAGCTTTCATATTTGGGAGTGTGACTGGGGTGAGAAGTACGGAAAGAAAGGTCTCGGATGACAATGAGGCAAGGTGTGCGATGTGCGGCTGCTCATGGCCAAGTTCAAATCTAAGTAACACTTCTATGGAGGAGAACAGTTAGGCCGAGCGAGATTTACCAGATGGGTTGCGTGACAAAAGCTTTTATTTTGTACTTCTTCAAACCGGTGCATGGCCGAAAGAGGCGTGATAGAAGTGACCCGCTCCCGTAGATATACTTGTACTTGAACTGACTGCGGTACGGTACTTGCTACAAAGATTGACACACAATAATTTTCCGCCCCCTTTCACCCTCCAAATCAAGAAAAGAAAATAAAAGACCCCACCCGCCCCACGGTCCACGGTCCACCGCCCTACTAAATCATCTTAGTATGAGGGCTGAGCGGATTGACCGGCTTCGATATGATGTTTTCAAATAACGATACACTAATGGATGTTAGTCGCAGAGGCTCTTTACGATAAGGCTTAGTATAGTGCTCACATCAATACCGCAAACAACAGCCTTGCAGAGACCGTCGATGAGATCGCCACGTCCAGTGCAGAAGTCAATGCAGGCCTTGCAGGAGCCCTTGGGCTCAGTATCGCCGCTGCCACCGCCATTGCCGTTACCGTTGCCACCACCGTTGCTGCCCCCAGGGTTGGTAATACCAACACTTACGTTGTTGTTGTTGGTGTTGGTGTTGTTGTTGCTACTGTCACTACCACTGGTAGCATTGTTGTCATTGGTGTTCGTGCCATTGTTGCTGGCATTGGCGCCAGCTTCAGACGCCCCCTTGCCTGAAGGTTCGCAACCGGCACACTGCGGCTCCGGCTGCGGCACAGGGGTGGCCGCAATCATGGCAGCAAAGACGGTAAGGATGACCATAGAAGCCTTCATTTTGATGCTGGCAGTGTCTTTTTAGGTAATACAAAGGAGTGAGTAGAAACAATGGAAGTCTTCTGAGTGAAAGAGGAGGACGATAAAGGATTAAGCTGTGAAGTGATAAGACTGAGAAACTTGATTGCCTTAAAGAAATTATTTTAACCGGCCATAATCACTCTCTTAAATATTCATTTTAGAGGCTAAGGACAATATTCCTGTTGACTGAGAGAGTTATTTTTTAAAAGGAGTTATTTACTTTCAACACGGTCAATTCATGCTCAGCATTCCAATCCAAATAGCCTTTCAGCCCAGTAAAGTATGTTTCAGCTTCACCTTGATTGCTTTCCAATATGTCTTTTGTCTAGGGATACTATCCTCGACACAGTCAGCGCCTTGTATGGTATGGATCTGCCACAGGAAAGGCTGTATTAAGGAACTCTCACTAGTAACCCCGCATCTTGTTATGTCTTTGCTTAATTAATAGATTCCTATTGACTCTAGGAGAAACATGATAAATTCCAGTTCCGGAATAAGAAATAGAGTTCTCATCCTACTGTTCTCGCAACCGAAGGGCAACGGTTACTCGGCCGTTCTTACGGGTTTAAGCTCATGTTCCGAGAGTAACCAATACCGATGTTAGCTATGTGATCGTGCCGCACAGAAGACTACTGCTTCTCTTATGGCATGGTAAATATGAACTTCAGCTTTGCAAGGATGTCCAAGCATTCCCGAGAACGAAACCAGCTCACTCATGGAGTGTGCCGTATGCCAATTACCTGTTTTGATAGCTTGAAGTGTAAACTTACGACTAATTGCATTCGTTCCATCAGTTCATCAATTATCGTGCTCTGGCAGTCACTCCTACATCCTGTATATATATGTTCAAAATAACCCTGGATATGAGAGCGTTTATGACTACCACAATAACTGATTTACCTACCAACTATCATTCCATCATTCACTATGAGCAAACTCTTACTACTCTTTTCGGCTCTGTCAATGGTAGCTTGCCAGATGCTAGCCCTTGAGATGGAGGTCTGCCCTGTTCCAGTTGTTTTGCAGCCAATTGTGTTCATAAGGAAGACCCCAGTGCTCCTCAGTACTGAGCTATGTGAGAAGACCATTCTCACACTAGGTAATACAATATTCCCTGTCAATCTTGTGCCGACTATTGTGGAAGCAACGTATGAAGTAGTCACAACCTTCACTTCAACTGCTACTGTGTAAGTCCAGTATCAATGGGAGCAGACCAGATTTGAGTTGGCTAACACCGGCAAAGATCCCGAGATAGAAAGCCCAATATCAACCAACCATCCAATAATATAATTGGCACCGAATCAAGAGTCCGAGCCGAAACTCTAGGCACGGGTGAACCATCTCCTTCCAGTAGTTTCTCGAATACAGGCAACATCCCGGTTCCGACTGGGACGGCTTCAACTGCTGAGACTTCATTGACGGGAGGCAGTTCACTCAGTAAATCCGGTAGCACTTCAGGCCAAGAAAGGTCTACAAGCCAGAGAGGGCCTTCTGGAACTGGTAGCCCTCCCACTAGCTCTACAGGCCAAGGTTTCCCTACAAGCTCTACAGTCCAAGAGTCCTCAAGTTCTGGCAGCCCTCCCGCTAGCTCTGCAGGTCAAGATTCCTCAGGTTCTGCCAGCCCTCCTGCCACCTCTACAGGCCAAGTTTCCCCTACAAGCTCCACAGGCCAAGACGCCTCAGGTTCTAGCAGCCCTCCCGCCAGCTCTACGGGCCAAGGCCCCCCTGTCAGCTCTACAGACCGAAGTCCCTCCGGAAGTAGTAACTCTCCTACAAGTTCTACAGGTCAAGCGGGGTCTACAAGCCAAGGAGGATCTTCGGAAACTGGTAGCCCTCCCGCCAGCTCCACAGGCCAAGGCCCCCCTGTCAGCTCTACAGACCGAAATCCCTCCGGAGGTAGTAACCCTCCTACAAGTTCTACAGGTCAAGTGGGGTCTACAAGCCAAGACTCCTCAGGTTCTAGCAGCCCTCCCGCCAGCTCTACGGGCCCAGGGGGCTATTCAGGAACTAGTAGTTCATTGCCAAGCTCCACAGTGGCGACCGGGGACGGTTCAAGCTCTGCTACAGGAACGACGCAAACCCAGTCAAGCAGCACTTCATCAACGAAAGAAAGCTCTACTACCTCCATTAGCCTATGTATCATCACAGCAACGCCAGTTCCAGAGTGTTGCTTAAACGAGCTCCCTGATGGATGTCAGGCTTTAGAAACTACCAATGGGGTGGCTCTCAAGCCTATCATTCCAGAGTGTGAGAACGCTCTAGGAAGTTACATTACCAACGACATGAAGGAGTGCTGGGCAGGAGAGTTTACAGATCAATCCCGAGGACAATATATTGCAGACTGCCTTCTCTACGAGCTTGAGGATTGCTGCATTACCTCGCTGCCTCAAGCCTGCAGCGATCTTCGAGGCAAGACCGATTCTGCCGTCGTAGATGGTGCTGACCAGTGTCGTCATGCACTCGGGCCCTTTGTTCATGGGATTGCCTCCCCATGCCTGGATAAGGATAATATCACTAATCAGACTCAGGGCCAGAGTATTGTTGACTGTTTGGAGGTTGCGTATGGTTTCCGATCTGGTCCGGTCACAATCACTGATGGAGAGATATGCCCTCGAACTACTAGCCCATGAGACAATCAAGGACTGGTAAAGTAGCGAAACACATGCCTAAAAGACAAGATATAGGGCGCAAATAGTCAAGGGATAATAACATGGCTTGAACTGTGTACACGGACCATGGCGGCCCGGATGCTCGGCAACTTCATTGGACATTCTTTTTCGCTCCTGTTTTCTACTCTTAATAATAATAATGGTCCTTTTTGCATCGCTTTGATCGCTTTCCCCGGCAGTACCGGAAGTGTCAGAATCAAACCCATGACTAGTCCAAAAACGTTTCCCTGATCAGATGAATCAACTGTGAGGACGCGGAGGCGGAGCTATCGGAGGGCGGCAAGCACCGGTACATCGCCGCCAACGTTGCGTCAGTAGCATGGCAACAAATTCGTATAGAATCCTTCGCCCCTTGTAATAGTGATTGCTGCTCAGGGAATCGAAATCAGACCAGTCTACGCTCCCTACAGCATACATACCACGAATGGATATACATACTTGTAGTTCTTAAGCGGCGGGAACTTGCTCCTTGATCATTACATACCCTGGATCGAAGTCTTCCTCCTGCTAAGTCTCAATACGACATTGACCTTTCCTATGCTAAACGAAACTAGTGGAAACCTCAGAATAAGATGATTATTATGATAACACCCAAGTATTGGGTCAAATGCCTAATCCTGGATCCAACAGGTATCCCTGAGACTACCATTGAAAACTAGTCAATGCTCCAACTTGGGTAAATCCATTCGAAGAATTGGCTGTTAGACAATTCGCCATTCGCCAAGGGAGACTGAATTCGTAAGACATTTTATCTTACGATTATCTCAATGTTAGTGAGGCCGAGAGCAGTAGAGATGGTGATCAACGTCTTAGTTTCTTTATTGGACTGCATATGTCTTACACCATCATCTTGACAGCTGTCACTGTTAAGTCTAACCGAGTGCGTAGAGGGGAGCGGCTAGACAATTTAATTAGCCCCATAGGGCAAAGGCATGAAGATCCCCTACTAAGGGCATAGCAGACGGACATGCCGAGAGCTGAACCAGGGCGGAGCGGGCCAACCATCAATGACCGGGGGCGGTACTGCTCATCCGCTGGGAGGTGGGGACGGGATGTTGAGACTTAAGGAGCTTGGGCCACATGAATAGGATAGGATGGCGGGGTATTAGAGTTTAGTTTGCGGATATGTTAGCGGTCGGCAGTTAGCACCAGTAGCCACAGTAGCTATGACAACAACATAACATTTCACACATATACCTGTGCACAGTCTGTTTTGGACGATCTACTGTCGTAGTGCAGGGCATGGTCGGGGACACGAGGTTGACAGAGCTGAGTTGAATGGAGAGTCAGATAAGCAGAGTCAAAATGTCAGTTAGAAGACAAGAGAACACTGTAACAGTTGTGGTGAGATGTTATAATTCATTCTTTGAGATGGTTGCAAAATCCCCGGAGCCTTTTGTTCGTCATGTCTCTGGTTACGGTTTGTCAAGTAACATTAGCATTATATTTACCAATCTTGATTGATAAACATTGATTACTGCTGAATAAGGTAAGTGATTGTTTGATATACATTGATGATTGCCCTATAAGGCAGGTAATTAGTTTTGACTCAACACCATGCCGAGCTGAGTCAAGCCCATGCCGGGCTAAGTCAATTAATGAAACCTGAGAGGAAAATACCCCACTGTTTGAGATATTTTATTGGTTCCACACCGGTAGCTAGTTTTGACTCAGATCCCTACCAAGCTGAACCAGACTTAGAACGGGTTGGTTAATAGGTGACAGCCGAGACATTTAGTGTAAGTCGTTTGGGCGCCTATACTAAGATAACCACACTTATTTTAAGGTAAAAGTATTGTAAGAATTATTAAAGGCTAATTAGCTATTTGTCCTAACTAGTATCTTTATAATTAATTAAACTGCTGTGGTTATATGAATAACCTCCTAAACCGGATAAAATCAACATACAGGCAGCATACAGACTAAATATTATAAAGAATAAGTACACCGCTATCTCTAGGGCTTAGAAGAAGGACAATTAGGCATAGAGAGGTAACGAAAGAATAATGGCAAAAGCTACCACTTTGAGAAGTGTAGATGTGGTGACCTTGTTTTCTGGCGCGTTCCCTACGGCTACAACGTTGGTAGTCGTTGGGCTCACTGGTATGGGGACTGTAGAAGAATCCGATCCTCCTTCAGCTCCCGTAGGTATGCTGTGTGGAGCACCAGCCATCGTAGTCTGCAGGGAGGTGCCTGCAGGAGGTGTGGAGGACTCAAGAGACTCTGGGGATCCTGGATGTCTCTGGATAGCTGTGTACGCAACACTCTCCAGGGACGGGCCCTGAATCTTTGGGACTGTCTCGATAGGGAGAGTCAGAGTTGTTGTAATTGGCTTCTCGCCACATGTGTGACAGACAACAGTGGTCACAATGGAGCCAGGAGTGCAGCTACCAGAAGCAGGCCGCTGGCACTGAGTCTCATCGCAATGAGAAGTGACTGTATGGGTATGTATATCCGGACCATGTAGGTTGGTAGCGGGAACAGCAGTGGTGTAAATGAGGGAACTACCGCCAGTTGCTTGCGCCTGGCAGCCTATGGCCACTCTGGTAGATGTAGGATAAATTCTTGTCTGTGTGATAGGGGGCAATATGCGCGTTGTTGAAGTGCATTCATCCTCTCCCGAGGCTTGCATTGGCTTTACAGGAAGCCAAGAAGCAAGACTAACGACAGGAAACAGAAGAAAGAGGGGAGTGGACCGCATGATTGAGCGAGCGAGCGAAGTGAGAGTTGGATAGATTATTTTTCTGTTTACTTTGTACTAACAAACGGAGTATTTATGCTTCATCTTACTGATATGGATTGTTGTTTTCTATTTGTAAGATTACGCATACGTAATAAAGTGCCTTCTTGGGGTAACGAGGTAAAGCGCGCCGTCTGTGTCAGCTCTTAGCCGGAATCAATTCTAAATAGTACTTCTGAGAATACACTTCAGGAAGCATACCAACTGCTCACACTAATTTCCAAGGCACCCTTCAAAGTGCCTTTGCAATAGCTACAGACATGCCGCAATCATCTCAATGCGGTGCGCAGCCCCTTTGCCGAGAGCCGAAAGCGTTCCATTTTACTTCCACCTCTTAGACATCCTTGAAACAATGTCTGCATTAGTGCATAGTGTCATCACATGTCATATTCCCAGTTACATGAGTTGTAAGCCTGCAGTATGTTCGTACGGCTTGTAGTCCCTCTATCAGTTGAAGCATGGTGCCATCGACGTCATTCAGCATCGACAGACACGGAAACGAGCCAAGAATTCATGTCTTTTCGAGCCACCTTTCCACTCTAAGGCAATCATTTCTATGGGAAACGTCAAAGACATCGATTGGAATGGTATCAGGACATCCAGAGCTGAAAGTAGAGCAAGTTTCGGTTGTCTCGGTAGGGCTTCCTTGTTGCAAAGGTCGCCAAAAGTTCCCTGTCGAAAGTTTCCAATCATATCGTTCCCGTTCCTACCGTTACTCTCTGAATCCTCCTCCTCGACAAGAGTGATGTATCATTAAGCTATGTCTCGTGCACTTTGATCCCCATTCCCATAGTCACCCAACCGTAATCACATAGCTGCGTTCGCGATGCTGGAATGGCGGAGAGAAATGCTTCTGTGCCAACAAGGTCCTTCCTGGGTAATTTTATCCCAACAAAGGGGCGGGGAATAAAGTGGAGGGGAGGCGGGGGGGAACAATTTCCTAATGGTGTGAGTATTTTTCTTTTGCTTTTTGTTGAAAACTTCACAGGTTATTAATTTATAGATTGTATAAACTTTTAATAAATTATTAACTATATATAATAAATCTCCTATATATATATGTAAAGATAAGAGAAAATTAATATACTATCTTATAATAACTATATTTCCTTAAGTTATTCTAATAAATAAAGGTGTAATTATAACCTGGCAGTACTAAAGCCTACCCTAGAATACGGTTCGACCTGAAGCATATACCCGATTTAAGGTTTTGCACTCCTTATCAAATTGATAAGGCACACAGCACCCACTCTACTTGCTATGAACGCAGCGCTCGCTGCGGATGGGCTCGAATAAATGTCAGTTCTCCGCCTCAAGCTGCCAATATTCACGAAGCAATACCGCAACAAAAGCTAGCAACAAAACGCAACGTATTGAATTACATCCTATTCATTACCAACGACTAAATGCTCTCATTACCTATTCACTCTAATTGAACTTGGCTTTGACTGTGATATTTTACACAGTTACTTAAACCGGACCCACGCGACATGCTCTGCTTCAACCGCACACACAATATCCTCTTAGCAGTGTCTGAACCCCTAAGAATTCACAGCCAGCGCAGGAATCAGTGCGAACCTTCGCAGGCTCGAAAGTGAATTGGTGATGCAGGCATCTGAGACCAATAGTATCATCCTCAGCAGCGGTGAGTAGTGTACAACCTGGCTTTTTGTATTTATTTACTCATTTCCCTCAACATCTTCTACCCTTTGCTTCCCAGATTATCATCTGTTACCATTGCTTTATCCGCCTACAACCTGGCAACCAATCACCGATGCCAGCCAAGATGCCAGCCAAGCGCATGCGTGGAACCAAACTTTTGGCGGGCATGGAACAGGAGAATATGTTTACAGGTCCAGATATGGGTAGCCACGGTACCAGAGTAAGTTCGCCTTACGAGACTGCTGCACAAACCATTCATAATTCATTGATTTCAGAATCAGACGCGACTACAGATGAACTCGTTAGAAGGGCAGACCGATGCTGGCGGTGAGGAAAACGGTGCTGTGGATAGAGGATCGGATTCTTCGCTGTCAGCGACACGATCTGTTACACCACCAGAGCACAGTCAGACCGTAAATCGAGTCGAGGATCTCGAAAGTCCCCAGAATGTTTTCGATACGCAATCGATAGACGTGCTGGAGTCAGATGATGGCATGAGCATGGACATGAGTGACGGGTTCCATCCCCTAGAAGATCAAGGGCAGGATCTTACCCAAACTATCAACCTTCCTGGCACGCATCAACCTCAGCAACTACATGTTGAGCAACTGTTCGCCGAAGTCGCGGCTTTAAAGCAACAAATCGCTTCCCTGCGACAGCACTCGCAGCAGCAGATAGCCCTGCAAAATTCTAAACCTGCACCTGAACCCAGAGCCCTTCCAGCATCAGGAAGCGACGCTTCTGAATTGGGTTCTCTGATGGACACTCCGTGCGTTCGATGCATCAGCCTCATGGCCAATGCAACATTGTCGGCTGAGGCCAGCAAGTTTAAAGTTCTGTGCCACAAGCAGGTGAAAGGAAAGCTTGAACATCAATTCATCATCCACATACTAACAGCTGTCAGACCGATCGACACATCGATGCCAGGAATGCGAAAAGGCTAAAAGAACATGCCATAAGGTTAACTAGCCCTCCTACGTTTCTTAAGTAAGCTTACATCTCCAGATACATAAACCAAAAAACAATCTTGACATGAATGATGCAAGCACGTACCGCCGGTACATAATGCAGCTCAAGAAAATTCCCTCGATTGTTCTTCGTCTCGAAGATGACCGCATTGGGTGGGAGAATCAGCACGGAGCGTCCAATCAAGAGGATCGACAGCTTCTCTTAAAGCAGGAGGACAGGGAGACCCTGGAAGAGGCAAACAGAATACTCAAGGAATTTTACCCTCTGCCGTCTCAGAATGGGTGGAAAAGGAACCGAGAGGATGTAAGCAAGGCGAGGCTTGAGGATACTTGGTGTCATTGGTAATAAAAGGAGTAAGACTAGATTAAATGAAGTATTTGAGCACTAGAAATTTTCCACTTGGGCCGAATTTATCTTTCGTAGCCTTGACATCTACAACAATAACCAAACTACTCTTGCGAAAGTTCTCGATTATTATCCCCAGTAGACCCATTACGTCTCCTTAACCCTCACTTTCTTTCCAAGAACCACGCAAAGCTTACAAGCCGAACACAAGACCGCGCATTATTATGTTAAAACTCCATTAAACATCAAGCAGGCATCACTTTCATCAATCTATGGCCGTTTTACCCGTCCATGGCGTGTTCCGACGAAATAATCCAAGCTTGACTAACTGTAGTTGAACGAAGCATCTTACGCAACATGTTGCTTTCCTTCTTGTTAGGCATTGTTAGGCAGCCTATCTTTCAGTATTGACCCTCACAAAGGTTCCCCGATTTGCTAAAGATGGAGGGCTCCCTGAAGAAAAGGTTACCGACAGCAACAGATTTCTTTCTGAAGTCAGCTGAAAATAACATAAATATAGATCTGGCTGTGAATGAAGTCTGATTCGGTGAGCATTTCAATTTGTATGTGTAATAAATGCTGTAGTCGTAGTAGTCGCAGCAGTCGCAGCAGTCGCAGCAGTCGGCGTCGTGGCTTTTGGCAGGGGAGACTGTGTGAAGGTGGACTGTAGACTTGGGAAGCATTCTTGGTTGGACACCTTATTATGGGTGATAAGGTTCAACGTGGTAAACATGAGAAACAAGGACAGGCATTCAATATTATATGCCCAAAAGCTGAGGTTGCGCCTACAAGTTCGGATGATTATTTGGTGAAAAGTTCTAAGATGGTCCCCCGCAGCGGCAGCGATCTGCGGCAACGTACCGCGGCAGCGTACTGATGTCGGCTTTCAACCTTTTCGTATTAAATGGTGCTTTGGATTGACATGTAAACCTTAGGATAACTAAACAGATCCAGAAATTCCGTGCATCTCAGTCTATGTCTCAATCACCCTTACCCTCATCTACAGATATGCCTGTTGGGCAGTTTATGCCTAATGGCCTTGGCACTGATCAACCCTTGACGCCAGATGATCCTACAATTGGCTACAAGTTGTTTCACGTCATGTTACGCATCCAAGATCCTGTGAAGTCTCTGCACTTCTATATCGACCTAATGGGCATGCGAACTGTTTTCACCATGAACACTGGCCCCTTTACAATTTACTATCTTGGTTACCCTCAAACAGAAGAGCATCGTGCAGATCCGGCCAAATTCGGCCGTGATACTCTATCTCAGCTAGCCTATACCCCAGGACTTATTGAACTATACCACGTGCACGGGTCAGAAAATGAGCCTGAGGGTTACTACAGTACTGGAAATCAGCCGCCTCATCTGGGCCTCGGACATATCGGGTTCTCCGTGCCTGATGTTCCCAGCGCTGTCGAACGCTTGAGAAATCACGGTGTAGCGGTAATCAAAGATTTGGGTTCCGCCACGCGACAAGATGTTCCACTAAGCCAATGGGACGCGGAAAAGGAGATCGGACTAGGCGATCTTCATCCTGATTACCAGCATGTATTTGAACAGATTGCGTTCGTAAAAGATCCAGTGGGTGACAACCCCTGCCACCACGGCAAGCCAGTACAGTTCAAAGTTAAATAGCTGACGATTATACCTAGGATGGATATACTGTCGAGTTAGTTCCTCAGAAGCTTCAAGCGCAATGATCCGATATTTTGACGGGTATCACACTCCCTTATCAGTCGGCAAGGTAGAGGGTTGTTACTTTAGATTTCATGCTCAGAAAGTAGCAACTTGAAAAGTAGTTTAAGCAATAAATGAATGACTGTCTTATAATAGCATCTAAATAAGGATTTCACTTTAAATAGGACGGAACTTAAGTTCAACCCATCGCAGCGGAACGTAGAGAAGGGCGGCAAGAACCAGCTCAACCTCAAACCCAATGTCCCCAGTTGTCTTAGCAATAGGACCAGTATACCATTCTTGCGACATACAAGGAACTGTCAAGCCAAACGCGATTCCCATAGCACCAATTGCCGCAAGTCCTGTCGGCAATTTAGTAGGCTGGTCCCAGTGATCTGGATTGTACCTCGAGAAATCAGCTCCTCGGAACACAAAATGCTCGGTAGCAATGACAGCCACATAGCCAGCGGCCCAGTAGGAGATGAGATACATCAGGTTCTCCAGGCTATCGAAAAACGACTTGGCGGCTTGTATAGATACCGGGATGGCTACAATAGTGTAGACAATGGTGAAAAAGCTGCGCGGTACCTTGAGCATGAAGGGGGCCAGCAGCTGGAAGTTGAGTGAGATACAGTATATGGATGCTGCGAGGTTTCCAATCACAGACAGCGACAGCAACACGGCGACAAATCGGCCGAAACCTCCTGCGGGGAGAAGCATCGCCTGCATGACACCGCCCACGGTGAATCGATCGTAGCCGTCTTTCCAGGACACGACGTTGGGTGTTGCTCCGCCAATGGCAGCTCCCAGGACCATAAGGGTCACGACAGGGAAGAATATCCCGGCATACGTGTAGGCAAAAATACGCCACGTAGAGACTTTGGGATGGCAGTAAACAGAGAAGTCAGCAGCCAAGGCCTGTTATCAAGAGTCAGTTATGCTCATTGTCACACAGGCAGCGGCGAGCTTTTTTGTGTATAGCTTACAGAAAAGGGAATAATAAAGCCTGCGATAACACCGCCGTAGCTAACAATCGTAGATGCCGATGCAGCTGGCTGTTCAACTTGGTTGCTTAGGTGCTTTCCACCAACACCAGTGGCGATAATGATGGCTACCAGATTAAAGATCCACGAGTAGCGCTCATACTGATGGAGGAATTTGTATCCGATAAAAGATACTACCATTGCAATAATGGAGATGATGACAATTCCAACAGTGCTGCTGATGGAGCCACTTGAAACAGCAGCAAGAGTCGAGCCGCCTGTGACAGAACAGATTATGCCAAAACCGGCATTTGTACACAGATTGAGGATGACCATGATGACGATCAAATAGTATCTAAAGCAGTAGGTGTGAGAAGATAGACCTTGGCCGCCAGGTGAAACTCATTACTTACCCAAAGGTGAAGCGCGAAATAAGCATTTGTCGCAGACCAGTCTGAGACCCGAATGTGCTGCAGTACGCCGGAAAAACACAACATAGCATACTGAAGAACAAGATGAGAAGTGAGCAGTCTTTTAGTGACAGACCGAAGCCCAGAGTTCCAAGCATGCCTGTGACGATACTGTAATAGCCCTTCTGATCAGCAGTTGGTAGTTATGAGGTGCATTCCTTGACTCACGGCAGGATGTTGACGTTCATGGTGAACCACAAGAAAAATATGTTGATAAAGCGAGTATCAGTTCTCTCTTCCAAGGGTACTGGTTGAATTCCTCGTGTTTCTAATCCCCATCTCTTCAGTCGGTCGAGCCAGATGGTTGATCGACTTAGTGCCTGGGACTCCGCCTCGGACACGTCTACGGGCGGATCAGCCGCGGCAACATTTGTCTTTTCTGACTTTTCCATTTTTGTGACTGTCACTAGAAAAAGATTCAAGCGATGTGTTGAATGTTAAGATAGTTGCAGGAGGGTAGGGCTCCGTTGAACAGTAATGTGAATGTTCAACCCCGCCAGAACATTGGACATCAGAACCCGGGAGAATCGGACAGGATATACTAGATTCACCTCCGATCTCAAGTTGAGAAATATATGTCTGTCGGCCATTTGCGGTGGCAAGGGAGTTACGTGCACGGAGTGGGCCGGTCACCGATTTGATAAGGTCCACGGAGAACGGAGTACAAGTTTCTAAGTCTGCCGTCGTAGCCGTTAGCGCAAGTTTGTTCCATCACAATCAACACATCAACGAGTCACAAAGGCCCGATAACGAAAGATAGGGATACAGGTGCCGGATATCCATTCAATTATTGGATTTGCGATAAGTGTGTAGCATACGTAACAGCCATAATCACATATTTGATAGGTCAAGCTTATCAAATGTCTCCATGATATCTCAAGAATTGACTTCCGCATTGGCTGTAGATGGTCCAGCTGGGGTGCCAGCAGAGCTAATACTTGCAATTCTTGAATGCGTCGACGGATGGACTTTATCGCCCAGCTTTGCGACAGTCCTTTCACAGTGAAGTGAAAGACGTTCGACAGCCAATGACAGTCCCATAGATGGAACTGAAGAAACCCTTCAAAAAGGATGATTTATTGATTGTAACACGAACTCAAATCAGAAACTATTCCCCAAAAGCACACTCTCTGAGATTTATATCATCTAGATGATTCCTTAACATACTTTATAGCAGAAGAGAGTGTTGGCTTTTCAAGGCTCACAATTGGAGCAAGAGTTGCAACAGTAACATGAGGCCACTTGAGTCCATTGAAGTCAAGCATCACCATCTGAGAGTACTGGATCTGATCATACGCGACAGTGACAGACTTCTTGGATGATGGAATCTGGACGTCTTTGTCGATGAAGAACTCCGGCACAGCGTCTCTGGGGCCTTGAGAAGCAGGGGAAACCGTTTGGCCGACACGCATGGAAGGATCAAGTTCGACCTCAGTACGGATCTTGGAGACCCAGTACTGAGCCGACACGTCGACAGCGTTGGCGTTGCCGCTTTTCTTCTCGCGCGACGCGTCTGCCTTTTGGCCCTCATCAGAGCCGATGTTGAACCCAATGTTTGATGTGCCGCCGCCAAAGGCACCGGGAGGAGCATTGGTCGAAACAATAAACATGGTGTTCTCGATGATATCCTTGCCCTCGTTGGCCTGTCTCAGGATAGTGTTTGGATCATCAATAATCTGCTGGGTGATAGTCCCATTGGTAATGAACTTGCGTAGATCTTGGGGAAGGCGGCGAGTAGTGTCTTTGTCGGCGTCCTGGTTCTCAAATCGCTTCTTTTCCAGTTCATCAATTGTCTTCTGGGGCTTGATGGGAGGGATGCCAAGCTGCGGGATCACGAGTGGAGTGATGTCAGTGGGATCAATATCGGGGGCGCCTTTGGAAGTACGAGCAGCTTCGAATCCTTGAGCGTTGATGGTCGTGCCGTGGGGAATAGACCCCATGCGACAGAAAGAGGCTGCAAGTTCCGGCATGTCCTCTACCTGAGGCACGCGCATCCACAGTCCTGGCTCGAAGTGGATGACCGGTGGAGGATCAGGGAATGTCCCGTCGTCCTTGGGCATTGCATCCACGATAGACTGCGTGTATGGCCGACCAATGAGGTCAATGTCCGCCTGATCGAACAAACCACGATTGGGGACCTCCTTAAGTAGCACCTCGCTGAACACTTGAGTTTCGCCAGTCAGGTTGAGTTGCAGGAGATTGCTGGTGCTTTTATCGGTTGGGGGTTTGGGGAACTTGGTTCTGGTCTTTGGGTTTCGGCTCAAAGGCCTGAAGATAGTGTTGAAGCCAAATCCCTTGAAAGTGCCTGTGAACTTTTCTAAGATATCGAGAGAAGGAGGAAGAGGAGTCCCGAGCCCATTGCCCTTCTCATCAGTGACGTCTGAGTAACCCCCGTTCTTCGAAGTCTCATCATACTGTTGAAGAGTCGGCTGAAGAACAGTAGGTCCATAGTTGAAGCCCTTTGGGACCTGGATACTGACCACGGGAACATCAGGGGCAAGATCATCGAGAGAGATCCCCATGGTGGAGATAAGAGAAGAAAGATAGTATTGGTGGAATTTGGTTAAGGTACCAGCTTAGTGAGGAGTCAATTATATGGGAATTGGTTGGCCTTTTATCTACACATTAACATTCATGAACTTCTGCTTGTTGGCGACCATTAATAAGTTTCAAACACCTTAAAGCAGCTCCCGAATTTCTTAGGGGTTTTGCCCCGGAGGGAGTCGTTTGCTAGCCGCCGGGAGTGAGACATTGCCAATCACATCCGGGCCATTCCGCGGCCAGACCTCTTTTCTGCACATCAGCCGCAACAATAATCACCAAACGCCGCATGGTAATAGCTTTGCACTATTGCGGGGTAAGACAGCAGGATGCAGACTGACCTTACTGGAGTAGATATTTCAGCTGTCTCTTTTAACGCCATATTTATGACCTTTAAGGCTAGCCGTGTCACCGGGCCAAAACGCGCAGAAAGCAATATCGATAGCGTTGCATAATTCCAAGTACCGTAATTGGCTCTCTTCTGACCAGATATGCAGGCTGGATACAGTAGTGCACATATCACAAATATCAAGAAGGTCATTGGCCGAAGTGCGAAATCCACAAAGCTTACTGAACCGCAGTCTAAGACATGATTTATGAGAATTGAATATGTGACACAGGTAGATCTTGTTCTATCACATTCATCCTCCTCAGCCAGCCACATAGGCATAATCGTCACACTTTGAGTCGCCGTAAACGCATGAAACTTAAACAACCACTGAGGCATTGTTATGAGAGGCATATGAGCTATGAGAAATGTGGCATTTTTAGTGAGCGGCGAGGAAGGAGTTGAGCATTCCTATCTCCACTTCAGCCAGCCATCTTTCTGCCGGAGGGCGTCTCCAGGTAGAAGTGACCTGTAGGAGGCAGTCTTCTTTGACCTTCTCCGTAGTTGACTCCGAATAGGGATAGAATTGGCACCGCAGTGTTACAAGTCAGCCAGCCATTGTAGGTCGACAGCTAGCCCATCGAGATATGTAGCAGCTCAGAGGAGAAATGCTGCTGAAAGCTTAGTGAGACTGGGTATCCACCTTCGCGCTGTTTTTGAGATATTCGACAGCTTATTTGTTAATTAGGAATGCAGTTGCAAGAATGGGGAGGGCCTATTGGGAGATTGAGGATAATCAGCTGTCTTCTTCGTGTTGTTTTCGAGACATGTGTTTGATACTGCTGTACAAGTCGCTAGGGGGCGCTCTTCATAGATATCAAAACTTAAGCCTTCCATGCTAGTACTGCTGGCATGGATTTATAAAAGGCAGATCCTGTGCTAGAAGGATGAAACCAATCTTCTCTACAAGACTCACTTTACATCATTTTTCAGGTAACAAGCATTCAGTTCTCCATCATGTCTTCGCAAGGCACCTTTACAGAAGTTCATCAATTCACAACGTCCTACAAGCATATGTGGGCCCGTGATGTCGCCAAAACGAAGATGAACTATGATCTCAAGGGTGTTATCCAACGCCTGAAGAAGTCTGTTCCTACCAAGTTTGACGAAAAAGATAGCATCGGTTCAATCCGAGAGAAGACCAAGGAGTTGACTGGTCCTGGCTACATCCCTGAGAAGCCAGGTCAGATCAGCGTAGGCATTGTCGGCGCTGGTGTGGCTGGCTTGTTCGCCGCCCTTCTCTTTGATTGGCTGAATGACCATGAGGACCTCAAGGGCGAAAGTCTCAAGATCAGCTACGACATCCTTGAGGCCGCTGGTGCGGAAAGATTAGGTGGACGTCTATACACCCACCACTTCTCTGATGAAGAGCATGACTACTACGATGTCGGTGCTATGCGCTTCCCCAACAACACTATCATGACGAGGTAAGCTACACTCATAACGTAACGCTGTGGTTTGTGGCTGATATTTTTTCAAGAACATTTCAGCTATTCGATTACATCGGAATCACCCAGAAAAGCAAGCCCGGCCTTATTCCTTATTACTTAAAGGACGAGGAAGGCCAATGCCCAGCCTACTTTAATGATATCACGACCAGAGGCAATGTCTGGGAAGACACCAGATTTCCAAATGATCCGTACAAGGTTAACGAGGGCCTCCCCGAGAACGGCCAGATCCCGCCATGGTGTGATGCTTGATGAACCTGCAACGATAGAACTACTTCTGATTGTTTTATAGCCTGCTTAAGACCGACCCCAGCGAGCTAGTCCGGAAAGCGCTTAGACCCTTTACGGACGTCGCCTTAAAGCATTTTAAGGCAGCAATCGATGAAGAGAAAGAGGAGGAGAAGCAAGGATTCAAGAGGGCCGGTAAAGACGAGGAAAGTAGGGAGAGAGGGCCAGCTGCTACAAAATTATGGGACCTTCTCATGAGGGCCGATCATATGAGCGTTCGACAGTTCCTTAGCTCGTAAGTATTCCTCGCCTTCTTAAGATGATCGTGGAATAGATAGAAACTGATTTGAGTTTAAAGAGGTCAACTGAAACCCTGCGGAGAAGAACCCCAGGTTTCGGTTGAAGGTGATTTCCCTGAAGGCCCTGGTTACAATTACAACACTATCGAGTGGCTTGAGACAATGACCTAGTAAGTCTTGCACTTGAGTCTCCCTTCGCAGTAGCTCAACCTCGGTAGCGGTACAGGCTGGTATGACCAGTCACTCACAGAATGTGTTCTCGAAGAACTCGATTTCCACACTCCCGATATGGACGACGACCCCGATAATAAGGACGTTCAGTACTGGTGGTGCATCGATGGCGGTGCTCAAGAGATCGCCAGGCGCATGGCTTTGAAGATCAAGAAGCGCATTGAATACAACACCAAGGTTGAATCAATCAATGCCCAAGTTCCGCTTCGTCAACAACGCCCGCGCGGCACGTACACAGCAATGAAGATAAAAACCACCAGGACCGATCCCAAGACCAAGATGGTCGAGACGAGAAACAGGGAGTATTTTGCCATCTTCAACAGCACCACCCTCGGTGCCCTGCAGCGCATGGAACTTCGTGAAGCTGGCTTATCATGGGGTACTAAGCAGGCCATACGAGCTCTTGGCTATGGCGCTTCTGCTAAAGTCGGCATGAAATTTCGAACTGCATGGTGGCAAACCGAGCCTTTCAACATTAGTAAAGGTGGTGTAGCCAGAACGGACTTGTCCCTGCGTGTCTGCGTCTACCCATCGTATAACATCAAGTCAAACGAGGGTGAGGACAAGTGGGATCCTACAAAGCCCGCCGTACTTCTGTGTTCGTATACCTGGGGTCAAGATGCCCAGCGTATTGGCGCCCTCTGTTCCAACAACACAACACAAGATGATGCAGAGCTCAAACGACTCATAATACACGACCTCGCCCGACTTCATGCACGGATTGAATATCCGTTTGATAAATTGGTCACATTCCTTGAAAACCAATACATTGACCACCATGGCTACGACTGGTATAGAGACCAACACATGTCAGGAGCATTTGCGTATTTCGGTCCCGGGCAGTTTTCGAACATGTGGCAAGAAATCATCAAGCCTAACGCACTAGGCCAACTGTATCTTGTCGGAGAAGCAGCCTCGTCCCACCATGCATGGATCGTAGGTGCACTGGAAAGCGTCATCCGAGCGGTGTACGTCATGTTTCAGGGTCTTCAGAAAGGCAAGGAGGACTTCAAGGCTTACGACATTGTCCTGAAACTGCTCAGCACTGGGTCCGGTAAGGTCAAGAATGATACCAAGCCTTTGAAGAGGAACGGCGAAATGCCCACGGGACTACCTTTCCATCCTTTACCGGAAGAGATGCCTACAACACAGCTTAAGAAGGCCAAGCCAACGGGTTTGACTGGTAGCCCTGAGGAGGAGGCTAGCACGGATGGCTTTCAGATGACCTACGGTGCTGCTCTGGCTGTTTTGAGCTTAATTGAGAGTTTTTATGAATTGGGAGTGGATAAGAAGGACACGTATCAAGCTTCTTAGATTTATGTATTCCGTTATCAAGGATTCAGCTGAAGACTACTTCAATAGTACCACAATTTGTTGTTTAGCAGACTTTAAAACACATTAGTGATTTCCAATAGAGAGGTAGGACGTGCAACATACTACCAATGACACCGTTGACGGGAATGTCAATCGAAGTGGTATAACTAGCAGCATCACTTAGGAGGTATACATAGGCACCTCCCAGTTCCTGGATCTGAGCTAGTCGGGGCATACCGCCATAGTACTTGAGCTGCTGCTCCCAGTCAGGTTGTTGCGGGACCCAGTATGTCATAGCGGTATCAACTAGGCCTGGAGACACTGAGTTAACACGAATATTATACTTTGCCCACTCCATGGCCAGGGTGTGAGTCATGTTTCGAATGCCAGCTTTGCTTGCTCCGTAGGGAGCCGACGGTACGCGCTAGTGTTACAGTGAGCTACTATTCGGTGTATGCGAAGATTTATACTGTACTGACTTTGTTCGGGCGGTATGAAGCCATGGATGCCGTGAAAACAACAGCGCCCTTGATGTTTAGCTTGATGAAGGCGCGTGCTGCCGCTCGAGCACAGTAAAACGCACCAAAGACCTATGATACATCAGCGTTGCCCAGACAGTAGCACTGGGTATTGGGTCGCAAGCACGTTGATGTCGAAAAGATTACGGATCTCTTCCTCGGTGAAATCCAAAGCAGCTTTATGGTTTGTTCGGCCAGCATTGACCACCATACCATGAAGAGCACCCTCTGATTCAACGATCTGATCGACCGCCGCTGTGACCGTAGCCTCCTTTGTGACGTCGGCTTGGATCGCCTTGAGCTTTCCCTGCCATCTTTCTTGCGCTGCGGCAAAATCTTGACCTGGTTCGGCGTAGTCGATTGAGTAGACAACTTGAGCGCCGTTGTCGAGGCAAGCCTCGGCAACGCCGAGACCGATACCACGATTGGCACCAGTAACTTGAACGGACAAAAGTTAACTGTGGCCCTGATGAAAGAAATAGACCAGATGGCGCCTGGGTTACTCACTCGCAATCACCTTGCCAACTAGGGTGACTTTGGTCTGATGCTGCTGGGCGACAGTAGTGGTTGACTTTCCAGCGGCCTCAGCCTCAGTGACTGATGTGCCCATGTCGTCTAAAGTGCGGGGCTTCTTTGGTGATTTGGCAAATTATGGAGTGATGAAACAACCAGTTTATAGTGCTTGCGCTCCGGCATAAAATGATATCAAGTCATTAGTTGTGACAATCAGGAAAGCTCTTATTTTATACTTCTTTATTCCCCCATAAATCGTCCCATTGACCATCTAAACACCGAGCGCAAGATTATGGAACCTTGTCAGTAACTCGAGACGCGATATTATGTGGATCTCGACCTCGTCTCGAGGCACATGCAACAATCATTGGTGTGGATACACCAGGGTCTGTAAATGTAAGCTGAGCTTGATGACCCCCAGCCGAGGATACCCTAAGAGGGAAATAAAAAAAGACCCCTCGATGGGTGAAACGCCAGCGAGTTTTGGTGTATTTGGGGTCTTTTAATTTTTCTCCTCTATGGTATCCCATCAGGAACTAAGCCCCATTTAGAGTAAGGGCAAACTTGTGGAGGTTGTTGGCCCTTGCTTGACAAGATATCTTGCGGGGTAACTACCTTCCAGATCTCGAAAAGCAAAGCTCGCCTTTGCCAATTTTGACATCTTCACCTTGAGCAGACCTACCACTCTCCATTGGCCAGATATGACCTTAAAATGCGGTTGGAATATACAGCATTTAATCGGATCCAGTGGCAATTCCGGGACTATTAATAGAGCAAAGATAGACTTCGATATTGGTTACATTACTGACGAACCCTACTCCTTTACTCGGGAGGGACTATCTCGCCGAAAAGGCTGCGTAAACCAATAGGATGGTGAGGATATATACATCTAAACTTTTCCGACGCTCATGTGTGAATTCCTTCGGTCTATAGAACATATCGCAAAAGACACATCGACTTACGAGGACAGCCATTGCTAGTCCAGAAAAACGGGATCTATCTCTCCTACCCCCTCTGCAACAAGCCTCTGAAAGACGTTTCCAACGGTATGAGGAACTATTGGGTGCAAAAGAAGCTAAAAGGCGTACTCTTGGAGTCTAGAGCTGATGTTAATGTCACTTCCGCCATGATGATGGGAGCCAAGACGGCTTTGCAAACCTTCACCACTTGCGGCGGGAAGGTCTGCTGTCAAAAGCTGGAGGCCGCGCTGTTTTCCGGGACCTCGATGCTGGTCAAAGCCATCACTGAAAAGGAATGAAGCATCGAACAGTATTCAACGCAGTATCTACAGCATTACCAAAGCCATTTGTGTGGTACCGCCCCAAATCAATATTCACCCTGGTCTGATGTAAGACCCATACATCTTGCTCTCAAGCATGGACAAGTTGAATTTGATATCAAGATTTGCGAAGCCCTGATTGATTCGAGAGCAGATGTCAATGCCTATTCAGTCGTGGCAGGGCATCCGCTACAGACGGCTACTGTGAAGGCTCGGACCCGCTTCTACAAGCTGGCGCAGGCCCTGGACGACCCCTAAAGTCGTTGAAACCGATGACAGAACGCGAAAAAGTCACCAAACTACAAATCGCAGCGGGCTCGGGAGATGCTGAACATACCCGACTCCTGATCTCAAATGACGAAAAATGTCAACGCGGCAGCCTATCGCGAAGGCGGCATGATAGCTTTACAACATGCGTCTATAATGGGCCATTTCAACATAGTACACTTGCTCTATGAGAACGAAGTGGATGTAAATGCTGAATGGGCTGAGAGAAATGGTCGTACGGCTCTCCAAGGTGCTGCAGAGCATGGAAGACTTTGTATCGTACAATTGCTTCTTGATAATGGCAACCAGCCCTGGCTAGGAGTGGCGTTGTCAGGAGGCTGCAAATTTGGCGGAGCATCAAGGGCATCACGTCATTGCGAGGGACCTCAGACGACGGAGCAGTAAGTCAGTAAAGCCGTCTATGTCTGAAAGCGTATAGAACAGACTCCAAACACAAGCGAATGGGCAGCAAATTATCCGCGCGATGCAAGCTTCATCAGCTTGGAAAGCCATAACCTAATCTGCAATACATATACTTACTATCGGGTAGGAAGATGCACTGCGAGTGCCTGGTCAGACATATCCATATGAAAAGGAGGACAAATAACAAGGGTTTAATGAGCTTCGTTTCACATTCAGCAACGGATTCAGCGGCTGACAGTGGGCACGGTCGCTAATAAACGGCTTGAAAATGACAGGTAACCCCGTCGCGTTACGTCAGCGGTTCCAGTGTTTTATAAAGGCCAAGTCCATACACGTGTAATCTTTGCTGTCGCTAAATAAAAACCTCATTTGCATGTTTAAACACCATGGCCAACTCTCAGTTTCCTCCCTACGAGGGCACCGAAGTCATTGGCTTCCAATTCTCGAATTCTACTGACCCAGCGTCACTCTCGGATGAGAGTACCGAGCTCGGCAAGATCTGGGCCGCCACGCTAAAGACGTATCTCGACCATCCAGAAACGGGCATCGTCTGGTGGGGGATTGTGCATGACGCTCCGAACAAAGCTAAGCTGTTTATCGGTAAGTACCGTGAAGCAGCTCGATAAGAAACTGTGCTAACGAGAATCTCCAAGATTGGAAGAGTTTAGCTGGTCGGGCTCAATTTGAGGCCAGCCAACAAGCAACAGAGCTTGCCAGCACCTGGAAATCCGTCACTGTAGCGCCAGCCAGTAAAGATACCTACAAATTCACCTCTAGCGATGTCGCTAGGCAAACGGCTTTATCCAGCACCTACGACACAGTCACAGCTCTCCTCAATTTCCGATTCGCAAATGCGCTCACTTCCAGCGAAGTTAAGCAATTGGACGCCGTACTCCAAGAGCTAGACCGCGCTATCATGTTAAGCCCAGGTGCTGTCGTAGCCAGCTACTCAATTGGAGGATGGGGCTCAGACTGCAGATCATACTGCGCGGCGTACCGCTATCTTAATGCTGATGCCCTGAGAAATTTTATCCAAGGCGACAACAAGGTCAGAGGGTTATCGGAGATTTTGCAGTCTCGCGCTTCTGGTGGTATGCAACTTGAGTTTCTGGAAACGCGAGTCTATAAGCAAGGCTGGCAAGGGTCTGTCACCAAGACAGAACCTGATAACCCGACTCTATCGGGGTTCATGGCCGAGGCGCAGGCCATGTTTACGTTCTAACTCGGCTGGGATCCGATCCGAAGAGTGGCCCTAGGGTAAGCCTGGTTCCGAGCTCGGGGGATCGCTCCGGTGATTGAAAATCATCAGTTGAGGAGGGAGGACGATGTTGACCGTGATCTATGTATAATAATATTGTCAAAATAAAAACTGCAATTGAATACTGCGTCCATAGTCTGAGTCATTTAAATTCATTGATTGGTATTGGTGGCTGCGAAGTCGTGATAGCAAGGACAGTTTATCATTGGTGAAACGCCGAGACTAACCTTCTCAACACCCACTTCGCTCGTTTCGTAGGGTGAAGGGCGCGTCACAAACCAATGAGTCACTTTGTTCGGGTAGCGTATTTATAAGCATAAATACTCATCCAACCTTTATTCTCTCTAAGTATCTATCTTTCCATCGACAAGACATTCAACACATCTTAAGCCCATTATGACGTCGCTTAGAGCAAAGTTTCAGTCAAAATCCTGGCAAAAAGATCAATTCACCATCTCAACAGACCCCAACCAATTCCCTATCTCCCAACTTGCAGATATCTTTAATTCGAGCGAGTTCTACTGGGCCAGCGCTCTATCACCTGAAGCTTTCAAAGAAGCACTTCACAATTCCCTTTCATTCGGCGTATATGACTCGCCTCAGTCCTCCGGCCGCGAATCATCAGGCAAACTGATTGGAATCGCTCGGCTCGTGACCGACTTCGTCACCTTTGCATATCTCACAGACGTTTGGGTTGATCCGACATATCAAGGCAAAGGCTTGGGGAGCTGGCTTGTTCGTTGTATGCGAGAAGTGCTGGATGAGATGCCGGACTTGAGAAGGGCAATGCTGCTTACGGGAGATTGGGAGAGGTCTGTACCGTTTTATGAGAAGCTTTTGGGCATGAGCTTGGTTGAGCCAAAGAGGGGCGAAGGACTTGCTGTTATGGAGAGCAAAGGGAGAGGGCATCCGACCTATGGGAAGTCAGGCTTAGGGTATGACTAAGGGTGAATTCATATTTCTTGTTCGGTCTTATTAAGTAATTAAAGAACTTTTTTATGATTTGGAGCCCAGGGGCAATTAGCAGATAATAGTCCTGTTTCAGGACCCATCTTCTACTTGCTTAACCTCGTTGACCGTTAGCGACGTGGACGAAAGAGCCTGAATAAACTTGCTGGCATCAAAAGACTCAAGCAATCCGGAATCAGCGTCAAATGTATATAATATCACCTCTACACCGTACAGACGTTCGATCCTTCACCGATCTACGTAGGACCATACCAAAACCTCTGAAACCATGCAAGGCGGCTGTGAACTCCAGCCCTCAACTCTTGTATCACCCTCCCATCTTCAGTCCTTTGGTTCGAATACCCTGTACTTGACTTCGGTCCCGATTCCACTTCCAGATAACCGTCGACTACGCGGCATTGTCGCACGAATAAGTAAGAACTCACCTGTACCACCATTGCCAGCCGGAGATCCGCAAGTCCTGGCGTCATGTTTCCTTGGATGACCTCAGCGCCATCCTGCAAGGCACCCAGTACAGCTACAAAGCTGCTGAGTAGCTGCATGTGGCAAACAACCACTAGATGTTGCGCCACAATGTTGTCGAAAACAGCCTTATTGGTTCGGACTCCGAGTTCCTCGTGGAGTGACTGAGTCGCCTTTGTGAGTTTGGCTGAGCACGATAGCAACTCAACGACAACCTGGTCGGTACGTAACTCATTTGTAGCACTCGAAAGAGAATTGAGAATGCTGCATTCATCGTTCATGTCTTCAGAAGGTTTCATGAGCCATGCCATGACAAGCTTGAGTACAGCATCATTGAGTAACAGCATGGGCAAACGTTGGTCAAAAACTCTTTGCTTGTGAGACGGCCCCTAGTTCTTGAAGACTTCTTGGCTCTTATTGTCGAGGGCTTGGACTCTAGGTGTGAGGTGACCAAGGACTTCCGTGGCGTTCTTGAAACTGCAACTTAGTGGTAGTTGTTCCACTTGCGACAGATTTCCCCCCGTTTCCAAGTGCCATTCAACTTGAAGTTCAGGGATGCATAAATCCCCCACATCATCATGGAACCCAATTTGCATGTTCATCGAGGTGTTGAACATTGATATTGATGGGTCTGTGATTTGGTATCTCGCATGCATAGTGTCCCACGAATAAACTTCCGGCTGCAGTGCATGACCAGGCCATGCTTCGGGCATCAACTCAAAACGCGGTCCCGGGGCTAAGATCGGCTCCGACTTAGGTTGGCATGGAGTAATGGTTCCAGAAGCATGAGGTGGGGCTGACAGCTGAAGACTATACGTAAGTCCAGGTTCCTGGATACTCGCACAGTCATACTCCTCAGGCGTAAGCGGTTGCACAGCAGCTTCCATGCGGCTTATCGGAGGCAAAAGCACCGTCTTGCCCTGGTAGTGGTGCAAACTCGGACGGCCCTTGGGGCGGCTGAGACTGTATACGCACTGAGTGCCATGTCGAAAGCAACGACTGCAAGCTCCCGTTCTTCTTCCTCCAGGAGGATTGCATCTTAGCTTTTGTCTATGACATCTATCACATGACTGGCGGCGTGAAGATGTAGTCAAGCGCTGACTTGGTGAGGCAGGGGGATATGATAGATCAATTTGACGAGCGGTTGAGGACATTCTGCAGTGGTGAGAAGAATCAGCGTTCAGTTTTGAGAAGTGTGGTAAAAGTTGAATGGGCTGTAGTAAGATACAATCGAAGCATACTATGAGAAGAGATGCCACTGGTGAATTTATATGCCAGTATGTTCAAAGGCAACCTTCCATAGGCCGTTTCGTATGTAATAGAATGTCAGACCCCAAGATCCTATTACATATTATTTTAAACCCTGCATGCAAATAAGCAGCCACTTGCTCAAGATAGACATATAAACCGCTTTTCAAACCTTCCTCGCATGATATTTCACTGAAGGTTCGAGATTCAGGAGCAAGCCTGAGCTAGTGTCCGGTATCCTTTTGTGCTTTTGATGACCAAAAACGGGCTTATGGTTGCTTTTTTTGTAGATATCTGCTATTGCATATTCTTTGAAGCTTGGAAGCACCGTACCACAAGGGGAACGCATATGCTGTGTGAGGGAAATATTTATTGTCGTACAGCCTATGACTCAACGTGGAAGCCGAGGATTTTATGGATAGCTTAGTAATCCATGTAGGCCCTCAGTCATGTCGGAAGTAAAGAAATAGAGCAGCAGTTCTTACTTATTATTCAAGTAATGAGTTTGCCCAGGGGGCCAGGCACCTTACTCCAAGCCAACTGCCGACTTCAGGCCTTACAAAACCCCCAATAAGCCGTTTGGTAATATCCCTGTCTTCTCTTAATGAGAGAATACTATTAGTTTGCATCATTACTTGCGCTTCTGGACATGCTTCTCCTTCTTGGCATTGGTGTTTCAATGCTGGCTGTACGGGCAAATACGATGCTCGTATACTGTGAGCAACATTTTAGTCTTACGGCTGAGAGCTTAGATCAGTAGAGAGATCTTAGTAACTAACTTGTAAGAGAAGATCTAGTTACGCGCATGAGGGGGTTACTGTAGAGTAGCATGGCGAAGTTTATATAAGTGACTCTTGCGTTTGCCAACTAGTCAACTATTTGAAGAAAGCTCTATAGTTGAATTTATCTGCAGACTATTCAGTTGCTCAATGATGTCTCTGCCATGCGATTTTGGCACCAGTCAAAACTTCCATCATGTGTTTCTGCCCACCTGTCTCCTTGGGATCATCGCCAATGAAATTGGAAGGGAAGCCGGCGTCAAACTCTTTGATGCTCTCAATATAGCTGATCTGCTCATCCTTCAAGTGAATACTCAAAGCCTCGATGTTATCGTGCAAATGCTCGATCTTGCGTCCGCCAACGATGGGAAACACGTTCCTGGCTTTTTGCATGACGTATGCCAGCGCAATCTTTTGAATACTGTCTGTGTCGTGCTCAGCGGCTACCTTTTCCAGGGCTTCGCTGACTTTGCGAGCCTCTTCACTCTGGTTGTTGCCGCGGCCCTTATCGCCAGCTTGTTTACGTGCCTCAAGCTGCTTGGCAGTCTGTAGTTGACCACCGCCGAGAACGTCAAAGGGACAAATGGCCATGCCGAAGTGACGGGCCATGGGAATGATATCCCGTTCTAGATCGCGCACCATGAGATTCCAGCGGCCCTGGTAAACAGAGAAGGGGGTTTTGCCGTGCATTTTTGCGTAGGTATTGGCAGCAGACACGACCCAAGCTGGCGTATCTGAGATGCCGAGGTAGAGCACTTTCCCCTGTTCTACGAGGATATGGAGAGAATCCATCAGTTCCTCGATGGACGTAGTCCAGTCCCACCAATGCACATAAAGAAGATCAATATAATCTGTCTGTAGCTTGCGAAGCGAGTCGGCAACAGACAACTTTAAAGATTTCTTATGATTGCCGCCGTAGTTGACAGTCTTTCCCTGTCCGAGGTCGTGTGTACGGTAGCAATTGGTGAATTTTGTGGCAAGAAACAAGAGGTCCCGGTTGCCTCGCGCAGCGATCCATTTGCCGATATATATCTCTGACTCTTCGTTTTGATAGTTGTTGGCGGTGTCAATGAAGTTTCCTCCCGCATCCACATATGCATCTAAAAGTTTGAAGGAGTCCTCCTCATTCATAGAGCCCAACTTCGATCCCCAGGCTTGTCCAATGGACATAGCACCAAACACAAGGGGAGAAACACGTACTCCGGCTGTGCTGGACAGGATGCGGTAGCGACCCAGTTCAGTCTTTGGCTCTGGGGGCAGTGACATGTCCATGGTGAAAGTTGGAAGAATGTGGATGTGAGGGGACGGTTAAGAAGATTGTCAATAGGGATGATTGACGGAAGGATGTATGAACTGTAAGTGTCTTGGGTCATGTCAAAGGAAGGACGCTTCCCTCTACTTATAGAATTCAGTCAATGCAGCTAGCTGCAATGCACTATGCCTCCTCCAACCTGGAATCTGAGCTCCCGGAGTTAAGAAAGACTTTTATCCGAATAGACAGCTATAGCTCCAACCCTGTATATCATGATAGTTAGCGGTGTAGAATGTCACTCCTCGGAAATAGCGGACCTAAGATCTATACGTAGAAGATGATTGGAAACAGCTGGAATGATAATTTGCACCATGTGATTCATGTAACAATGCATGTTAACTCTATCCTTGGGGCAAATCTTTGAAACTGATTGGCCAGACTTCATTAAACGAGTTCCTGGCATATACATACTGTTTGAATCAGGTTTAAATTGCAGGGGAACGCTGAAGCCAGTGCTGATAAATCAGGTTGAACTCAAGCCAGGTCAAGGTACACGGATGAGTCAACGGTCGGTTATCAGACATAGTGTGATTGGTTCCATGATAACTTCATCTCTTGGCACACCATGATAGTATAGTTTAAGGTGATGTAGTTAACTTCCCATGCCTATTTGATCATGGCGGCATGACTCATAGTTCCAGTACAGGGACGACTAGGCCAAATCTGCAAATGTCCAAGCCAAACCTAAACCTTTCTTTGAGGTTGGTTTCTCCACTATCCCCTCGAATGCCAAAATCCGGTCCGCAGATCCGTGAATGTAGAGGTAACTTTAGGCTAAACTGTACTTCAAGAGGCTGATAGCAGTAAATCGTTGTAAACTCAGCAGTTCTTGTAAGTAAACCGGATTATAAAAAACTACTCGACATCTAGACTGCCCTAAGTCTCCTCGATGCTCTCTTCTTGGCTGTCTTTGACCTCATCCCAATCCCCATCACCATCGACCTTCTTCGCGACATCTTTTGGCAGAGGAATGACAGGTTGCGCATTGGTATTTATTTCCCAGATCTTGATCCAAAAGAGAATCTGCGTCGCAAGAATAAAGACACCAGCACCCAAGACCGCTACCCAGGCTAGCAATATGATAGTAGCAACTGGTGAGTAGATGATAAAGCCTAGTATCCGCGGCTTGAGGGAACTTGGGTATGTGCGATTGGCCAGCCCGAAAGAAATTCGCCAGGCAGATTTGATGACCCAGGAACCATGGATAAGCAAGAGAGGGAACACAGATGTGCAGGCCAAAAGCGCAAGATACTTGCGGAGTGGTGACGTAATGCGATCCTTGAGCCAAAAGCCAGGACGAGGTTGCGGGGTTGCAGTACTGGGCTTGACGATAGAAGTCTCTTTTTCGTCCTTTTTGTCATTTTGGTTGTCTTCATCGGGGAATGAATCGACCTGCTTGGCTGACCACCAGCAATTGGCTATGACGAGGACTGCGAGTGTCCAGAAGAGGTCGCTCTTGAGATACTCGTAGCGGTTGGTGTCTGAGTACCACCAGGACTCATAATGTGAGCTGGGCGTGGCAGTCATCTTGACAATTGATCTAGATGATAGGAAGAGGAATTGAAATGAATTACGAATCAGACAGGAGGGGAGAGTATGTTCTTTTATTATCAGAGCTTATACTTAAATGGCTGCCTGGAGCATCATGTTGATTCCCCACATTCCATTGATTTGCTTGTTGTGATTGGCTTCAAATGTTGAGCAATGGGGCTGTACAGTCAGCATGGCAGTCAAGGATGATTTAGCTATACATTTAATTGCTACGTAATAAAGAGACTTAACGACTCAGCCCCTTGCCTTTTCGCCACGTAAATGAATGTGACATCTCCCGTACCCAAATAACAATTCCAGGTGTCAAATTCACCGAGTTACCAAATACACCCTGGCGTTCCTACGTGCGACCCTTGTTACCGCACCGAGACGCACTAAGGCGCACCAGACCTCAGACCGATTAGATCTCAGGACGTCTCAGGCTTATCGTGAGACCCAGCTATGAATTACTGGTTCGAACTCGCCGCTCTACGGCGAAGCTACCCCTGGTTGCATTCTGGGTTAGGGCTGGTATTAGGAGGGCCAGCCTTGATCTTGATGTTGACCGTACCACTGGGTCCACTAATATCAATTGATACCTCCCCAGCCTCGGTATTCTGGTCAATAACCTTCTCCAGGGCAGTGCGAATAATGTCAGCCTGGGAAGTGTCAGGAGGTTCGGTGCTGCACTCCTTCTTGGTAGCCTCGTTGATCTGGCCCGAGATGATACCAGCTATGGCAACGCCACCGGCGTTGGCGACGAAGGGTTTGTTGAGGAACTCCCAAAGATTGCCACTGGAGACGTACTCAGCAGTACTGACCCAAGCGTTGTAACCCGAGAGCAAGACGTAAGTGGTGGCTTTGACAACGCATTTTTGGCCAGCTCTGCACGTGCCTGCAAGGTCGCGCGATTCAAGTTGAGTGCCATCAGATGTTGTAACGTTGCCGACGATCTCGTTAATGTCGAGTTCAACGGCAGACCTCTTATGGACTATGTGTTGTCAGAGCCAGAGCGGATTGTATCGAGATGCGGTCTTCTTACGTTTATCGTCCCACTCATTCTCAGGGACACCTGTGAAGACGCCCTTGGCAAGCTCTTGCCAGCGAACGTTTTTGCCATCAAACTCGCTGATTTCGCCGTGCTTGACAGCGAGAGCTCCTTGGGCTCCAAGGAGACCGGCTACGACAGCAGTGAGAAATCGTGTGTAAAACATAGTGGCTAGGTTTGAGACAGTTTTTGAAGAGAGGATGATAGAATATTGGGATGAGTGACACTGGATGATGATGATTTCCAATGCTAAGTTATGCCATATTTGTGCTGTTTTAAATAGTTTTCCTTTATACTCAAGATAATTTATAATAAAGTCAAAGACGAATATCACAACGCAATGCCTTGCTCCCAGGTGTCTGACTGTGTACTCGGAATCCCGTTTCTTCTGCCGATCGTTGGCTATAGTTTTGAAATCCATCCTTCGCGAGTTCCTCCTAGGCATCAGTAAACTTCCAAGGTTGATGATCAGCCTGCTCCGCCTTGTTTTGTTAGAGTTTGTCCATAAGCAAAGGATCTAGTTGCTCGTATGCAGGGTTAAACGGCCCCCAATGTCAGCACTCGGATGACGAGGGAATTCCCGCAACATGCAGGTCAATGACGATCAATAACCCGGAAGGCAGATCTCAGGACCGAAGGATTTACTAAGTTTCCGAAATTAGACCCGGAACTTGCCAAAAACCCGATGTCCCTTTCTCATGGAGGATTAAATAGATATACTGACGTAATTGATCCTTAGGCGCATGAAGTAAGCATCAGCTGTGAGTTACATCAACTCAGAATAACATTCTTATGAAAGGCCCGTGAATGCTTTCGACCCATAATTATCTAGAGAAGAGGCTCCTTCGCTGCCTGATTATTGATCCTATGTCAGAGATCATCAAGAAGGAATATCTCAGGATCAAAGGATTTTCTGACTCTCTGAAATGGAAGGTCGGCATCTCCTTGAGAGGCGAGTTTCCAGTTTACAGATAGAAACATTGACGTAATTATCTGAAGATCCACTGCAGTGTCAGAACTTCCTGCGCAATGGCTCCTCAGTCTATGAGAATTTGCAAGTTGAAGGGGGGCATTTCTGTTAAGATAGGCTCCCTGAAGAAGTATTAAAGTCCTTCGTCCACCCACTGATTCAATTCTAAACCATTCTCATCTTCATCTTATCTTCACAACCTGAAAACATCAACTATTAACACTTTCAAAAGACCTTCATCTTCTATCTTAACTCCTTCCACCATTATGTACTCCCTGACTGTCTTGATCGCAGCTTTCACTGCTCTGTCTGCTGGTTCACCCACACGACCCAACTCGGTTGGCCTTCAAGCTCGCGATGACCTTCTTGGACCAGCCACCTGTCCAGGTGGTGACAAATTTGCCCTTAACGAAGAAGATGCAGCTGCTGGCGCTGAAGGGTTCAAGTTGTGGGTTGAGCAGGGTGCTGATGGAAAGATTGACCTCTCTGGTAACTTCAAAGGCCAGATTTCGGTATGTTATCATCCCTTCCTTCGAATTTCACAGCTAACCGTGGAATTAGAAAACTCACAAGGGCGTAACCTTCTTTGCTTGTGATTACAAGAGTGGAGGAAAGGGAAGCTATATCAACGGCAATTTGGTCCAGTCGGTCCTTCGAAAGGATGGCTATCTCGATAGCAAGTGCGGCAGTGGCAGAGGTGGTTACGAGAGCAGCAACGATCTCAGCATCGGCCGTACCTTTGTAAGTCCAGTACTACTCTATTTGTTATCAGCCTAGTACATGTCTAACCTTTTGAATGTTTAGAACGGCGACCACTATTGTTGAAGGAAGCAAGTTACTGAATAGCATTGGCTCTATATACTTCTCTGTGGAATCCTATGTGGCAAATTAGCAATGCTGGAGGAATGCTAAGGATACATATTTAGCTAGGATACTGTCTTTACCTTAGGCCTAAGCCAAGGCTTTTGGCAATACATTCCTTAACAACAGATAACTATCACAATACTAGCAATATTCAATGGTCATACAAAACACAACAGGTTTCTATGCTATGTGTATTCATTTTAGAAATACTACCCCTTCCTGTTTAGAATGTCTACGATTGTCTGATGCCCATATTCTGTAGCAATTACTAAAGCGGACTTTCCTTTCCAGTCCCCATGGGGAATGATATAGTCAATATCCGCTCCCTTTTCAATTAGCAAAAGCACAACGCGTTTGTGGTCCCATAATGCAGCGTGACAAAGCGGTGTAAAACCCCAGCCGTCAGCAGAATCAGGGCTAACCTTGCCCGTTTCCAGCAGTTCACAGACAACATCAGCGTGACCCTTCTGGGCAGTGTATGAAAGAGGGGTGTGCCCATCCTCATCCATATGACCAGGATCCGCCTTATACCTTTCCAGCAACAGTTTGACGGTAGATTTCATACCCTTTTCTGCCGCATATGAAAGAGGTGTTCTCCCTTTGGCATCAGGGGAATCCGGGTCTGCTCGGCCTGATTCCACGAGGGTTCGAATGACACCTTCGCACCCGTTTCTTGCCCCATATAAAATTGGTGTCAATCTGGTACTCTCGGCTTGAGCGGTAGATATTAGATTGGGGTCTGCCCCACTGGCGATAAGAAGCTCAACGATCTCCTGATGCCCCTTCTCTGCTGCGAACGAAAGAGGTGTTCTTCCATTATAGAATTGTGCTCCAACGAAAGTCGCTTTTGCCGTAGTGTTAGGGTTGGCCCCCATATCAAGCAGTGTTTTCACTGTAGTTTTGTGTCCATGCTGTGCCATATGGGACAGAGGGGTACGCCCAAATCTATCTGGTCGGTCGATCTGAACTCTTCCAGTCACAAGAAGCAGTCTCGCAATTCTCTCATACCCTCTTGCTGCAGCAAACAAAAGTGGTGTAGACATACTGTGAAGAGGATCTGGATTTGCCCCATTCTCCAGTAGCAGCCTGGCTATGTCCTCGTTGTTGGCGCGTGTTGCACGAAGTAGTGGTGTGAAACCTGGGGTTATTGAGAAATCGACGTCGGCGCCATTCTCAAGCAACAGTCGGACGATAGCCTCATGCTCGTTGTCAACTGCACGGCCTACTTCAATGCTGATATCCTCAGGTTCCGTCTCGAGGAACAACCTAACCAGACTCTCTCGTTTGTCCTCCACAGCATAAGATAGTGGTGAGCGTCCAGATTTGGACCTTACTGAAGCAGAAGCGCCATTAGCAATCAAGATATGAACTGCAGCTTCGTGCCCTTGCTCCGTAGCAAATGACAATGGAGTGCGTCCTGCGTTCTCATTATCATAATGCCACTTAGGAATAATCTCACCATCTTGACAATCCACTTTTGCTCCCCTTTCAAGGAGTACCACCATAATAGCCTCATGCCCCTGTTCAGACGCATATGATAGTGGAGTCCTCCCGGTCCGGTCCGTTATGTCTACCGCTGCCCCCATATCAAGGAGATACTCAACAAGCTCGGCCAGACCGAAATATGCCGCTATATGAAGATGTCTCATAAAGAAGTAACCAACTTTGAATTTCTGCAGGGCGTTCCTCATGGCAAGACTAACGGTCGCCTCATCATCCAAAAACTCAATAAGCTCGCGATTCGAAAGTAAGGAATCGCGCCCATGGTGTCCCCAATTCACAGCGCTGTACCACCATAATGGATACGAGGATCTGGTAGCGAGGTCAAAGTCGAGAAAACGGTAACGTTCATTCTCTTCAACCCACAGATGTGACATGCAGGTTCTTGCAATGTCTTGTTCCGTCAACGCAAATAGTTCATGGGGATTTTGGCTAAGGTATTCTTGCGTGGTATAATGAACGAGTCGAATAATCTTACTTGACTCATCATAGGTCACAAGTCCCGCACAGACAGAGATCATGGTGGACTCGAAGGGTAAGTCTTGTGTGCGAACCATACGGTATTTGGATCTCGTCGCCAGGGCGTACTGCAGATCCTCGACGGTCAACTCACTTCTTGCGTATGTAAGCCAAAGGAGAACTCCTTTAGCTAGCATCGCGTGATCTGCTTCCTGGGATTTGATCCTGGCCATGGTTTGCTCGTAAGCATCTGACAAGGCTTTAGCATTGCCCTTCCTACTGCCTCGCTTGAACATGGCTAACTGGTTTCGTATCTCTGTTTCAGACACCTTATAACTGAGCAAGTTCAGATAAATCCGCGCCAAAAGAAACCTGCAAGCTGTTAGCTATAGGTCCTATGTCTGTTAGGGGAAAACGCACATTCCGTCTACAGACTCCTGAACAGACTCTATGATAACCCGGCGAAGATCCTTGTTTTGCCGGATGTCAGATGGCAACATGTTGAAGTTTCCTTCGATGTATGTGCCAATATCATCCCTCACTGCATTGATCTCTAGACTCGTATTGTTCAGGAAGCTGGATCTGATCTCAGAAGAGATTGTGGTGTCGAATCGGGAAGTGGCAAAGATATTGACGTCAAGTTCTTCCTGTAATTGAGCAAGCTGCACAAGAAAGGACTCCCTTGCGCCAGGAACACTCCCGTATTCATCAAGCGCATCAACTATGATGAATACTCTCGAGTGTTCAGAGATCACGGACCCAAGAGTAGAAATTATTTCTCTGGGTAATGGCCGTGTTCGTTGGATAGCATGGTTTGTGTAGAGAGACCGTAAGCACTCTGGCAGGGACGGCAAGCCGGCAGAAAGCTGTTTCAGTATACATGTAAGGAGGCCGTCACTGGTTTGTTGATCCTGCCTCTGGAAGTTGCAGAAGATGTATGATAAACCGCCAGCAGAGTCTCCCGCGAGCTCTAAGTTTAGGTGTGCGATCAGACCTGATGTCAGGATAGTCTTACCAACACCTGGGATACCTTGGCAAAAGAGAGTTTGCCCAGGTGTCTTGACCCAATCTCGGTATTCGGTGGTATTGAGAAGCCAACTGCCAGTTCCTGGCTCTTGAACCTTCTGAAACTCGCTCTGTTGCAAGCCGTAGTCAACTGCTGTGAGCCAGTCGAGAATCTTGATATCATCCTTCTTATTCTGATTGGTTCGGATCTCGGCGACATCATCGCGTGTTTCGGAGACAACACAGTAGACTATTCAAAATTAGTAGGTAATAGCTAGCCGACAAGACAAGAATCTTACCATCGTTCAACAAATCTTTCAGTGGACGCTCCCGTTTCACATCGGTTGGCTGTACATACTGTAAGAGCTCCTTTGCAAAAGCTGCGGCTACAATAGCTGCGTGTTCCTGCCAATCTTTGTTCTTATGCGAATCGGCGTAGTCACATATGCCCCGTATGACAAGACAAGGAAAGTGATTCACAAGACCCGCAGCCTCCATTTCGATGCAGAGGACTTGTCCCCCTAGGTCTTTGTTGAGTTTATTCCGTGATGCAGCATCTTTGATCAGCTTGTCACCTGATGCGATCAGACCAAAGAATATGCGCATCTCTCTGTCCTTTCTCTTCACAATCATGGATCTATCACAAAGCCGACAAGGACCCTGCTCCTCGTCCTCATCCTCATCGCCATCTAGGTCTTCATCGTCCGTGTTAGAAGTAGTGTTATCAAGGTGATCGTAAGATGACTTGAATAATATGTCTTTGAGAGACTCTCTCCGTAGAGATGTAGCAGCAAGTCTGGGCCATTTGTCTTTCAGTGCTTCCAGATACTCCGGTATCTTAGACCCGACCAGGTTGTGTTGCGTCTCTAGTTGTGTAAGAGCCGTCAACAGTGACTGGGGTGGATTGTTAAGTGATCCAGTTCGTTCGAATTTTCCCTGCCCATGTACCTTGCCAGCATCCCACTTCACCACTCCCGGGTAGTCACCAGAGGATGTCCCGACAACAACATCTCCCAGCCGGATCTTGTTGGATGGAACACCACCACCAATACCTACCATAAGACCGACTTTGATAGAGGGAAAGGTCGTGACTAGATGACTGGCAACTGTTGCTGCTGGGACATTTCCAATCATACCCTTTGGTAAGCAAGTAATGGCAATATTGTGAGGCCCAATGGAACCAAGAGTATACGAGTTGATATCGTTTCGGGGTTTCGATAGTGGGCGGTGCTGATGATCCAGCATGGCTGTAGCGGCCGTTAGCTCCTTGGGCAACGCGCAGACCCATCCCACGGTATAGTCATCATGTGTGAAGAGGTCCTTATTCCCATCTTGACTCATCGGAGGTTCTTGTCCTGAGTTTATGGGTAAGCGTGGATGAACTGGTCGAAAGAGACATATGGAGAAAAGAAAAAGAAGGCCAGCATGGGGCTTACGAAATAACCAGCGCCCGCCATCAGCAGATGCGATTCCGAACCAATCGTAAGCTCGGGCCGTCTGGACTGACCTGCAGCTTGCACATGTGCCCTTGTATCCTTATATAGGGGTGTTTACTAGCTTGGTCTCGAATTTGGGGAAACAGCAAAACTTAAGACGATAACGAACGAGAAAAACACTTAGATAAGGGACCCTAAGTTGAGACAAATTCAGATTAAGAAGCCTGAATTTAGAAGAACCGTTGTCAGCTCATTTTGATATTCTGTTTTAAATCTGTAAATTTCCCTGCGCCCTGTGATGGCCCAACGCTTTGTAGCACTGAGACTGGCTGAATTGAAGCTTTTGCAAGTCATGATCACCTTGAAAGAATGAACAGCCTGACACCGAGGTTTCTTGATAAGTATTTATTATTCTCTCCATATGTACCTGGTAACTATATACGATGAAGCTCAAACATGGCGATTATTTGTTATCGAATCGCGAAACAAGCACGGATCCACCAAGACTCTTTGTAGCATAGTTAAGAATACCATAACGATGTCCGGGGAAGAACTGCCAATCATTACCAAGCGAGACTGTGGACCCGAAGTTGGTAAAGCTATTGCCGTCGGTGCTATAACTGAACACAGCAGATCCAGCAGCACCAGGGCTGATATTAGCAGTGACACGGAGATACACCTTGCGGAAGGAAACATTGTTCTGTCGAGCTGAAACACTTCCAGTGGACTTGGTGGTCCAGTCAGTGTTCATGCTGAGGCCAGTGTTGAAGACGAGGTTGAAGTTGCTTCCTTCACGTTCGATACCGATCCAGGCTGATGAGTCGCGAAGAACTGCAAGACCAGTACGATCACCATCGGCCATCTTGGAAAAGTCGATGAGGACTGTGCCGGTTCCCTGAGGACCCCGAATTCGGTGGGTAAGGGTGTTACGAGCTTGATACAAGTCCTTGGTAACAGTAGCAGTCTTCAAGGTCAAGCCGTTGTTGACAGTAAAGCTCTTGGTGTCAGGGTTATGGTTCCACTCCCAATCTGCTCGGAGGCTGGGACCAGTGAAGGTATCAGTACCAATAGGGCTGGGAACAGTGCGTTTAGGAAGTGGGTAGTCGTAGTTGCCCCATTGGCCATTGACGAGGGTGATCTTGGGGAAACCATCGCTGCCCCAGGTAATAGGCGCCAAAGCTGGTGCTCGTCCCCCAGGGTACATGTCCACGAAAGACATGTAGTACCAGTTGCCGTTGGGTGTATCGATAAGTCCGCCTTGGTGAGGTGCTCCAGCTCGAGGCGCGGTAGCTAGTTTGAGGTTATCGGCGATGATGCGGAGGTCATAAGATCCGAAGGGCCCGTTGGTTGACTTTGCAATGTATTGTCCGGTGGCGGGACGTGTCAAGAAGATGTACCAGTTGTTGTCCTTCTTGTACAAGCGAGATCCCTCAAGTGTAAGTGTCGATGGCGGTGAGAGGACAACCTGTTCCTTGACTTCGGTCTTCATGTCCTTGGAGAGCTGGGCAATGTGAAGATCACCTCGCCCATAGGCAACGTAAGGAGTGTTATCAGTATCGAAGTGCAAACCAGCATCGTAATAGCACTTGTTGATGGTTGTGATCTGAGACCACGGGCCAGTTGGGCTCGACGCGCTGTAGACATAAGTCTTTCCGAACTCAATGCAAGCAACGAAGTAGAACTTTCCGTCGCTCTCTCGGTAGCGGAGAGAAGAAGCCCAGATACCCTTGACGTAAGCTCGCTGCCCGTTCTCAAGGCTGTACTTGGAGGACCAGTCGAGAACAGGGACGGAATGTCCAATGTGCTCCCAGTTGACGAGATCGTAGGATCGAAGGACTGGAGCGCCGGGGGAGTAGTGGAATGTCGAAGCTGTCATGAAGTAGGCATCTCCAGCCCGAGTGACTTCAACATCAGAGAGATCTTCCCAAATAACAGGGTTTGTAAACTTTTCTGCCATGGCGGCAGCGGCCGAGAAGAGGAGGCCAAGAATAGCACGCATTTTGAAGTCGTGTACAACCAAAGAGATTTGTTAAAGAGAACCTATTACAGTAGTTCTCACTCTAACTTATAAGAAAATGACCGACATTCCAAATTGGAGTTTTGACATGAAACGATTGGCGCGCTTTAGCTGAGCAGGGATCAGCGTCCAGACTTCTTAGAGTTCTCACGGAAATATATCCTCCTCTAGAGCCACGAGTAGCAGGGCGCCAATGTTTATTACAGGGTTGGACCCCGCATTATGCACGATGCGACAACTTCAGGCTGAAACAAACGTGGTCAAACAAATCAGCAGACGCTTCATTTATTCGTCACTACTCGAGTAATTAAGGGGAGCTGAAGGCCATGACTAGTCGTATTAGCCTAATTTGGGCGTGTTTTATATGGATCGCTTAACGGAAGATCGGCACTTGCAGCATTCGGCATTTGCTAGATGTCACCATGTTCCCTTTTGACAAACGGAATGCCTCTTCCGTTACCCCAGATGAAGTATGGATACACCAGATGATTTGCGTTCATCTCACCCTTGACTGAAACATGATCCAAGTGTCCTCTCGTATGCGTTCCAATCAATGAGCCTCCGCCGATGTGCTGTCTGTTTCCAGTAAATGATTCGCCTTGTTCCGATTATCCGGATTCTACTTCAAGGAACAGCTGCAATCTGACGATGCGCGCAAATAGAAGCCCTAAGGTCGGTGTTAAATACGGCCTTAGGTCCGCATACTAGTTAGGCGCGCAAATTGTTTGTGGTTATCGTACGAAAACATCACAGCCAATTTGTCTAAATACGGTAGTTGCTCGTTTATCATCGTTTACCCCAACGCTAGCAATTCTTAAACGAATTTGAGTTGTCACCTTCCCCATACGGGGAACTGAGTTTTGCATGTCAGCATAGGATCACATATTTAAAGGTGACTTCAAACTGCTTATAATAATTCCACTATAGAATTACTCTTGGTCAAGAGCCCAAGTTAGCAAGACATTGATTCATATTAGCAGTTGCTTCGAGACCTCTCCAATATGTGGTTGACCCCCCCGTTGCTGTTTGTCAGCACCCTCCTGGGCTTCACTGGTCTTGCTCTAGCAGACAACCCCATCGTCCAAGACATCTACACCGCAGACCCAGCACCAATGGTCTACAACGGCCGTGTCTACCTCTTCACTGGCCATGACAATGACGGCTCTACCGACTTCAACATGACCGACTGGCGTCTCTTCTCGTCAGCAGACATGGTCAACTGGCAGCATCATGGTGTACCCATGAGCTTGAAGACATTCAGCTGGGCCAACAGCAGAGCTTGGGCTGGACAAGTCGTTGCCCGAAACGGAAAGTTTTACTTCTACGTTCCTGTCCGCAATGCAAAAACGGGAGGAATGGCTATTGGCGTTGGTGTTAGTACCAACATCCTTGGGCCCTACACGGATGCCCTCGGGAAGCCATTGGTTGAGAACAATGAGATCGACCCAACTGTGTATATCGACACTGATGGCCAGGCCTATCTATACTGGGGTAACCCTGGCTTGTACTATGTGAAGCTCAACCAAGACATGCTCTCCTACAGTGGAAGCGTCAACAAGGTTTCGCTCACAACTGCTGGATTCGGCAGCCGTCCAAACAACGCGCAACGCCCTACAACCTTTGAGGAAGGACCCTGGCTGTACAAGCGTGGCAATCTTTACTACATGATCTACGCTGCCAACTGCTGCTCCGAGGATATCCGCTACTCGACTGGACCCAGCGCCACTGGGCCTTGGACTTACCGCGGTATCGTAATGAATAAGGAGGGCCGAAGCTTCACCAACCATCCTGGCATCATAGACTTTGAGAACAACTCGTACTTCTTTTACCACAATGGTGCTCTTACTGGTGGCAGCGGCTATACTAGATCTGTGGCTGTTGAAAGCTTCAAGTATGGCTCCGATGGTCTGATCCCTGAGATCAAAATGACTACGCAAGGCCCTGCTCAGGTCAAATCTCTGAACCCATATGTCAAGCAAGAGGCCGAGACCATCGCGTGGTCTGAGGGCATCGAGACTGAAGTTTGCAGTGAAGGTGGCCTCAACGTTGCTTTCATCAACAATGGTGACTACATCAAGGTCAAGGGTGTCGACTTTGGTAGCACTGGTGCAAAGACCTTTAGCGCTCGTGTTGCCTCAAACAGCAGCGGCGGTAAGATCGAGCTTCGACTTGGTAGCAAGACGGGCAAGTTGGTTGGTACCTGCACGGTAACGACTACTGGAAACTGGCAGACGTACAAGACTGTGGACTGCCCTGTTAGTGGTGCTACTGGCACGAGTGATCTCTTCCTTGTCTTCACGGGGACTGGATCTGACTATTTGTTCAACTTCAACTGGTGGCAGTTCAGCTAAATGATTTGAGATCTGGATGATATGAGAGTTCGCACTTCTTGTACATAATTGCTCTGATGGCTATAGCATATAACTCTCATTCATTACGACGGGTGGCCATTTGCCACAAATTCCAGCATCGTAATATTTCCCATTCCATATCTTTCTTCTCATCCGGTAAGAATATTTTCATCATCTAGTAACAACTGAAGCCATACATCTTTGCATCAACCCAATACTATGAAGGCTGTGAAGGTTTGCTGGAGGCTTAGGTGACATAAGGCTGGTAGGCAGTACCATTTTGCTGCGCCTCTCGCAACAGCCGCTTGTTGGAGCGGCTGAGCCAAATCTTCATGACGATAGCGCAGGCACTAGAGGTCAAACCGAAGGCCATCATACCGATGAAGGCGCTGATGTAGCGAGGCTCCTCCTTCGTCACGAACATGAAAGGAGCAGTGAAGTTTCCTATCGGACCTTGTTAGCTATGGTTCAGGGATTTGGGTTGGAGTAAACTTACCGATTTGAGATAGAAGGTTGCAAAGTGCAACAGAGGCAGCTCGCTTTTCGGGAGTCTTTGCAAGAGCACCTAAGAGATAGTCAGGACCATATTCAGTAGTTGAAGAGTATGGATAACATACCGCTGACATAGCCCATGATGAGAGGGTTGGCGATGTACATGCCACCAACGTAGATGAAAGAAGCTCCGTATCGAGCCTGGGGGTTGGTGGTCGCTAAGCAGACAATGAAACCAATACAAGCGACCGCAACAGGGATGGCATAATGCAGACCTCGCTCCTTGACCCTGCAAGGCAACTATTAGTAATTGTGTGATACATGAAATCAGTTGATACTTACTTGTCAGAGTGCCAAGCGTTGACATATGAGCCGATAGCAGCAAAGATGTAAGGCGGCGCAGTGAGAACAAGCGCGATGACAGAGCTGTATCCCCAATCGGCAGCCAGACCACGAACGATGGAAGGGTAGAAGTTGGAGAACCCGTAAGCAGCGGAGATGGTGATGTTCATGAGAGTAAGGATGTAGAGCTTAGGGTCACGAACGCTAAGCTTCAATCCTTCCCAAGCACCAGTCTTGGCCTCGGTAGTGGAAGGGCGATCAGCGAGGACACGTGCAGCAGCAACCTTTCGCATATCCTCAGTCATAGTCCACATGGCGCTGCCGGTAGTCGAGTCGGGATAATCGGGGATGAACCAGATACAGATCATGGCAGAGCCGGCTCCAGCGGTGGCGAGGATGATGAAGAGCCACTGCCAGCCAGCAAGGCCGTGGGCCTTCTCGAGAGTGGCGTAGGTGGCGGCGGCGATAAGACCGGCTGAGCAGAAGGCGATGGTCTGGGCTGAGTATAGGATAGCCATGCGGAACGCGACTTCTTTTCTGGTATACCTAGAATATTGTGTGAGCTTCCGGGCTGATGATGCCATGTGAAAGGATGAGCTTACCAACAACCAAGGAGGTAGATAGCGCCAGGAAGAAGAGGCGCCTCAACAAGACCAAGAGCGAAGCGAACGCCCATGAGTCCAGAGTAAGACTTGACTCCGACAGTCGCGACACTGACACCAGACCAGACAATAGCCATGAGGCAAAGGTAGAGACTGGGCCGAATCTTGGTGATCAACATGTTACTGGGGAGTTGGCCAAGGACTGCAAAAGGTCAGTATTATCTCAAAACACCAACTACGCAGAGAGCTTACCATAACCGAGAGAGAGAATAGAGACAGCCGAAGAGAAATTGGAACCAGTAAGATTGAGATCTTCATCAAAGGTGCTCAGTCTAGCATGGCCAATTGACGCTCTGTCGAGGTAATTGAAGAAGTAAAGACACCAAACACACGGCATGAGAGTCATATCAAGACGCCGAACAATCTTCTTCTCCAGCTCGCGCCAGTTCGGAATACCAAGAGCGTCAATCTGCTCCTCGGGGCTAGGAAGACGACCTTCATTCTTGAGATATCCCTCCTCTACCATGCCGAGCTCCTTCTCAATGGCAGAAGCAGTATCGGCCTTCTCGTCAATGGGAGGCTTGACATCTGAACTCGGGGCCTGAATGTCTTGCGGAGGCGCATCACCGCCCGCTTTCTCATTGGGGGTCGTCATATCTTGACAAATAACGCGTAACAACTAGGGGGATAACGACGATTTAATTGGCTGAGAAAGGGAGGGCTTGCGATGTCAACCAAGGCAAAAGGCTGAGTACACGAGAACAAGACCGAAGACAAAAACGAAGGTAGATGGCATTTTTTATAGATCAGCGAGACACAAGAGGGAAAAAAAACATTGGCGATGGGAAAAGGAAAAACCCCGCATCTCTCCAACGTTGGCATGGCTGGGCAAGCTGGGGAAAGTCGTGTGTCCCCCAGATGGTTGCATGTGTGAGCCAAGAGTCCGGGGCAACGAAGAATTTCGTCTCTATGAAAAACTGGAGAAGAAAAGGGTTCTGGGGCAAAACGGTCTCGCGTGCGAAAACACACAGACTGGATCGGACCCCAGATGAATTGCAGAGATCGGCGGTGTCAAATGATAATCAGATCACATCACTTTGAATCAATGTATCTCTGGAGTTCTTTTACTAGAGTTCAATTATTATGCTATGATGCCGTGGCGGTCGCTAAAGAGGCTGGATGAGGCTCTTTTTATCAGCGCTGTATTGCCGACCGGTAGGTCAACAGGCCAGGCCAGTCTCGATCACTCTAGTCTCTCAAAAAAATGCCCATAACATATCTCGCGTGCTATTCTTATTCCACGCTTTCATCAATTCGTCTAAGCAAGACGGAGAAAGAATTCTCTCGTATGTTTTTTATTTTCTCTGTAGCTAGCCATACGCCAAGATCACTGAATCGCAATGCGTTCATCCTCTTCCCCAATTACGCAGCAATTCTCAACCCAAGGAGGGGTCAGCTCCCGTCTCTCCCGTTCAGCCTTGGCATGTTACTCCAAACACGCAGAAAAAGGCCCGAGTCTTCCCGTGCCAAGGGCGGAGAGTCGATTACTGCGACCTGTGCTGTGAAGCTCCGGGCATGACTACCCACTATAGTGGATTATTCCCGCCTGGGCGCTACTCCACCATCATGTCAGGGCCAAGCATTATGGGAACCAATCTCGCCAAGTTGTTGTTTTGAGGTGGGAAAAGGTTATTCTTAAGCTTGTTCAGGACCTTGGCGGATGGGGCTGTCGTTACCCGCGGGATCAGGTGTTCTTCGGATCCAACACTTTGCCGTGCCCAGCCAATCCCGCGGGAGATTTGCACGCGATTGCTTTGTGTACCAAGGAATCTCGCATTTTCGGGAGTAGTTCTGAGATCCTGTTATACGTGCCGGCATGGATATCGCCGAAATATATCAGACTTCTTTTTTTTGCCCAAATGTCAAGGAGAGTTTTCTTCTTCTTTTATGAATTCGAGATGAAAACCCTAGTGGCGCAGCTCGTGTAGTCACAGCGCATGCCCGCCATAGTTATAGGGCATTTACAGTAAAAAAGCCACTCGACAAAAGCTAATGTTTTTCGCATAGCTTATCAGCTGGATTACATACACCCGGCACTTGTTGTCTTGGCTTCAATCTGCCCTTGGCAACAAAGTAGTCCGACTCGGATGTTCGCTCTCCGACGACAAGACCGAGCTGCGCAATTGAGAAGGTAATGAGCGTCTTGGAATGATTGAAACTATAAGCGTATCGCGGTAGTGATGTAGCAGAACTGCAGAAGTTGCTAGGACGAACAAAGACAATATTGGGTTGACTTTGCAGCTACCGTCCCCTTGCAAAACGAGAAAAATGAGGATTGTTGAGTTCCGATTGCCATCCAACCGCCTTGTTGCGACCTGAGATACTCATGCGTCCTTCGCCCATGACTCCCATTCATAAGAAGCAAGCATGAATGGCCCCACGCCATTCTGCCCATTCTCTAGTTTCGGTCTGCTGACATAGTACTATTCCTGTCAGTAAATGAACATGGACATTGCAAACGTTATACTCACTTCAAATGTGACATTTGAACTAGTCAATCCGCATTCAGCGACCGTGCTATTCAACACCAGTGACCCATCGTCGGGTTCGGTGACAAAGTTGTGAATCAAGCTTGTGAAAGCATCTTTAGCAGTTTCGAGATAATCATCTGAGTCGAGATATCCCAAATCAACGGCTTTCAGTAAGCCCCAGGTAAACATGGAGGAGCCGCTACTCTCGATAAAGTTGCCTTCACGTTCAGGGTAGGGTTCATTCATGACTTGCCACCAGCTGCCAAGATCCGGATCGCGGGAGTCCTTTAGACCCTTTGCGACAGACCCAAGGTATCCGAGTAGCTGGTCATACCCGGCATGTGACGTGGGGAAGTACTGTAATACCTCGACGAGGGCCATGAAGTACCAGCCAAGAGCGCGTCCCCATACGTTGGGCGCTCGGCCTGTTTCTGGATCGGCCCATGATGCTTGGCCTTCGACCCATCCGTGCACATGAAGACCAGTCGTCTCGTTGATTGTATGCTCGTGTATGAGCTCGTATTGTAGAAGTATGTCGTCCCAAGCTGTGTTGTTGTCTGAGTCGTAGAGATGCGTCCATCTGGCATAGAATGAATCGGCCATATAAATACCATCTAGCCACATTTGATTACGAAAGAATTGTTGATGCCTAAAAGCCGTTGAGCATTTGTCACGCGGCAGTAGTTAGTTTGACATGTCTCACTTACCAGAAGCCCCCGGAAGGAGTTCGGGGATAATTGTCCAGCATACGTCTGACTGTATTGGCAGCCGTCTCATATTTTGTTTCTCCAGTTTGATTGAAAAGATAAAGGTAGTTGTGCCCCATTCGGTACTCATCAAGGATATACCGCGATGTGTTGAGACCTTTGATGGAGCCATCCTCTTGAACGACGGGGCCATCGATCTGGCCGATATACCAGTCCAGGTATTTCTTATCTCCAGAAAGCTCGTAGACCTTTTCGAATCCTAGATAAAGAACAGCATCTTGATACCCAAGGTCGGGTGTTATACCCTTTGCGATCATGGTATCTGCCATCTCTGTCAGATAACAAAGGCCAAACTCAGCTCCAATGAGCATAATGACGAGGGTCCGCATGAAGGGCCACAACTTGTTACACACTGTAAACATGTTGAGTGTTTTCAATGAAATTACGGCCTAGAACGGTTTTGTTTGGATACCTCCAACGTCGATTGATCGATCAGGCCCATCATGACGAGCCTCGCCGCTCATATAGCAGCAAGACTGTGTCGCCAACAAGGCAGGTACCAACGGCCAAGCGTCATACTGTCGGTCGCTCAAGGAGTTTCTGTGACTGTGCACTTGTGATCAATTGTTGTTTCATAAAGCCTTGTTTCTTCATGCTTTGTGAGGTCACCAATGAGGGGAAACAATATGTAGTAGGTTGCAACGCACCATCGTACCAATGAGATTCTAGCAGTTAAGCCGGGAATAAATCCTTATGCATAAGAACATATGATATGCTACCAGCATTAATATTACTTTCTGGTCAGTGTTAAGTGGATGTCGTTAAAGCCCTGTATCAAGTGGGATGTTGTGATGTAATGAGTTCTACAGGGTAAGTAGTGAGAATGCGATTAATTATGGCAATACATCATTGTGTACGATATAATGTCACATATATCGTAATCTCCTGCAACAACTCAATCTTACGGGCCAAGCTCGCTGCAGTATTGCACTTAAAATCCCGAAGGTAATTCATTTGGGCCATGTAATCATTGGCATCCTTCGAGTTGACCAGAATATGGCCTGCAGATGGTGTCGTCGCAGTGAGTGATGTGGATCTGTTTTCCTGCGGCAGCTGTGGCTATTGTGTGGAGGATGAAAGCCGTTAGAAGGCGCATTGTCTTCGTACCCGTGTGGGTAGTTATTGATCACGAGATGATATAGAGGGGGCGTTGATTGGGACGCGTAGTGACCTACAGACGAGGGCTGATTTGTGGTGGGATGAAGATCATTAACTGGGTTGGTCGCTTAGCGGAAAAAGCCCCGATCTTCTACCTTTTACATCTCAAATCCTCTTAACTATTCAACTCCTCAAGCGTTTGCTGGCAAAGTCACATGGCTATAGTCGATACATGTGTTGAGGTAATATCAATATCAGGTTATGATATGTTTGAGAATGATTACAAGGTTTCATGATTGGCAAAGGATAGTCATGCAAATGAGATGGGTCAAAAGAACCTCACATCACAGGAAATAATTCCCGGTGGGAGATCAGCTCGCCAGTCCCGACCGAGCGGCCTGCATACACGAGGTGTATGTCCCATTGATCAGACGTTACATGCTCCCTCCCATCCCATTTTGGAAATCCGGAACCAGCGCCGAACAGATATCTCCACAAACAGATGGAGCTCTCTTACCGGTACTCATTACCGCAATCACCCATCGTCTCAAACATCTCGGCTCTGTTACTCCTATCCAAGACCTCTTCAATCAGCCCACGGTCATCATCATCCAAACTCCAGCCCAGAGTAGTAGCATTGTCACTTGTATGCTCACTCATGCCGATCCTGGCACCGATGATGACTGCTCCAACATAGGGAAAGTCCAAGACCCAGCGCGTAGCTATATTGGAGATGTTGACTCCGTGTTTTGTCGCGACGGTGCGAAGAACGCTGAGCAGCTCTTGGAAGAGATCCCAGCCACCCCAGCTACATATCATTCCATAGTACTTACGATATCGTCAGTATGTTGATGCGAGAATATGGCTGTTTTGCTTACTTTTCTCTGGCTGGGAGTAATGTTGGTGTCGTAGACATCTGGTTCGGGTTCATTGAGCCACTTGTCTGCGATGAATCCACCGCACTGGGGGAATCAGTTGTTATTGGTTGCTTGGCGATATATATGAGAAGACGCTTACCAGAGTGCCATATGTCAAAAGCTTAATATCATGGCGCGAGCATGCATCTGCCATTTTGAACGTAGGTCTCGAGTCAACTAGTGAGAACTGCATCTTGTCAGGACCGGCTACATCAGTGATTGCTGAAGTACCAACCTGGACTTGGTTCGTGAATATCTTGACTCCACTTTCAACAACATGCTCAAGATGTTCTGTATCAAAGTTGCATAAACCGATCCGAGCCACTCGCTTGTCTTCAGCCAAATATTGTAGCGCGTCGATATACTGGGAATTATCCCACTGGTACTCTGTTAGTAGGATCTCTTATGACAAATGGGTATCATGACTTGCAAGTTGCCAATGAAACTGAAGGAGATCGATCACCTCTTGCTGTAATCTATTGCACCTCTCGCCAACGTTGGCTTGTACTGCTTCCCGGGAGACAGTCATTGGATGAAACACGCAGTACTTTGTTGCAGTAAACATGTCGTCTTTATATGGATACAAACGTCTAAAGCGGCCCTTCCGTCCTGTAAGTCAATTGTCTAAAGGCCGTGTAGGATCTTGTAAACTTACATATAAAACCTCAGCATCTCCATAGTGGTCAGCCATGTCGAACGCAGTGAATCCATTCTGAACATGCGTTGAGAATCCGTCGATGATCTTAGATATCTGCGCGGAACCCCAGGCTGGACTTGACATTTGCCATAAGCCCGAGAAAATGCGAGGCAATATTCTATCGCCAAGTTGAAAAGTTTCCTTGGCCGGCAGAGGCCGTGAAATTTCCGAAGGTATCTTATTCAATCTTCCTTTTTGCGACTCCGGCGAATCAACACCCAGGATGTTTGCCGTTGTCAGCATTCCCCTTCCATAGGGAAAATCTATGCCTGTGTCCTTCAGCATCCGTTGACACTGCGCAAGAGACTCAAACAGTGCTTGGATGATATCATGTTCTCCTGGAGAAAGCGCTCGTGCCCCGGAGCTCACAGCAAGCTTCTTCGTCACAGCTGTCATGGCTTGGACCAAGTCACCATCCAAAGAAGCGAGGAGTGAATTAACTCTTTGTTTCTCTGTTTCCGGTGAGTCGAGAGCGATCTGAACACCGCGAATAACCAGGCTCTCGAGAATTGAAACACCATCAAACGCTTGTCCAGAGCCAAGCATACAGCGAGCTATCCTTTGGGTCTTCTCCAATCCTCCAACATCAAGAGCGGTAAGCTGGGATTTTGACGTCCTTGTCTGTGCCTGAGCGAGGTATTGTCGCGTTGCGTCTTCAAAGCTCGCGGTGATATCAGGGTGCGATGCCAGTAGTGAGCGGATGATGACCCTCAGACCATCGGGTGGTAGGTTCGCTATAACGCTGTCCGTCATCATATTGACGTGAGCGGTATTGCTGCTGCCATTGCGAGCAACAGCCATAGTGGTTGGTTGATCCAAATAAAGTGGCAGAGGCTTGAAAAATGCTGATCGGGTTGGATATCTCTGTGACTTGCAAAGTCAAAGATAACTAAATTACTAGTCCTGATAGAGCTTGATATGAGTACTTGAGTCTCGAATATGACGACGTGGAAACACGCCACCGGTGTTCAAGGCTATCGTCGGCGTTCATGAATCCGGCACCGGCGTTTTAGATACGGCTTAGAATGCCGACATAGCCGGCGTGATATCAGTTGACTGCTTATCAGCTTCGCAACCAATTAGCATCGTCGTCTTATCAAGGGTATCCACTACGCCAGTTTCCCCGGATTTGGGCGATAACCGCGATTGATTGGGCAGGCAGACTTGGTGACGATTCTTCAACCAGGGTCGTACCAGAGCCAGGTGCACGACACTGAACGAAGCACGCATCCCCAGGTCGCCAACATGTCAAGCCCGTCTCTTCAGAGCGCTAATGCGTGTATACAATGTCGAAGAGTAAAGATGAGATGCCGTCCTATGGGACAGGACACGTCTAAATGTGAACGTTGTACCCGAAAAGCCCTTGAGTGTATTTTCAGGGAGCATCGTCGGGGTCGTAAGCCAGGTACAAAGTATGCAATGTAGCTTCGCTGTCCTGTAATTCTTGTTGACATGGAGTATAGAATCTCAAAAGTAAAGAAAGTCCCTACCATCTCACCACAGTCGATTCCAAGCCTCGAGAGTCCAGCAGCAGCAGGGGCCCATATCTCAGAAACTGAAGACGATGCAAATAACCTACAGCCATCCGGGTTGCTCAATCACCAGGCTTTAGAGGGGAGGTTCTCTCTCGGCAACATTCTTAACGCGGATCAAGAACCTGTTCAGCGACAGCGAAGCCGCGATGAGTCACTTGAGGATCCCATTGAACTTAGACTCATCACTCCATCACTGGCGAAGTCTCTGTTTGATAGGTAACTAATCGTCTATTTCCATGAGACCGTATATACTGACATCCAAGTAGCTTCATGACGGTTCTAAATCCCTACATCAGCCAGCTCGATCCCCGTCTCCATACATTTCCTTACGTCCGTGCAAAGTCTACGTTTCTCCTAAGCTCCATTTTAGCCATGGCCGCAAAAGCCTTCAATTATGTTCTCTACATTAAACTTTACGATCACGCCCAGGACCTCTTCTCTAGTGTTTTTCGGAGAGGCAGCAAATCGGTCGAAATCGTGCAGGCAATCCTCATCCTTACGTATTGGAAAGAGCCGCAAGACACAAGAGTGTGGACCTCTGTTGGGTATGCAATTCGCATATGCATGGACTTGGGATGGCATAAGCTGGCGTATTGTCGTTCTGTAGCCGCCGCGAAAGAGTCTGAAGCTCAAAGGCGAGAACGACGGAATATTGAGAGAACGTGGTATGTTCTCTTCGTTTACGATCGGAGGTATGATCCCTCTATCCTGGCTATTCATTTTGTGGCAGTGCGAGAAATCAGTGCGAGAAATCAGGTACTGACAACCATAAAAGTATCAGTCTACAGACTGGACGACCATGGATGATAGAATGCAGCGAGTTTATCGAATCGATAGAGAACTGGTGCAACGACGCTTTGACAATTGAAAACGATCAACTTCTAGGGGCATTTACTACCTTGAGACTTATCACGTCCTCCGCATTTCCACTACTTGCCACCAAGTCACGGCAGCGATCCTTGTCGCATAGTGAGAGTGCGCCTCTTGTCAGCCTACTGGATGGACGTATAGAGAGATGGGAGAAGAAATGGACTGAGAAGATCGCAGCACAGACTGAGAAATCCTGCCATGAGTTCCTCATACGCTTTTACGGCACACACCTTCGCCTTCAGCTGCATACTCTACCACTTCATGGCATCCTCGTGTCCGACAAATCGGATATCAACCATCATATTGACACAGTCTGGGTGGCATATAGCAGCGCTCTCAACATGCTGCAGCTGATATCACGCTTCTCAGAGCATGTCTGCTTTGCTCAAGACTCCATCCATGTCATGACAGCTTATAGCGCTGCATTTCTCGTCAAGGTTGGTCTACTTCTTCTGCTTGACCGGAAAACACTGACAGCTTTGCATTGTAGATCACTCTTGTATTTTCCGACTTTATATCTGGCCAGCTCGAATCAAGCTGTATAGATGCTATTCAGCAAGCTGCACGGGTCTTCTCCAATCAATCTGGATGTATAAGCTCTAGTTGTACTCTGCAAGCATCGTTCCTAGAAAGAGTCGCGATGAAGCTTATAGAGAACCAAACGAACAAGGCATCCAAGGAAGGCGGTCCTACTGGACTTGCAGGGCCGGCACCGTACACGATGGGCCAGTCTGACATAAACGGAGGGCCCTGTGCAGAATCGGAAATTAGCTCATCCTCACGACGTCCTCCCGACCTAGCAACTCTCGATATATCCTTTTTAGCCCAGGAAAACCTGGACTTCCCATTCGAGTGTGATGATATGTGGGCAGAAATGTTTGGAATGAACCCTCAGGATGTTACATTCTTTCCACAAACAGATTAATGAAATTATACAACAGCTACCCTTTCCGTCATGCCTCATGACCCCGAGTTCCCACTCAATGGAACAACAGTAGTCTCAGCATGACTGAACTTCCGAATCCCTTCCTTTACTATCTTCAGCTGCGAGGGGCAATTGGGATCGGGACAAGCTATTAGCGCATCTGTAGTCATCCAGTCGTTGGGAGACGTCACTCTCTGCTTGGCCGGGAGAAGCGGAAGGACGGATGCTGCTGCAGTCAGTCCGGCCCAAGTTATGGTGTAGTATTTCGTATCTTACCGAGGCTATAGATACTGATCCCTTGGTCGGGCGGGAGGTAAAGCATTTCGCCTTTCAGCGTGAAGTAGTCTCCTTCTTTCGCTCCACACATTATCTTCTTGCCTGGCGGACAAACGACCTCGACTCTCAAGTCAAATAGCTCGAAGGAATCGTCATGGGTAGGGTTGGTGTTGGTTGAAGTCATGGCTGATAAGAAAAGGGACTAAAAAAAATATCCAAGACGATACCTGCTTGCATCGACGCATGAAGACATTATAGTTAAGCTCTGGAATGGTCTAGACTAGGAAGCTTCGCGGTTTATTGCCCACCGGCGAATTTCCCCACGTACACGCACCGGCGTTCTAAAGTGCTACCGGCGACTCAAGCTGAACCCCTGTTTCCCCTCATCATAAACGAGCCCTGCATTACGATAAGCCACTGGAGTCGGTCTCCATCATAAATAATGGGGAAGATCGGCCGACTCAGATAACATGACTTGAGTCACTGTAGCATTGAGAGAATATTATTATTATTTCCCTCGATCGACAATTATAACTGAAGTCTCTCTGACTACTCTTTGACTCCAAGGTCCTATATGGCACTCAATTTATGATCATTCGACAACAAACAGATAGACAATGGATAAAGACGAAAAGATTGTCTGCAGCGACATGCCAGCGGACGTCGAAATGGCCAGCGGAAACACGGAGGTCATCCCGTCCAGCGGCCTCAAGCGTGAATTGGGCTCTCGACACATCAACATGATTGCCGTCGCTGGCATGATTGTAAGTTTCTCCCGAGCTCTCCCTCTCGCATAATTGACTCTGGTAGGGAACGGGACTCTTCCTCAGTTCTGGGCAGGTCATCGCGACAGCAGGCCCAGCTGGAGCTCTTCTAGCTTATACCCTCATGGGGTTCGTTACAGCGGGTGTTGCTTATACGACTGGAGAGATCACGGCGTTCATGCCATCGACTGGAGGTTTCGTTCGTCATGCGACCAAGTTTGTTGAGCCTGCACTTGGTGCTGCCACGGGCTGGAACTTCTGTAAGTTACATCCCAGATACAGATGACCATAGCAATGTTCTGACTGGAGTAGGGTACACAATGGCAATCAACATGCCCGCCGAGATCAGCGCCGCAGCGACGCTCGTTCAATTCTGGAACACATCCATCAACCCTGGTGTCTGGATCACCATCTTCCTCCTCTTCATTATTGTCGCCAATCTTTGCGGAGCGAAACTCTACGGCGAGTCCGAAGTTGTCTTTGCATCCCTCAAGATCATGCTCATTATCGGTCTCATCATAGGCGGTCTGGTCATTGATCTCGGTGGAGCACCGAATCATGAACGGCTGGGCTTTCGGTACTGGATCCATCCAGGAGCCTTCAATACGTATATAAAGGACGGTTCAGCTGGAAGGTTCCTCGCCTTCTGGAAGGCAATGCTTCCTGCTGCTTTCAGCTACGGTAATATCCAGGTCGTAGCTATCTCAGGATCCGAGACACGTAACCCCCGGAAGCTAATCCCAGCTGCGACAAAGAAGACATTTTACAGAATATTCTTCTTTTACTTCTGCAGCATCTTCATCGTTGGTCTTATTGTGTAAGTCCTTCATGTTGAATATCTTGGTAGAACGATCAGGAACTAACAATAGCATGCTAGACCATACAACGACCCAGCTCTCGGCGTCTCTACCGGAACCGCTTCACAATCCCCATTTGTCATCGCCTTTCAACGATCAGGCGTTTCAGTCGTGCCATCGATCATCAACGCTGTTGTGTGTACCTCGGCAATAAGCAGCGGATCTGCTTGCATCTTTATCGCCTCTCGAACTCTCTTCGGTCTCAGCCGTGATGGTCATGCTCCTCAGTTCTTCCAACGTTGCAATAGATTTGGCACCCCTCATTATGCGGTTGGTATGAGCTGTCTCTTATCACCACTTGTGTATTTGACAGTTGTGAACAACACCTCCGTGGTGTTCTCGTGGTTTGTGAACATCACCACTGTTGCCGGTCTCATTGGCTGGGTAGTCATCCAGGTGACCTATCTCCGTTTCTTTGCCGGTCTCAAGAAACAGGGTTACAGCAGAGAAGGTATGCTTATCGGAACGTTTCCTCGAGGACTTCACTAACGCGTCTAGAACTTCCCTACAAGAGTCCCTTCCAGCCATATGTGGCCTGGGCAACATTACTTATGGTTTCCTTGGTTATCCTGTTTTGTGGTACGTCATAGCTCCCCCATCAATCTCTCACGAATGACGAATGTTTTGGCTAATTTTACCTCAGGGTTTGACGTCTTCGTTAAGGGTCACTTCACTGCTCAGGGATTCATCACATGCTACATCAACATCGCCATCTTTGCTGGTATGTCTGAACTCGCGGTTGTCGCAGCTATTCAATAGGCTAACATGACTCCAGTGCTTTACGCAATCTTCAAGCTCCGGCTGAGGTCAAAAGTAATACCAACTTCCGAAATCGAGCTTAGTGAAGAGTTTCGATCAATTCGGGAAGAGAAGCAGGCGGAGGAAACTGATCAACAACAGAAATGAATCGCTTTGAATTTCTCATATGCAGCTACTTCTAAGGGATTCAATTTAATACTACCGATATCCAAAATAATACATACTCCCTAGTCTCTCGCTAGATCATGCCTGTTTATGCACCCTTCTCTCCAAAGTCCTTGGGTACTTCTGGACCCCAAACCGAGAATGGTCCAACGACGTCTCTATTGGTACCTGTCGCCCGATTAACGACATCGCTATCCGCATAATGCTCAATCTTAAAGCCGCTAGGGTCAGCCCAATAGTCAAAGATCTGGCTGCCCAAAACATGTCGTCCGACACCCCAGACACTCTTCCAGCCTTTGCTAGCTAGATACTCGTGTCCAAGGAGCTGAGTATCGAAATCTGCCACTTCGAACGAGGTATGGTGGCAGTATATCTTCTTGACATGGGGTTCAGCTCTCTGCATGAAGAAGCAGTGATGGTCGGAATACTCATCACCGAGATCCAGGTGCATGAATGTCAGCACGTCCATGTTGGAGAAGTCCCAGTGGTACAGGATATCTGAGGGGACAAAGTTGAAGTTGTTTGTGTACCATGCTAACTCGTTGTCAAAGTCGGGAACGACATAGCCGAAATGGCCGAGTTTGTGGACGAGAGCTGGGCCAGGGTGATATCGTTGGTATTTTCCTATCCCGAGTCAGTGGATAAAAAGCTGGGGAGGGTGAAATATTGTTCCCACCTCGTCTTGGCTTTGTGAATGGTTTGTTGTATGGTCCCTGCTGCTCGTGCGTTGCAGTCGGTTCTTGGGAGTCAATCTTTCTCTCTTCTTGACCATACACAACATGAAAGAACGTGTTATCCTGGCGAATGAACTTGATCATCTTCCCCCCACCAGGTGCATGCTCCAGAGAAACTCGCTCAGCTCCTTCAAGAGCAGCTGCCTTCTCAAACTCCTCCTCAGAAGCAGCGACAAAAGCTGGCCCCATGAATCTCTGCTTCCCATCTTTACTCTTGGTTGCAACATAAACAAATGGATCTATACCGTAACCACGATAGTAAATGGTGTCTCCAATTTGAGCTTCTTTGACAAAGCCGAAATCATCTGCAAATCTGTCGAATTTCTCCAAGTCCGGGTGTTCGAAGTAGACGTGGGCGATGCGGGACAGCTGCACCTTGGAGGGGTCGTTGATGATTGCGGGGATCCGCATGTCAGGCATGATGGCTTCTCGTAAACACCTGGGCAGTTTGGTAAGAACAGTCAATGCAACTTTTAATACCAGCGACATAGTAGATTGTCTAGAAACAACTTTCTGCCTTTACATTACAGATTACAGTGTTTATTCTTCGATGGCATTTATAGAACCTGCTGGTCTAAGTTTTTCCTGTCTAGAACCTGGGGCAGCAATTAGCGACTTGCGGGGACAACCTTTGGCGCTCTCTGGACCCTCCGTGACCCACTGCCACTGTTGCTGGCTTCGGAGGAACCTAAGTAAGCTTCGGAGGATCTACCATGAGCCGGCCAGAATAAGCCAGTCCCGGCTCACATTGAGAAAAAGGTCAATCGGAGAAATATTTCTTTCTTAGGATATTTTATTTATAATGATTTGAATATTTACAGGAGCGCCAATGTATATAGACTACCAATTTCCATATCCGAGAATATCATACCATGTCTCTTATCCGCTTTTTTGTAAATTGATCTATCGGCATCTGCACACGCATCTTCATACTGAGAATGAGTTTCATGGTTGTTGATAATTTCGATAAGAGTCGGAGTCGACACTCTTGTGTTGCATGATATCCGATATAAATCCATGATCATGACGCTTTCATCTTCATCCGCCAGGTCGGAGCTTTCACTGAGTGTCTCAGAATTTTGGTCGAGTTGCGGGGTATCTATGCTCTGTATGCTAGAGGCAGAATGCGACCACCGCGACTTGGCTGGTGGTGTAGAAAATGAAGGCTCCAGAGAAGGACAATCATCCGAACGTGCATAGCTACTGTATCCCACGTCGTGGCGGTCATGAGCAGTAAGCTCGCTCAGTGAGCGCGCCTCACCAGCAAGCCCTGTGCTATGTGTCTTAGGAGGCGCAGTGTTGATGTCATGCGTGGCAAGGTACTGCCGGTTGTGCAATCGAGATGGAGCTCGGGCTGTTGGGCTCCAGGACCCAGAAAGAGAGCCCTGTCGATGAGGAGAGCTGCTGCGTGTTCCTGCTGAAGAGGTTGCTGAATAGCGAGTAGACATCGGCGATGAAGAGTGACTGGGTGATGTGATGGACGGTTCTGCCGTGTGGCTCTTCCTCTGTTGGCAGCATGAACAGTGGAACGAAACCCTCGATCGGGCTGCACCCAGGAAGGGACCAGTGCTGCATACGGACTTTTGCGGCATCATGCAAGCGATCGAGATCTCTGATCTGTGAAGGTGCAAAAGATGCAGGTCTCTGGTGGGTTTATGCGCTAGTATGCGATTTACTAACGAATGACAAGCGATATATAACTTGATGATATCAGAATAAAAGTGCTTCCAATGGAGATTCAAGTAATGTATCAATTTGAGGACTTGAAAGCTCGTTGATGTCTTCGCAGAACGAGGCTGTAGCCTCTTTATCTATGCAATCAAAGCCTGACCCTACACTACAATCAGATTCAAAGCTTTCGAACCATGGATGCCCTCTTCGATTCTGAGTCCATACCTCAGCTATTACGATCAAGGCCTAGACTCTGAGCTCTTGTGGTCTCGAACTGGAAGGTTTGGAGGTTACGCCACCTTTACCTCGTCCCAGAGTCTGGTCAGTGAATATTAGTAACAGCTAAGATCAGAAACACGGCAGAGGCGCTTGTTGATTGGCCGCCTTGTCTTAGCCACTGATAAGTTTTGATTGCCACTCTAGTCTTTCAGCTGTCCCTGCTCTTTTGCGGTTTCATGTTGATGTAATATTATAAGTTTTTTATTTCCCCCTGCATCTACAGCAAAAGTATAGAACAACGCTTTGCCATCTCGCTATGAGGTTTAGTATCTAAAATGCTATTTGTAAAAACCTTTCTCCATTCTTTACGCGATTCCTTTTATTAATTATATACTAGGAATATTCTATTAGAAATATAATAAAAGCTTCATATTCTTATACTTTAATGCCTTAAGACTTTAATACTTTACTATTTTCATATTTTAATTACATATTTCTAAGGTTCTAGGCCGAAGAAGCCCAGAATGGCATTGCTGTCAACTCTATACATATTAGTGGCACACACTTATCCTTGCCTTTCTGTGGCTTTTAAATTCCGTGTCTTACAAAACGGCGTCCCCGTGTCCCCACAAAGGCCGCTAGCCCCAGGCTGACTGATACCTGAACTCAGCATGATATCCCATAACTCCCATTTTCAGGCGCCTGAATTACCTATCCCCAGATGAGGACTACCAAAACGAGAAAGCTGCGATAAAAACTAGGCTTGGAAGGGTTTACGGACATCACGCAAGCAAGGGAGAAGCAAGGCGCTCTCTTTACAGCCCCGGTCCATTTTTCAAAACACACCCTGCATATCATCAGAGTGGGGCCAACGGCTCGTAAAGTTAGCGTCGGAGGATCTGAAAGCAGTCGGGCCCGTCTAGCCCGTCCAACCTCCAGACAAGACTCAATCGGAGAGTCGTGCTTGACCGTGATTCTGTGCCTTGTGATTCCTGCGAAATTTTAGCCTCGGTATATCTGAAACTCGCTGCAGAAATCCGGGGCACACTCTCAACCGTAGGGTAAATTCACCTCGTGAGTTCCAGTTTTGCATGGCATATAAGATAGCAAACAATACAATTAATCCTTATTTCGCAAACGTGGTAACCTTACTATGACTGCCTCATACATACCGCCTTTCGCCCTAGTCACTGGCTGCAACAGTGGCATCGGCGAGCAACTTGCCATCGCCCTCGCCAAAAACAACTTTACAGTCTTCGCCACAGCCAGACGTGCTGAGTCTTTGAACAAGCTTACAGGTCAACATGCAAACATAATCGCACTACCTTTAGAGCTTGGTGACTCAACGAGCATAGAAAGGCTTAGAGACTCGGTCACCAAATACACCGAAGGACGCCTAGACCTACTCTTCAACAATGCGGGGATGCACTACGCGGCACCGGCAACAGACATTGACGTCAACGAAGTCATGAAGCTATTCACGATCAATGTTGTAGCTGTCATGCACATATGCCAGGTCTTCATCCCACTTTTGCGAAAGGCTCCTCGACCTCGCATTGTTCAGATTGGGAGCGTTACACGCGATGTTCCTGTTGTATGTCAGTCGGTGTATAATGCTTCCAAGGCGGCTCTCAGTCAGTATACAAAGACTCTTCGAGTAGTTAGTTGGCCTCGCTTCATTTGTAACTGAGAGTATCTCACGCGATCTGACACTGATCATTGAGTCTAGGAACTAAGGCCTCTTTCCATCGAGGTTATAGAGGTTGTGACCGGCTTTGTACGCAGCAACATCCTTCGCGACGGTGTTCTCATCTCTGAAGACTCTTTATACCGACCTATTAAAAGTACTGTCGAGGATGTTAAGAATGGAGGAAACAAGAACGGCATGCCCGCAGACGAATATGCTCGTGCTGTGGTGCGCCAAATTCTTGGCAAGACTTATAAGCGAGAGGTATGGGAAGGTCATCGGTCGCGAATATTACGTTTCATGGTCACATTTTTCCCGTTATGGTTAATGGTATGTGAGCATAATCAATTCCAAGTTTGACTGCTGACATGATTGATAGGACTTTACCCTTTTCATGTCCTTCAAGTTGCATCTTGTGAGGTCTTAAGCTAAAGGATCGGTAAATTGCAGCGGGTCGCTGAGGCGCCTGGCATATATGTAACCCCAAGCACTGAGATGTCTGCCTATATTTATAAGCAGAGTAAGACATAACTGTTTAAAGCACGTGTAAAAACTTAAATAGCAACCCGAGTAACTACAAATTTGTTATTATTACACGCCCTTCCTTCCGACATGCTTCTTTTACCTTCGTTATCTAGTCTTTGTATTCATCCGTGCTTAAAATAGGCCAGGATATTTCCCCACTTATTACCACAAACGCGCTCCATGTTGCCCAACTTGCTCAATAAGTTTCATTCCTGATCAAACTGTGGCGTTTTTAGCGCGGTGTGTTAACTCACAGTCTGAACACGAAACAACATCTGACCGTGAATCAATCTTTCCTTTCAATCGCAGTCTTCAAGCCTTCTGAAGCCTCAACTATCGCCCCAAAATCGCTTTCAATCTCTGGATACGCGATCGCATCAGCCCATTCCATTGTCATTACACTTGACCTCATTCTGCCCCATAGTGCTCTTTCCCTGGACCCATCTCACATAGCACTCGGCCCAGCATTCACGACGGCACAATGTCTACAGCGCAGGCAGTACTACAACAGAAGCTGACCATCACGCCCAAAACAGCTTCTCTCCTGATGAAAGCTGGTTATAGTGATTATCGCGAGCTCAAACATGCCACACCGAACAGTATAGTCGAGCAGTTCACATCCAAGTTCGGCATCCCTAAGACATCCGCCTCCGCTTATCGGCGTGCGTGCCGAAGGCTGGTATTCCTTGGAACACAAGACGATCCCGAAGAACAGGAGAAGGTTTGCGCTGACTGGACCAACAAAGCGCTAGCCGCTCGTGGAATTTGGCGGGCTGACTTTGATGATCTGACGGGCGAGCAAATTGCCGAGTTGCTTATTGGTACGGCAAAATGATATGTTTCCGGAGGTACAAGGGCTGCGTCACTCTGGAATAAGATAGCATGTTATTTGGACTGCGGCCACATCCCAGTCGACGGAGATGTTGTCTGCGACATGTCCATCCAAGATATCTTTCGGGTGTGAATGCAACATTCGTTTGTAAGCGTCTTCGGGCCTGGTTGTGTGATAAAAGCGTCAGATATAGTCGTCCTGAAATGGCGTGTGGGGTGCTATGGCTCAAGCCATCTTGCCTTAAAGTCGGGAGACTCAGCAATCTCTCTCTCTGCTTGTACTTATCCGCTTACCATATTCTCTGTTGAGATAATTTATCATGGAATTTCTCATCAAACCAGATGCTAATTTTCTGACTTCAGCTCCTAGGATCGGCGGCCGAGAGGTTAGATAAAAACAAGGCCATGTCCTGCTCTTTTTTCTTACTGAATCTATCTAAGAACTCTGGCGCTTTGCCTGTGGTTCTTCTCTATCGTTATATACACACAAGCAACTTTTATGACCTGTTCTTGCAGCCTTCCCTTCTTTGCTGCTAGAGGCAGTGTGGCGGAGTATCAGTTTAGCATATGCAAGCGCTGCTTCCATGATTTCAAGACAGGAAAGGATCTCAAACTTCATTGGAGAGCATCTGTGCCTTGTGAGATGCTAGATCGGAGGCCTCGAGAACAGGAGGGCATTGATCGAACCCAATCCAGGGCATTACATGCGCGAGCTAGAAAGGCCAACCCAGAATCTGATACAGGATCTGTCGAAGAACAGAAATGGAGGGATGTTTATAACATTATTTTTCCGGACGACAAGAGCATACCTACACCATACTGTACTAGATGACGAGAAAGTCAGCTGGCATGCTGAAAGGTACAGCAGGAATAATTTCCAAGAACATATTATGAACGAGTTAGGGTGCAGCATCCTGTGCATTAGATCTTTTTCATAGCGGCTACCCAGTACTTCTAAATGTTGTTAGTCAGGGAATCACAAGACTGTCTCAATGAGCCGGCGTAAACTTACTGTCTCTGCGCCTGCTCCAACAGAGCGGACCTTTGAAGCCAACCATCCACCGCCAGGAGCAGACTCCACATCAAATCTAGCTTCAGCGTCACTAATATCCTCGTTGAACATGATCTTGCTTGGTAACTCTGGATATTTTACAGCTGGTCTCCCAAGTCCGATCAGATCACAAGCGTTATCATTAAGAGCTCCAGCAACACCATTGCGGCTTCTGAACCCTCCTGTCACAAGCAGTGTAAGATCAGGAAACCTGCGGCGAATCTCTTCACTCGTGCGGATGAAGAATCCCTCACGAATACCGGAGCGAGACTTGGCAGAACTTGGCTGCAGGGACGAATCGGTGCTCATCATCTGAGGGTCCTCAAAAGATCCACCACTGAGATTGATGTAGTCAATTTCCTCCTGCTGAATCAACTCAATCTGTCGTAGCATCTCGGCCATACCCTCTTCGTCCTTAAAGTCCGCCGAATTGATCTTTACACCAACGCAGAATGACTTGGGGACTTCTTTGCGGATGGATTGGATGATACGAAGAACTAGTTCGACGCGCTTTTCTGCTGAGCCACCAAACTCATCATCGCGTTGGTTACTGTTTGGTGACATGAATTGAGATAATAGAAATCCATCTGTTATCCCGATCAGTATATGTACTTGTTCTCGCTTACACACCAAAAGACTTACGTGCTGCATGAATCTCAACGCCTTGAAAACCAGCTTGGTAAGCCAGTCGAGCAGCTTCAGTGAACTGCGCGATGACAACATCGATATCATGTCGCGTCATAGCTCTTGGGGTTCCAAATACCAACATGCGAATCATTTTTGCTACAGCGTTGTCTCCAAGGTTGATGGGAATAGCACTCGGGGCGATTGTCTTTGAGAAGATGCTTCTCTTGCCGGCTCCAATTGGAGATTGGCGTCCTGGATGATTCCTATTACATTACTCCACTTAGTATCGACCTCTTCCAGCCTTCACTTCATGTCTCGCGTGCTGGTCTTACAATTGGGCAATGATATGGCAATTCTGGTTTCTGGTAGAAGCTGTCCATTGTGACCAGCTTTCAAGCAAGCTCGATGTTGTCCCGGTGACTGCGACGTCTTCGTTGCTGCCAAGATACTGGTCCGAGACCATGATGTTACCTATTCATCGTCAGAAGAAGCTTCTTTACGTATGAAGGTAGCTCTTCGCCGCAATTTACCCGTGATTAGAGCTGCCCATCCACCTTCTGCCCATCGCTTATACAATGCTCCATGATTAGCAGATGGCAGTAAGTTCTGTGCCATCTTTTCCGACATTCCAGTTTTGACAAGCCTGTTCTTGAGGACAAGTCCGCATCGAAGTCGAAGCTGAGAATTAGCTGCGGAGTTCATTGTTGAGTTTGTTCGTGGTGTTAGGTTCATTGGATCCCGTGGCTGAACTGGAATAAGTATGAGAGCTTAATTAGGATAAATTGCGTTTCTTGTAAAATATCGATCAGACTTAGGCTTCAGTAATAATTTTAAATTTTTCCCATTAGTAAGTATTAATCTATTTACCGCCTAGTCATTTTTTATCGCTCAAGATGAGCATTATGAGATGTTAAGCTGGCTGCGGAGGAACTCTAGGGTGAATGAAGCCTGGATCCTCCGACGCTAAATTTATTGGAGTCATAGACCCCACAATCACTTCCGTGTTAGTGCCGCCGAGGATTTCGGCCGGGAACAACACTCAGCAAGGGTCATTCCCATTCCACAACCCTTCGGCCGCCATCACATGCACGCCTTTTCAAAAAATAGACATAATAATTAGCTTAGATATAGCCCAAAACAGTTTTGAATCTTCAACACACCCGTTTTGTCCTCTTCTTGGCCCTGTGCTCAGCCCTCTCCCCTGAAACACCACCTGCGACGTCTCTCTCCCAAAACACAATCCCCGACAAACAATTGGCTCTTTGACAAAAGGGCCCTCCACAGATCTCGGAACTTGACGACGCAGAGATACGATTGGCTCCTCAGAAGATAGACGAGGTCTTGGAATCAGTTACAAACGTGCCGCTTTCGCCGTTCGCCATGACCTGTTTGCCGATCATGGTCCGTGCACAGAGCTCAGAAGCAGTTTCTGTGTTTTAAGTGCAAGCGTTTTATGGTTAATGAGCAAATCGCAGTTTAGCAATGGCTGTTTGACGTTTTGTTTGACAGAGTGGCTGTGTTCTTCGGGAGACGAGGATTCCGGGTCTTGGCTGGGCGGGAAGCGTCAAAGCGTAGGTGAAGAAGCCGTGCGGTGCGTGATATGTTTGTCTGGTGATGTTTGACAGATTCTGAGGTTGCTATCGTGAAGCTGTTGACTGTCTCGAGAGTGTCTTGTGTTTTACTTGGCTGCTTCTTTGCTGGTGATATATGTGCATTTTAAGAAGGCCGTAAGAGGAAACAGACTCGTTGACTTTTGTATATAAGCTTGGTCATCTTCCCTTCATTGTTCTAATCATCAGCATCAACAATCAGCATCAACATCATCTTCTTCCCTTTTAATCACTTCTCTCCTGCCGGTCAGGTCTCTATTACAGTCTCTGACTAGTTCACCCTCATCTCTTTGTCCACTTTTCTTCTCAACCCACATCACAATAATATCACACTCTCAAAATGGCTCCCATCAAGAACCTCCTCTTCGCCCTTTTCGTCGCTGCCGATCTCGCAGCAGTCTCGGCTCACAGCGTCATCACCAACGCCGTTGGTGATGCCGGTGGCTCTGGAATGGCTCTTGGAGTCGATACCTCAACTCCCAGAGACGGAACTCGAAGACGCCCTTTCCAGCAAGATGCAACCCGCTTCCGAGGCAACTCTGCTGATACTGTCGGCGAAACCTTGTCTGGTGGTGATAATGACATCGAGCAAGGAACATTGGATATCATGGAAGAGACAGGTAAACTATACCCATTGAAGTGGCCATGGTTACATAAACTTACACTCAAACTAGGAAGCCAGCTCCCTCAGGTCAACCCCGGTGGTAGCCTCGAGATGACGGTTCATCAGGTCAACTCAGACGGTGCTGGTCCATACACCTGCATGATCAATGCGGACGGCACCGGTACATCTTGGGAAAACATCCAGGTGACGACTAATGTCGAGGGTAATGAGCGAGGTCGCAACCGTGACGGCGAGATGGGAGACTTCCCTCTCGTGGCTTCTATCCCAGCCGGTCAAAACTGTACGGGAACAGTCGCAGGCGAGGACAACGTGTGTCTTGTCCGCTGTCAGAATCCGGCTCGTGCCGGCCCATTTGGTGGTGTGATCCCGGTGCAGATGGCGAGCGGCAATGCTGGAAATGCTACTGACGCTGGAAACACTGGAAACGCGGGCACTGCTGGTAACGGCAACGCCAATGACAACACCAATGATGCCACCAACGACACCGCTGATGATACCACCACCGGCGGTGCCAACGGCAACGCAAACAGCAACAACAATGGCGACGCCAATGGCAACGGCAATGGCAATGGCAACGCTAATGGTAATGGGAATGATGATGATGAGGAGGATGAAGATGAGACCGACGCTGGCACTCGCAACAACCGCCGTGCTACCCGCTTCTCCGCCTAAAGAATAAGCTGATAATGACTGACAACGCACGCTCGAAATTGAAGACTGGATCACCGACACATGAGACTGGACAAGAGGTTAGATGGAAGCAGGATACCTACATAGTATATTTGGAAGGGAGATAGTATAATAAGCTTTTACTGTAACGCTTCTTCTTCTTCTGTCCTTGCTGGTAATTGAGGAGCTTGGGTGATTGGTAGTCAAAAGACAAGATGGCTTTAAGAGCTGACTTTTGCTGACTCAAACCAATCGTCCCGCTTAACTAGCCAATAGAGATGTGTTGTTTGCAGTTCTGGCTTGTAGCTGAAAGCTGAAATTACAACAGAGCTTAGCTAGCCATTAGGAACTGCAGGAGCCTCGCATGAGCGGAAAGTCGGCAGTGGACTTGGTGAGAAATATGTGGGATATATGAAGTATTTATTACGGAGTACAAGGTTGCCCATTGCTCTTTATATACCGAGCCTTTGCCACTCCCGAGACCTAGAAACGCAAAAGAAACAAGATCCGGTATTCCTTTTGAACTCTCAGAAGTCCAAAACATCATTTTCCACCATTCCTCAGGAGTGCAATCATGTCTTCGACAAGCGCAAATATACCTGCTTGGCAACAGAAAATTCGTGCCAAGGTGGCGGCGCTCTCAGCTCCAACTCTCGGCACCATGTCAATGAGCTCTCTGAAAGCCACCGAGAGCGCTCAGCTCGCGGCACCAATGTCCAGGGAGAATCTTTGGGGGCAAGAGAACGGCACGGACCAACTTCTCAGCATCCTTGTAGCCTGTGTCGAGAACATTCGAACTGCTGCTGGGACATGCATCAATTCCATCCAAGACCTGAAAAATACAAAGCCCGACCCAGCCGTCTGGAGGGCTACTATTAATAGTGCTCACCAGACCGCTAAGAAAAGCTTTGATAAATGGTTGGACAGTGCTACAGATGATGCTATTGAAGTAATTAACCGTCTGCCCGAAGCACAGCAAGATGGGGCCGCCGACTTTTACACCGATGGCATGGACATTATCGCCAACACTGTTAATCAGGTATCAAGTGACCTTGGGGCTATCGGTACGCGTTACTTGGGTGACTTTCTGAAGGGCGATTGGTCTGGGCTTACGAAGGAGGAAAACAATGTAAAGGCAGCGTGCGACGGGGCTATTCACGGCCTGAACTCGATAAAGCGATGACACCATGGCTCGGGCTGCACATTGGAACGATCACTTGGGGACATCGCTAGTGGCAAATGATTTTGAACAAATAAGTAATATAAGCTTATAGTTTATTCCAATGTCAACATTGAAAACCGAGATTTAATCCACCATTAGAATAAGTAGCTTCATAAGTCAAATCTGGTTGAGCTTCAAGATATAGGGTTTTCTAAAACAATTAGCTTGCCACTCGCTTTCCTTCAATAGTCGGAAACTTTTTCTGGTACTTACTGGATCTTGGTAAGTTTTGGCGGTGTATTCCGCTTCTCTCTTTCCGATAATCTTCTTCGGAAGGCCGGTGCTTTCCACCATAATCTGCACCTCACAAGATCGCTCTAGGAGTGTGAACAGATAACCTGCTTCATCAACAGTGGATCCCGTAGTGAGAAGCCCGTGATTTTGCAAAATCGCAACACGTTTACTCTTGCCCAGTGCCGCGGCAATTCTTTCACCCTCATCGCGTTCTAGGACAATGCCTCCAAAGTTCTCATAGACAGCCTGGATACCAAGAAAGGTACAGGCATCTTGATTGATAATGTCAAGAGGACGCCCAAATGTTGACCAAGCCTTTCCAGCAGGAGAATGGGTGTGACAAATAGCATTAATGTCAGGCCGAGCTTTATGGATGGCTCCGTGGATTTGAAAACCAGCTTTATTGACCGCGACGCGATTTCCACCAATAACATGGCCATCCTCGTTGATCTGTACCATATCCCTTGCTCTAAGCAAGCCAAAGTGTATGCCGAGACTGAGAAAAGATCAGAATCAAAGTCTATGCGCGAGAGCAGAAGAATACACTGACGGGTTGATCCAAAAGGTATTTGGTTCCACGGGGTCGCGAACACTAATGTGCCCCGCTGTTCCTTCTGTAAAGCCTTTGCGCGCGAATACTCGAAACACAGCAGCCATGTGTTCCAATTGCCACTGTCGCTTTATGTACGGGTCGCTGAACTCGGGGACACTTGGGGCCGGATACCCTCCAGTTGCGCAGACCTCCTCGGGTCTCTCCTCCGTTTGTGCGGTAGTGGAGAATTGATCGTCCTCAAGTCTTACGGCTTGGACGGTGGCTGTGACAGACATGATGGCGTTGCGTATTTCCCTAAGATAAGGATGTAAGTGTAATTTGTCGACTTTGGCTGTTACTTCATTGGTCGCTGCTGGTGAACTTTCTAATCAAGCAGTGATCTAGAACAACACATTTGGATGAGTTATGCATTGATATAGTCGTGTGACTTTCAATCATCTACAGAGCTTAGCGACATGCTCTCCACGTTTGCGCCCGTTGACTTATCAGATTGCGCCTAGCTAACTAACCCAACGTAGTAAAATGATACGACCTTGGCAAGAGGGCAGTGGATTCCATAACCTAGAACGGACTAGGGAAATTCGTACTGTAGCGATAGCCTCTCTACTTCTAGATTAGCCATTAATGCCTGTGCAATCCATAACTCTTTTGATACATAGCCAATCTATGTTCCTGACAAGAGGTACAAGCGCAAAACAAGATATATATACCAGTGCAGCTTCAGCAAACATAGTCCTAGATCCTTCCACGGTTCAACTATACTGCTTCGACAAACAACATTGTTTCATTTGCCAAAAATGGGTTCTATCTTACCGCAAGATGACTCCAAGAAAGTCGCCCTTGATACTTCGGGACCAACGAATGCATGCGACACGAGTTCAATCCAAAGAGCTTCAATCTACATGACCAATGCGCAAACAAAACGTGGTCTATCTCCACGTCATGTGCAACTAATGGCTATTGCCGGCAGCATTGGCACTGCCCTTTTTGTTGGTATTGGTGGTGCACTTTCCAAAGCTGGCCCGCTCTCCTTGTCCCTTGGATATCTATTCTGGAGCATGTTCTTTATTCTGCCATGCACACTCAGTGTTGCAGAGATGTGCGCGTATCTTCCTATCCGCGGAAGTATCTTTGAGCTCGCCGGCCGCTTTGTCGATCCCGCTCTTGGCTTCTCCATGGGCTGGACGTACTTCTACGGTGGTGTCATGCTGGTTTGTGTGGAATATAGTGCTGTTGCCACCGTGATGCAGTATTGTATGTGAAGCTTTCACCTGGAGTCAATTGCTTCTTGTCCTTCTGACCTCGCGATATAGGGAATACTAGCATCAACGCAGGTGTATGGGTTGCCATGACTCTGGTCGTCTGTTTCCTGCTGAATGTGATTGCCGTCAAGTGGTATGGAGAGTCTGAGTTCGTTATGGCATCAACGAAGGTTATTTTGATCATCGGCCTCATTCTGCTTACTCTGATCACCATGTGTGGCGGTAACCCTCGAGGCGATGCTTACGGTTTTCGATACTGGGGCAACGGGAACGCGATGCATGCCTATTATACTGATGGGGCAGCTGGAAGATTCCTCGGATTCTGGTAAGCTACACGGGCATACATGAATCATCTTTCTTTATACAAGTGCTGACTTGTTAAATCCAGGTCTGTAGTCATTTACGCCGCATTCACCATTGGTGGCCCCGACCTAATCTGCTTCACGGCTGGCGAAATCCAGAATCCCCGGAAAACTATACCCCGAGTCGCTCGCTTAATATTTTATCGACTGGCATTCTTCTACGTTGTTGGAGTGTTTGCCGTCGGAATCATCTGCTCAAGTCGTGATGAGCGATTACTGAATGCTCTGGGCAGTGGCGCTTCCGGAGCTGCAGCTTCGCCCTGGGTTATTGGCATCCAGAATCTCGGTATTCATGGTTTACCTGATGTGATCAATGCTGTCATATTACTTTCCGGCTGGTGAGTATACCTATTGTGAATGGGGTCCTGTATAGATAAGCTGACCGTATGCCGCAGGTCCTGTGGGAACGCGTACTTATACTCCACGTCTCGCTCTTTGTATGGGCTTGCTCGCGGTATGTCCACTTCAAAGACGGACAACCAACTATATGCTAACAACATCTCAGATGGACTCGCTCCCAAGGTATTCACGAAATGCACCAAGTCAGGTGTGCCTATCTACTCAGTCACAGCTGTCACTTTACTCTCTTGCCTCTCATTCCTCGTCGTTTCAAATTCCTCTGTTACAGTTTTCTACTGGGTAAGTTGCGTCTTTCAATTTATCTACGCTTCATGTTCTGACGCCATTTGATAGTTCGTTGATCTTACTACCGGTGGATTTGTCTATGTCTACACTTGCATGCTCTTAACATTCATCGGGTGGCATCGCGCTTTGAAAGCTCAGCCAGACATTGTGCCGGAGTCGTCATTACCGTACCTATCACCGTTCAGGCCTTATGGTGCTTACTTTGCTTTTGTTTTGGGTTGTATATTTCTTCTCTTTATCGGCTGGGACACATTCTCGCCCTTTGATGTTGAAGGGTGGATAACCTACTACTTCGCCACTGCGTTCGGCCCATTGATGTTTGTGGTCGGAAAGCTCTTGAAGAAAACAAAATGGGTGAAGCCTTCTCAAGCGGACCTTATCAGTGGAAAAGCCGAAGTTGACGAAGAGTGCCAAGTATGGGAAGATCCTGCTGCAATTGAGAAGGAGAGGCTACGTTTGCAACACATGAACTGGCTTCGAAGATTCTGGGAGAGACTTTGGTAGATATGCAGCTGGGTTGATTCACTATCTCATTTGTCCAGAATTTATTTAAGCAAACGGCACACTGCTCTACCCTCATAAACCTATGTCGCGATTGGAATAACGATCTGCCCTTCTGGGCCAAATATTTTGTGTGGGTTGGAGATAGTACGGCGTGTCGAGATCGACAGCTGTTCTGTTAGGGATATAGCCTCCACTCTTTGACCTCATAAATACTAGAAGCCGACTGGTAGTAAATTCGGACAATTTTGGAAACCTTAAAGATCAAGAAGGGTACTTGTATTAATATTTGGTTATGATATCATTAGCAGGAAAGATTTAGACATGGGAAACCTAACTGCCCGGCTTGTTTGGTAATATGCCGTATTCATTTATTTACCATTTGAGAAGATTTGACGCCTACATGACCTTTACAAGACAGATGGCTATGATCCATTCATCCTAGCATAACTTTCGTTTGTTAGTATTTTTTCTTTTTCTGGCTTTGTGGACTCATGAACTTACCTTTCCAGCCCCAGTCCTTCATGACAGTCATCCAATGTATCTCGCTCTTCACCAGCGAGCATGAGGGGATAGAGGAAGCCGTTTCAGTACGATTTGCTTTAGAAGACCTGTCACGTCTCTTCCAAGCCTCTTCTGTAATCTCTAAACATCTGTTGACAAGTCCCGAGGTAAGTCGAGAACCTAGAACTCGCCACCTGTCAGAGACCCAGGTCCGATCCTCTATCTCTGTAGCCTCACACCCCGCAATCATCAGTGGCATTACGGGAAATATGGCTGCATGAGAGTCTACTGGGACAGTTGCTATAAGGGTCAGGACCTTCCTGGTCATGTCCTGTAACGGAACTTGTGTCGGAAGCTCTGGCACTGCCTGGTGAAGAAACAGCAAAGTCGCCCACTTGTACGCATTAGCTGTTTGTATCAAATCAATTGTACTCGAAGACAGTTGAGTTTCGTGGGTGTCTTGATCCAATTCAGTAGAGGGTTCCCATCGCTCAATTGAAGTTTTGAGGCGGACTGCCTCGGAGACAATTGCTGGCGAGTTAAGCTTTTCATGCCTTTGCCGAACGCGGTTGACCAGATCAGCTACGCCGCCGAGAAGAGGAAATAGTGGCCCAGCGCATCCCATGAGAGGATCTACCGTCGCACCTAAAGACTTAGAGCTGAATAAGCTGCAATCCGACATGAGCGGTAAATCCATAACGTATCCGTCATGACATGTAACGCGCGTTATGGTATCAATGTATATCCAGGTATTTGAAAGAAATCCTAACCCAATCAACTCATCTCTGGGACGCTGAGAAGACTGATGTTCTATTAGCGCCTTTCGAAGAAGTTCAGCTCCTTTCCGTATGTAACTCGTGGTAGTAGAAGATCGAGGATGGCACCAGGCCTGAGCTAGGCTCACGGCCAGCGCCGTACTAATGGTAGCCTCGGGTTTGCAATCGCTAGTTTCCATGACTGTGAGCTGTTTAACTGCATGTTTGAGGTGCCTTAATCCTATGGCGCGATGTTGAGGGAGATTATTGAACCCCTGAAAGCACGTCATGGCAGCAAGTGCGTGATAAAGCGCAGTGTGCTCCTTGGCCAGGGGCCAGACGATCATTCGCCATGGATTTCCGGTTGCACTGTCTTTGATGCATAAAACCTCGCATATGCGACGGTCGAAAAGCACGGAAATGTTCTCTGGAGAGTCGCTATCGAGCTGAGGAACCCTGTAAAGAGGCGACCTGGGATGACTCCTTGAACTTGATGGAGATTCATCAGCTTCAATACTTATTTCTCCAAACTCAACATCTCTCTGAGATGCTGTCGTTCCTTCAACAAGCTGTAAAGTATCTTTCTGCAGACCTGGCGCTAAGGAGATATCTTCATTTGGTAAGTTGACACACGAAAATTGTGATGGTTCAGTGTTTAGTGACCCCGTTATGATACCGCCAGGCAATGTTGGGCAATCTGGCGGTGAGGCATTGTGATGGACTGCTGGCGCTTCGAAGGAATCAAGACCGGCAAGAATTTCGTAGAGGTCGTCCAGATCTTCGGATACATCGAAGGACATCTCCAATGAGAGATCATTGATCTGGGGACCATCAAAGTCGGTCCCGCAGTCAACAAACTCGTATCGAGACCCTAGATCAAATGGAGTTTGGGCAGTATGGGACTGCTGGAAGACAAGATCTCGTGGCGGAAATTCGGAGGGGCTGATTATACCGCTTATGACTCCGTAGTCATGGTCATCAGACTCACGTCTCCCTGGGAGTTCGGGTTCGTCTAAGTGAAAAGCTCGCGATCCAGTATGAGCCCGGTCCGACCTGGGTTGTCCTCTGCCATCTGGATAAAATCCTTAGCATCGTACCATGAGCCAGGAAAGGATCAGGTTGCTTACTATTATTACCTGACGAAATACTGTTTGCACCGGGCTTCTCGAACTCCCTCCACCTAAACTCTGCTTGATAGCCTCCACATGCCGTTTTCCGGCGAAGGCATTGGGAACAAGAAGGCTTTTTCTCGTCGCATTTCCTTCTTCTTGCCTTACACGTAACGCACCCTGTACTAAAGATTAGCACTTTCCTCAATGGAGCCTTATTTGACATGGGTTTTTGCACAACCATTCCGGCTTTTTTTGTTCGGTGCTCGTTTTGGCGGCGCTGTATGCACCTGCTTTCCTGTGGAAGCTGGCAACAGATGACGCAGCTGAGATGTCTCGGGAGGTGTCATGGCATATCAGGATGAGATGTTGTGCAATGCTTGTAACGTGCCTGAGGAGATGGGGACTTTGATCACGGTACATGTAGACATAGACCAGAGAGTAGATAAGAAAGCGGGGGAATGTGGAGAACTATCCATAATAGGTCACAGTGGGCTGGAGAGGCCTTTTCTAGACTAGCCTTGACTCTTCTACCACCAACTCACATCAGATCGACCAATAAGATGCAATTGATTAGCTAGGTGCATGTCCACGCCCCCAGAGGCAAAGGGAAACTGGGCGAGAATATCTCCTACATGTGTTCCATAATCTCTAACATTTAAACAAGGTATTTCTCTACTATAACGGTCGAAATAAGTCTCATCGTGGGGATCCAATCACAGACCAAAGCTGTCCACCACTGCGACTCCTCGGGTAGCAATCAGGTTAGCTAATCCCCTACATAGCTTGTAAGCTTCTTCTACAGGCTAGACTAGCTGCCAGCAGGGCCAGAATAGCCATGGCATAGCTTCTGTCTAGGAGTCTTCATTTCCGTGCATTGTTAGAGTGTTCTTATCCCAATAGTTCAGTTTCCCTACATGATCGCAATAAGGTCACAAACAAAATGATGTTGATTATATCTCTGCACTATCGAAGTCTTACTGGGACTAAGTACTCTCTGCTGATTTATGCCCTCAGCCATACGTCTCAACTGCAAATTCTTGCTGGGGCAATGCTAGACAATCCCCTGAGCAGCTTCTAAGCTGACATTTGAATCCAGGCTCGAATCCAACTTTTCCCGTTCGTGGTTCGCTGCAGTTTCCTTGTTGAACTCGGCCAGGCACATTTCGAAGACCCGCTTCTGATAATCTAATACCCAACACACATCAGTACGATGAAAGCATTTGAGGTGTCATAATATGTTCGACTTACGGATCACGCCGTTTTCCTTGTTTGGATTCAGTATGCCCTCAGTATAAATTCCCACCTTCAGGTTCATCTGAGCCATTTCGCAAAGATCGTTATCCTCCGTTGCGACAGTTCGGGCGAATTTGTAGTAGTTCTGAAATTCCTGCGTTTCGACAGATGACTTGTGATAGTAGTCAAACTGCATGATAGTTTTGGACGGATCATCTGTCGGCCAGGTACGGAACGAGGAGATACCACCACCATACAAATTCAATGTAGAGTTAGGAAAGAAGTAAAGAAAAAGACCGTCACTTGGACTGTCGCGTTTACAATCTGCTTCTGCGAAGTGACGTGAGAAGTGCTGCTCGTTAAGCACCTTGTATGTAGTCGGCGCATAAACCTTGGAGAATGATGGGTGCGCAAAGGGGCAGTGGAGGCACTCTTGGAACCCATCTATAAGAGTCTTCCAATTATACTTGCCGGTATATTTGAGGCTTGTTCTAAAAGGGAAGGCAGTGAAGTCAACTGTTGAGATGAGCTCTTCGAGGCCAGGAAAGTATTCGTTGAACTCAGGCGTCGAATCGGAGAAGGTTATAAAGAGGAGGCCGGTCCGGGTGATATGGTGACGCATTTGAGTGCCCTGAGAGTGTTAGTGTTCAGGTTGAAGCTATAGGAGCCATCTCGTACGTCACTTGTGAAAACTTGGATGCTCTTCCAGTCTTCTGACGCGCGTCGAACAGTAAATTTGAACTGCTCAAGATCGTAAAAACAATCCTCGACGTCAGCGGACCATCGCGTGACAACACCAAGATAAATCCAGGTCTAGAACACATCAGTGGCTGCCCCGATAGATTGCCGACACACGACCATACCTTGTTGAATATAGCACGTCTTTCTAAGGCAGCAATGGCCTTGCTGGTATACCATGAGGCAGGGAGTGTGTTTGGACAAGACATTTTTGATAGACAACCTTGATAAGGCGCATAAATCAATGTCTCTTCAAGGCCTCTGATGTGATGAGAATTTGAGACGCGGAATTTCGAATGGTTAGATATGTATCCATGCCTCGACAAACATGCGTTGACATATGGAGTGCATGTATCAAAGTCACGGTCTTTCTTTGACTAACAGCTCTGCTAACCTCAAGCAGCGAATCGTGTTCCTTACCTCGATTAGGAAAAGCGATCCGCTGCTACTGGCCAATAATATCCAAGCCTCCGCTGCCTCAATTCCGAGCTGGGCAACCCCGCCTTTATCTTTGATGTTTCTCTTTGTGATTAAAAATCTCTTGAGAATTGAAAGAATTGATAAGTTGAAAGCTTATCATAATGTAGAATCCATGGTACTATAACAGAGATAGATTATATGTTATGTCCTGCCGTTATTGCTATCCTGCTCATACCTCGATGAAATCTTGTCTGCCGTCACTGTTCAGCATTGGCAGAGTTCTTATGTCACATTCGCGATCATGATTAAAACCTCAAATATCTTACTGATTGGAGGCGGTGGGCTTGGTGTTATTGCTGCCTTGAGCCTCGAGGCCAGTTCAAGGGCCAAAGTGACAGCTGTGTTGCGTTCAAACTACGAAACTGTCAGTGCGAATGGGTACAAAATCAGTTCATGTGACCATGGTGAGATAGAGGGATGGCGCCCTACCAAAAGTAAGTGTTAGCCATCAAGATATCCCTTCAGCTACCCACACCTGTTCTGTAGTCGTGACCAAAATTGCTCATCCGCCTTCGAATGACCGGGTCTATGATTACATCGTTATTACTACTAAAAATATACCTGGGCTTGGCCGAAGTATGGCGGATTTAATTGCACCTGCAATTTCACCGAGCATCACCGTTATTGTCCTCATTCAGAATGGATTGAATATCGAGAGGGAATACATCGAGCGGTATTCTAGCAATGTCGTTCTATCTGGCATCAGCTTTGCCGGTTCGCAAGAGACAAGACCAGGCTGGATCCAACATACGAGCCACGATCATTTACTTGTTGGCGCCTTTCCGAGTCCAGAGATCAACAAGACATGCGGTGAGGCCGCCGCAAAGAGTTTTGTCTCACTATACGCAGCTTCAGGAAAAGCCTCGTGCTTCTACATCGCCGATACCATGAGACAGAGATGGAGAAAGCTTGTTTACAATGCTACAATAAACCCACTTTGCGCCATCACTAACCTTGACTCTGGTTCTCTCCGCCAAGGTAGTCCAGCGATGAGAAAGGTAATACAGGCTGCTATGGAAGAGATCATGGCTGCTGCGGCTGCAGCTGGACACAGACTCCCCTTAGAAACTGCCCAGGAGTTATTGGGTGACGATGCTGTGGACGATAACTTTGAGCCCAGTATGCTCCAGGACTTCAGAAAGGTGTGCACAATTCCTCAAAATCTTTGAGAACTCAGCCTGATGATTAAATAATTCTAGGGAAACTCAATCGAGTACGAATATCTAGTGGGGGAACCAATGCGTGAAGGGCTTCGACTTGGGGTTCCGATGCCGACTATCTCGATGATTTACTCGCTTTGCCAAGCTGTACAGAGCGGAATAATGCAACAACGTAAATCGGTTTAAGAAAAGTGTTTTAGTTTTAGGATGACAAAATAATGTATTTCAGAACTGTTCGTGGGTGCACAGGTTCTAGATTATTACAATAAATCTGATTCAACCCCGATTCAGAAAATACAAAAGCCATTTCTTTAACATCCAATGATGTAACCAATCGATTAATCAGTATAACTTAGAATAGCTCTCATCTCTGTAATTACAGAGTGAATGAGAGATAATGGCGCTGGCCAGTTATATAATATAATAAAGTGATTAGTTCTTTTTCCATAATATCAGCCTTCATCAGAGGCTTTCTCAGCAATCTATTAAACCTCGTTCATTCTCATTTACAAGATAGTTTAGGATGTAAAAATTTAGAAAGAAGCCACGGCAGATCATGTGCTAGAAGTTTAATTAAACCAGCTTGCTAGCTACCATTCCAAATCCCCAGAGTCATCAAGCCCCTCTAAAGCCATACATACTGTGGAGATATATTAGCTGCCCATTTCAATATATTAATGGAAGCTTAGTGATATTGAACTTACTCCCTTCGGCTTTTGCATAGCCATTACTTCGGCACTGATTCGCTGCAGCTGGCTTGATCTCAGCTCCTTCACGCTTTTCTCTTTCGGCGTGCTTATCCACCATATCAGCCAGCGCAGCATGCTCATCTGGACATGTTTAGTCTTCTATAATTACCAAAAGCGAGCGTGCAGCCTACCTCCACCATGATATAGGGAATTAGCAGAGCTTGCGAGTTTCTCATACAGCTCTTCATGTTGCCGAATAATCGAATTGATCTCAACTTCCAGATCGGGCTTCAAGCGTTTCTCAAAGTCGGAGCTATCTTGCTTTGACTTTGAGTACACGTCACATCGTACGGTGGTTTGTCTAACAGATCCCGGAGAATACGTGAGCTGGTACCAGATGGGGCTTCCCCTCTGCGAATAAACGGTGCTGAGAGGGCTGAATCGAAGCTTTCCCGCTACAGAAGGGCCGAACAAGCGTGACAGAGAACCTTTATAGTGGGCAGACGATAGTTCCCGATCTAATGCATTCCCTAGAACTCCGTAAACATGCGTCGCATTTGGTGCTAGCAAACCAAGGTACTTACCAGGAACCTTCCAGTTGAATTTCCCCTTTACTTCCCAAGATCCAAGATATTGTTGGGTCTGGCCAGTCGGTGCTGACCTTCCGATAGCCTTCGCCTTCTCAAGCTTGGTATCGCCTGCTTTAGGGCTGCTGTTCAAGTTGATGTGTAGAAATCCTTCATCATCCATCTTGGTGTGCACGGGGAAAAGACCATTCTGGCTCTTATCAAAACCAATCACATCTTCAAAGTGAGGAGCCTTGGTAAGTTCCCCTTTATTATTATAACTCCACCCATGATACTTGCAGCCAAGTATATATGCTGACCCAGAAGCCTTTCTAGTGACTGGAAATGCGCGGTGCCGACAGACGTTATGAAATGCTCGAACCACGTCGTCCTTGCCTAGCATCAGAAGGAGTCTAAAGCCGGCAATCTCAAATGCGATGTAGTCGCCAGCCTTTGAGAACCGACTGCGATGGCTGACACAAATCCAACTCTACTCTTGTCAAATTGAATCCAACATGTATAGTCCGATGACATACCTGGCTGAAGATGGCACGCTGTTCAACGCTAAACCGCTTGGTATCAGTCCACCATCCTTTCGGTGGCTTGAATGGCCTGGCAGAGACTTGGTCTGCTGTGGATTGAGAGGATAAAAAGGTCTTGATTAGGAGGAAAAGAGGCAGCGCTAAGGCAAAGAGAGTGCCAGGAAGAATATAAGGAGACATGTCAATAAGCATAAACATGGCTTGGGATGCATAGAAGCTAGAAGTGTCGTTGGGTCATGCGGATAACAATTCTTTAGAGTATATACTGGTCAAGTAGTTGTTAGATTTTCTGTCATTATGTTTTTTCTTGCATTCGACTAAAGATGCGCTCTTTTCTTTACGTATCATGGTTATCATATGAGTAATCTACTTGGTTGGTCAGCCGATGAGATCTACTTCTGGATATCCTATCCCTTGCAAAACGCAAATTGGCAAGTCTCGAATAGCCTCGACCGTTATTGCCAATGATTAGTCCATCTCGGGTGGGTACATTTCGCTTTGAACAATATCGTCATGTGGTGTTCTGATAGCAACGCTACTAGCTGTAGCGATGGCCAATCATATGCGTTAAATTGAGGGGATTCATTTTCCTAAAGCGGATGTATTTTACGCCAAAGCCGTGGCTGGCCACATGTGTCTGGCTTTATCTCCTAAAGAAGTTTATCAGATAATGCCTGAGACAAGTAGAAATAGCCACTTAGATAAGACCCCAGTAGCCACATATAGAATATTGAAGGTGTTCTCTGTTGGAAGGGTGCTGTGTGTGGCCTCTGATAAGACTAGCAGGTGGGGAAGCGGAGGGTAAGGCGGTCTGGGACAATACGCTGGACTGCTCACTACTTTCTTTCTCACAGTAATACGGTGTATTACAAGAAAGTCTCTTATTGGGTATCATTTTCCCATTGTTTTTCTTTACAACACAACAGTTGCTTGTAATGCAAATGCTTTAGCGACCGCTGTTTGTACTAAGCTGAGTCTGGTGGACTACAGACATGCAAGGGTCTTAAAAAGTCAATAGCAGGATATGTACTTTACAGGACCGTAACAACAATCTCTAAAATTAAACAGCGCCTAAAATAACAACTCTGCATCATGGTATTTGTTCTCTTGTTAGTTGTTCCTGTTGCAACAAGCTCGGAGGATCTGCAAACTAGCGGCGGAGGAACTCAAGCAAACCACAAATCTTCCGAGAGGCCAAGCTCAATTCGAAGCGTGGGCCCCGCATTCAATGTTTTGCGGTGTCTGCTACAAGGGACATTTTAATGGAGTCTGGGGTATCATTACCGAGGATCGCGGGCATAGGCCCATGGTACTCCAGTCGAACGATTGGGCTGGCTGTCGTCCATATAAGTCCTGCAAATGAGTTGTATAGTCCAACTTATACGACGAAGCACATCTCTCTCCGATAATGCAATGGATGAAACTCAAGTCATCATTGTTGGCGGTGGACCAGCAGGTCTTGCCCTGGGACTCTCACTAGCCCGATTGAAGATTCATGTCAGTAGCTACCACTTCGATAGGTACAGCACCCTCATATTCAGTACTGACGATGCACTCTCGCCAGTCCGTGATTCTTGAAAAAGAAGCAGAGATCACCACTGACCCCAGAGGTGTATTCCTCACGGGAGATGCGGTCAGAGTACTACACAGCCTCGGGATCAACGACCTGACGGGCATAGGTCATGGTAGGTCCACAAGAGCAAATGAATCTGCAAACTGGGTCAAATCATGTACTCATCTCTAGTGATACAGAAATGCCACATCTTAATTTCCATCTCGGTGCATTCAATACTCCTCCATTCTTCTCAATTCGCATTGGGGACATCAACAGTCTTGAACAAGCCTTACCAGAAGGCATTTTGCAAATGCAACCCCGTCTAGGTATGCCTTCTCTTTAGTCCAAAAGACACGTACATGTCTTCTATGCTAACTGTAGATACAGAAGGGGCTTTGAGAAAGGCTATTGAGGAGTCAAAGTTCTGTTCACTACGTACCGCTTGCGAAGTGGTCGCACGGTCAGAACAAGATCCACCAGTGATCGACTTTAACGATAGCCAAGGCAGACGACAGCAGATCAAAGGAGAATGGCTCATCGGCGCCGATGGAAAACTAGGTATCGTACGAAAACACTTCCTTGAACCTACTGTAGGCATAAAGCAGGAAGATGGTCTTTATCCTTACAGCGGCACCTGGATAGCCGCCAACTTGAAGATGAAGCTTCCTACTCCAGAGACTCATCCTGACTTTCCACTCTGGAAGTTTGGTTACTCGCCGCAAGAGGTTTATGATCTCTTCTGGCCTGTTGGATGGCACTTTTGCACTCCGCCTGGAAAGGCGACTGCTTCTGGAAGATTTGGTCCTTATGAGGAAAGACTCTGGCGTCATGAGTTTGCCCAGGAGGAGGCACTTATCAAGGACAACTCGGAAGAGCTACTCTGGGAGCATATCACGCCGATGATCACTCTTGAGGAAGACAGCAGCCGCAATCACAAGTTCGGCGGGCCTGTGCATTACCCACGAGACTGTATCGAAATTCTACGATGTCGTCCATTTCACTTTGTTCACAAAGTTGTTAACCGCTGGTTCAGTGGTCGAACTATCCTCATTGGCGACGCAGCTCATGTCTTTCCTCCTTTCGCTGGTCAAGGTATTGGAAGTGGCGTTAGAGATGCTCACCAACTTGCATGGAGGTTAGCCCTGATGCTGCACCCAAACTCCAAGCCCGAAACCCACGGCAAGTTGCTCAAATGCTGGGAATCTGAGCGGCGTCAGAGCATCAACGACGCAGCGCAGCTCTCTATGATCAACGGCCACATCTGCAATAATGAGCCCTCTCTATGGGCACGGTTATGTTTCCGACTTGTGATGTTCCTGCACGGCACACCTGTCTTTCGGTACATAGATTATTTATCCCATAAGGAGAAGAAGGGCTTTTCGAGTATTGAGAACGGGTTCTTCGTCAAGGAGCGACAAGGCGGTTCTCGTCTTCCACAGATACATATGAGATTCAAGGGCCAGTCAGAATCATTCTTATCGGATGAACTTTTACGCAAGGATCATACAATCTTCACTTTAGTGGTTGTGACCGACGGAAACCCCGCTAACCAGCAAAGCTTGCACGCTGAAGCAAAGGCTGCAGTCCAAGAAGCTGGACTTGCATCCATCATCTCAAAGGAGGCCATCGTTGTTTACGATGCACAGTCAGACGACTCATCACTAGGTCAAAAGACGCTTTCAGACACTAATGGGAGGGTTGTTCATCTCACGGTCTGTTCACCTTCAGAGATCGCCGCAGCTGGTGGGCACATGGCGAATAGATATGACAGCTCGGTCTTTGTCAAGCGTCTTGGAAGAGGTACGAAGTTTGCGATTATTCGACCCGACTTCTTTATCTTTGCTTGCTCTTCTGACTACGCTGGGCTGGTCAGCTCTCTGGAGTCGTTGAGAGGTTTTGTTGGGTTCGGGGGTAAGAAATAGTTGACATGGTAAGGCGTGCCAGGTAGCTATTCCCCAAGGCTGCCACTTAGAGGTCTTTAACGTATTTCCATTACGTCTGACCTTTTCAGCTCAATAAGTTATGGACTTTGATATATTTACTCCCTGTACTAAATTGGGTTAATGCCTATAGTCAATCAACTTGATGTGATGTTTAGCACAAATATTATAGAGTTTATAGCATCTCTCCCTGTCTTTTGGCATGCGGCATACTTGTGGAAGAGGACTTGATTGTAGTTTCTCAACACAAAGTGAACCTTTGGATATGATTCTTGTCTTCAGTCCTCTATATGTAAATGGTCACTAGGACGCAAGGTAAGGCGCGCAATACAAGTGTCACTTTTCTGATTTATCAAATTAAAAGAACCTCGTAAGAACGGAATCCATGTAATGGCCTGAAGCACGCAGACAAAATATCTATTGACAGCGACGACAAATGTCCGTAAGTAACTTCTACATAAATCTACTGAACAGGAAGATAGCAACTCTCTGTAAGGAGACTATCAGACGCGTCAAAAGTCCAACTCTGTATAATGCGCAGTTAGCAAAGCTTCTTGTTCCAGGCTCTCGTAGGTGAACGAACGATGCTTACTCAAACTTGATAACATTTCGTAACGTCCCAACCCGCGCCATGGTGACTTCAAGGACGTCACCATCCTTGAGGAATACCTTGGGACTATGGAAGGCACCCACTCCAGCAGGCGTTCCCGTCATGACCGCTGTACCAGCCGGTATGGTTGTTCCTGTACCAAGTCTGTCAGCATTGATTCCGTTCATAAGCAATGCTGAAGTACCTTGACTCATATGGCTGAGAATCTGCTCTGGCGAGAAGACCATATCCTTCCTGAACTCTGCTACTTGCCGAACCTCTCCATTGACTTTTGCTTCTACAGAAAAGCCTGACCCATCACCAAATACAGCTGGGCTGATTAATGCAGGTCCTACAGGTGCAAATTTGTCGAAAGCCTTGGCGAAGAAAAATTGACCTGCTGAATGTTTAGGAAGCTGATACATGCGGCAAGATATATCATTGCCAATGGTGTACCCTAGGATGTAGTCCTTAGCTTCCTTGGGAGAAATATCACGGCACTGTTTAGAGGTTACAAAAACGAGCTCGCCCTGACAGCTCAATCAGCATAAGATACCATCGTTTCAAAGCATGTGGTCACGTACTTCATAGTCTGGGAGACTCTTTGCGCAAAAGTCATTGAGTGGAATGTCTTCATCTGGGTTTGCAAGGGATGCAGCTGGCTTGGTCCATAGAGGAGGAACTGACGTCAGGGTGAGCTACAGACTTATTAGCCATTGACAGAGAGGGTTTTCTGTTCCTTTTTGACATACTGAAGCTTCTTTGGCATGGCTACGATAGTTCAACCCGACGCAGTACAGAGGTAGTTCATCTCTTGGAAGTGGTGCTAATAGCTGTACTCAATCAGTAAATTGGATTGGTCAGAGCTTTATCTCAGTAAGTTATGACACGGAAAGACTCACACGACGAATTGTCACTGTTTTGGGCTCACGCTTATCGGTCAAGCCCTGTAAAGACTTGACCGCGGCGACCTTGGTGCCGAGAGCAGGCGGGCCTTGAGCATCGGAACCCAGGTCGGCGAAATATATCTCCCCGTCCTCTTCAGACTCAAACTTGATCAGTACTGAGAAACTAGCCATCGTGTTGGTATGTCACAGGGTGTGTTGCCAGCCCATGGATCTGCATTGATATCAGTCCTTAAATACATCATACATCTTCTCTACAATAACACTCATTTTTAATGTCCCAGGATGGAATCCATAAGCTACTTGTTCTACGATGCTAAAATGCGGGGAAATAAAGACTACGGCAGATCTCAAGCTTTTAACTTTTGAGATCCTCCGACGTGGGATTAGCTGCATTGAAAGTGCCGAGGTTGGTTAGTCATCGGAAATACTACATAATTCCTCGGAGCATCTTGTGAATCCACAATCTCGTCCATTTCTCTCACCTCCGATGATCTGATTACACCAAGCAATGGCCCCGCATTGGCTTTTCATATGCTAGTGTACACCTACAAGCGGCGTATCTAGCGATAGTATCCGATAAATAGTATTTCCGATACCAAGAAATGTCTGCGTCACCGTCTTCAGGCGGCGGAACATCCGGCGCAGCTCCCTCTGCTCATCGGCTGAGCACCAGAGTCTGCGACAACTGCATTCGGTTCGTAGACCCCGCATCAATTCTCGGCAGTACAGCATCTGACAATCGCCGTGCTTCAGCTCTAAAGTCCGATGTGAGATGATCCGGCATTTCCCTGTCTCTAGTACTGATGCGACCGGCCTGGTACAGGCGATCTAGGACAGCCGTCATGCTCGCGGTGCTTGGACCGCGGCAAAATATGTAGCTACTCTACGACGCGTCGTCGGCCAGGGCCAGCTCCTGGCTCCGGTAGGGCCCCACGGGCAATCCGTAATCGAGAGAGGAGGCATTCTGGTAAGAGCCGTCAACTGACTATTCAAGCATCGCGCTATCTAATCACTCGCTTTGAAGACATAGAGGAAACCACCCAGCAGGCCGATTCTATCCTTGAGGACATCACTTTTTCGGTTCCAGTTGTTTCGGATCTACCATCTGAAACCCCTGAAACCCCTGTCACTTCCCATACATCTATTGGCAATCGATCAACACAAAATCTAAACATCTTGCCCGAAGAGGAAACGTATCTGTAAGAGACGATATTGTATTGTCATAGAACCTCATGCACTAACCATGTCAGGGCCGATGAATACTTTAAATCAATAAATGAATCCATACCACTATTCTCCGAGGCCGCAGCATCAAACATCCAACACACTCTATCTACATGCAGCCCCGAACTCGCCGAAGCTCTGCTTCTCATCACAGCCAAACTCCTTGGCTTCAAATTTTCATCCCCTCATTTTGACCTTGACGGTCGTATAGACCTAATCCTAAGCAATACAACTCTTCAAGAAGACACAGCCGGTGACTTTCCAAGCCTTGACCTCTTTCGCAAGTTCTGCCTACTCGTCTTTTATGAGTTCCACCAATTCCCTGGCCAGCAAGCCTGGATGCGCATAGGAAAGATCGTCCGGCTGGCGTATTGGATGGGTCTTGATCGTCTAGACATAATCCAATCCGTCTCCCCAGAATGGTCCAATGTGAGTGACGCGGACCTTCAGAACTGGAAGCTTGTCTGGTGGTGTGTGTACCGTCTTGACTCGTACGCCAATCTCTCATCCGGAACACCGTACCAAGTTGATGAACGCCTTGTCAACACATCTTTAAATCACCAGGATCAGCTTTCTCAAGGTTTCGTCGCTCCTTGCAGGTTACCCCACGATCCGCGTAGTCTTCCTGACCTTCTCTTGTTTGTCAAGACCGGGAGCGAAAGCAGTATCCTCTTCAACATCCATCTCATCACCGTCACTGTCCTACGGCAATTCGGCCGGGCAATGAGTATGCGCTACTTAGTTCCTCACGAGATCCTCACGGCGAATTTACTCGACGCAGAACGTACACTATCTGCAATACGTCTAGCCTTACCACGAAACTTCTTGAACCCTGGAAGGAACGCCTTCATGAATGAATCAAACACAAATCACCACGCGAGATTAGTCCCAGTACTTCAACTACATATGGCTCAACTACTGGCTGCTCTTGCGAGCTGCTACTATCTTCCAGAAGGTGATGATTGGACGCTTAGCTGGCAGCGTGTTCTGGAAACCTGTCAGAACATAGCTGGGGTAGCGGAGAAGTGGGACAGCAATTACACTCTCACCGTTGACCCAGCACTTTCGCTTATCAGCTTAACGGCGCTTGTCTTTTTGGATATTCACAAGAAGTATACTGAGAGTACAAACACACATCTCATATCCGAGATTGAGAACTGCGAACTTCTTCTGTTGCTCCAACTTGAGCAATTCTCGGCTCATTGGAAACTTCCGAGTTTACTAATCCGTAAGTACAACCCTCTTTTTTTGTCTACCCGTAGAATCTCAACTCTGACGATTGGCTTCAGTGTCGTTCAAGAGCTTCAAGGAATCGGTCACAGGTCCTCTCTCTTATCCGCACATCCAACTTATCCTGTCCCGGTTCGAGAGTCCTTTGCACCCAAGATGGTTACAGTTCTTGTCATCTGCTCAAACGCATCTCCAGAATGTGATATGGGACAATGGCATTTGAAGCCACATTTGCAGAGAATTATTCTTATTTGCATAAATACTTGTCTCATCACATCAGCTGTATGGCTCATCTCCTCCTATGAAACTCCTCCATGAGATGGCATCGGCCTTTTGTATTGTTTTTAAACTCAATGTTTAGCACTTATCATATAAAAACTGCCTAGGAGTCAGTCTAGATCAGAGTAGTCACAAGTAATGGCAGTGATATTCATCAATAAAGGTATAGCATTAAACTCATTTAGCTAGCTCATAAGACTAGAACAAAAGCAATTATCGTAGACGGGCAGATGCGCGTTTCCCAGCCATCGCAGTGCCCTCCTCGTGTGAATGTGACAAGACGTTACTTAGACCTTGCTGGGAGCAACCTCGTGGACCTCTTGATCCAGAGAAGAAACCCTCTCTGTCTCCTTGCTGAGAACCTCCTTCTCAACGTGCTCGAGATCGACATCGGCCACAGCGGCGTTGTCACCATCGATAACCTTGGCCAACTCCTCAAGGGTAGGTCCACGAGTCTCGACATACATGAAGAAGATGAAGAGAACTTCACCAGCGACCCAGATGGTGTAAATGAGGTAGAGTCTCCAAGTGTTGCCACCGTATCCAGTTTCCTTCTCGCCCTCGGGAACGGCGGGGGCTTGCCACGCCTTGAAAGCAAGAGGGTTGAGGTAGTTGTTGAGTAGAAGAGCAATTTGAACCGAAATGTTGAGGAACATCAGACCCTTGGCACGGAGGGAGTATGGGAGAATCTCAACAGCATAACCGATCAAGAGACCAGACCAACAGGTTGAGTAAAACACACCGTGAAGCCAGACAAGGAAGATCATGGCGTTGTTGGCGCCAGGAGCTTGATGCTGCTCGTGGAGACCGCAGGTAAGGGTCCAGAAGAGGAGAGTCAAGCACATACCGCCAGTGGCGAAGAGGAAGGAGAAGCGACGGTTGAGGCGTTCGACGAGGAGAGCGCAGCCGATAGACACAAACAGATCGAGAATTGTCTTTCCAGCGGTGATGATGAGACGTTCGTTCTCGCTATCGAGACCAGCGTTGATGTAGAGACGGGCAGAGTAGTTGGAGACAACACCGTTGCCTGACCACTGCGAGAAGAGACCGAGGGAGAAGAGGACGAGGAGGCGGTAGCGGTTACCCTTGGTTTTGAAGAAGTCGGTATATCGGGAGCTGTTATTGGCGAGCTGCTCAGCCTTGATGGTGTCGCGAATCTCGCGATACTCGAACTGGACAGTTGGGTGGTTCTCGTTGCCGTTGGCGTGGTACTTGGAGAGGATATGAAGGGCTTCGTCCTGGCGGTCCTTGGCGATGAGGAATCGAGGGGACTCGGGGATCCCTAGAGGATGTTCGTTAGCAAGATCGTTGAACGATTCCATCAGAAGATCAACTTACACCAGAGAATGACGAGCTGAATGAGACCGGGAGCACCCTGGAGGATGGCGGGGAATCGCCACGACCAGTCACTGTTGCCGCCGCCCCAGTAGTGAGTACCGAAGCAAGTCCAAGAAACAAGCAGAGAGCCCATGTTCCAGAGACAGTTATAAACAGTGGTGAAGCGAGCACGGTGCTGAGGATGGCACAGCTCAGCGAGAAGCATAGGAGAGGCAATCTGAGCAAACGAGTTGCCGAAACCGAGGAGAACACGACCGCCAGAGTAGGTAGCGTAGTCGGGAGCTCCAGCCTGGAGACCAGCTCCGATAGCCATGAGGATGAAGCCGAGAGCGATGCAAGGGCGACGGCCCCAGCGATCGGCGATGACAGGGACAAGAGGGATAGAGGCGACTGAACCGATTTGATAGAGAGCGACCAAAAGACCGAGTCTGCTACCCTCGGGCTTGTCGAAGAAGTCGTTCCAGGTATCAAAGTTTTGAACGACACCCATGTACATACTAAACACGCGCCGGGTCAGTAAACTGTGACTGGAATCACAAAATCTGGGGTTTGCTTACCCATCCCAGCCAGTTCCCATGGATGAAACGCAAAGAACGCATGCATAGAAGGTCAAGACCCTCAGGCCGGGGTCCTTGTACCAAGTAACATGCTCGAACTTGGGAGCTTCGTCCTGAAGCTTCTTCGTCTTCTCATCGACGCCGAGGCCGATGATTTCCTTGATGCCCATGACGATTTCTCAATCGAGGGGAATTTATTGAAAAGAGACAATAGAGTGTAGTTTGTTCTTCTTCTGCCAGAAGCACTCAGTGGCTTTAGCAGATTGTTATTGAGGTGGAGAGTGAACGGGAAGACGAAAAAATGGGGGGAGGTCCCTGGATAGATATAGAAAACGCGTCGAGTGAGGCCAGAAGCCAATCTGAAATGTAACGGGCGTGCGGACCGGGTGACAGACCCCAGATCGAAAGGAAGAACCGAGCAGGCAAAAGACAAACAGCGATTGAATCAAATGACAGGCGTCCGCTTAGCATGCGGTTCCACTCATTTGTTCGGAATGGGCGATCTTGTTCCACCTTGGCTGCCTTGGAAGTCTTGGTAGTCATGAGTCTCGAGCCAAGATGGAGGCCGGGCCGCGCTCATTTCAGCAGGGATGAAGAATGGAGAAGAGTGAAATCGACAGTCACAAGCTGGGGGATCTCCACTGAGCACTTGTTCCAACTGATGTTGTTGCACGGAGCACCCCGTAACTGAAGCATTATTATAATGGGGCTCTGCGATTAAGCCGCCCATGGGGGTGATTTTCGCTATTAGCCTGTTACCGAAAGGGGGCCCTTTCATCTCGCCACGGGGGTTTTTCGCGAGGAACGAACACCATGCTACAACATCGTATTTTGTCTGTTGGATTTTCTGCAATCTGATCTGATCTTTTGTCTAGAATCGTCGGGTCAGACATAACATCATGGCCATCACCGATGCTTACGCTTACGGGGCTGGGCTCTGAAGATCCCATTTTGCCTGTTGCCAGCCCTTCTTGGGGCAGCCATCAATGGAGCTGTGCCTCTAATAGTTGCCATCTTCCAAGACCATTTTTTTGTTCTTGATGAGCCATTCAACATCAAAAATTGAAGAAACCGCGGCGAGAATGAAATTCCTCGTGGGCGGAATTATGACCCGTGACTTTTTGCTCTGATGGCTTCGGGGATATTCTCCAGTCTTGGCCTAGAGTCACATTTGGCTAAATGCGGATAAATACGGGTAAATAAACAACCTTAATCAGTCCGCCAATCACAAGCCGTTCCAAATTCTTCTCCTGATCGATTTCAATGCGATTTCTCTCGTAAAACCCGAATATTTAAAAAGAAACATGCAAATCCCGAGTTATTCTCGGCATATCAGCTGAAATAGCCTTCAACTGTTATACCTAGCTTCGATGTCATGTGCATGGAATTTAGCCGATTGACAGATAAAAAGTCGGCCTAGAACCTGCGCGTCGCATAATGATCCCAGAACAGCCCAGAGCCAAGAGTCTAAACTGGAGACCAACACAAGTTCTCAACCGTCGACCAAGACCTTGGCACTCACCGAACCCAATTCTTTTTCGCGACGATATCTCCACTCAACAAGACTTGTCCTGAGCTCGATCCGCCCTTGTTTGACGTGGAGTTCAGGAACCGAGGGCCGAAATTCCCCAGGTCCAGATTCTGAGATATCCACTGTTCTCTGTCAAACGTGACTGATGAAGCGAGTCGACTCCGCCACGAGGAATAGGTGGTTCAGCTGACGATGTCGCCGGCGTCCGATCGTATTGTGCCATGCGCTGATATAGAAATGGTTTTTGACTTTGTTCAGCTACTGCAACAGCTGGGCTTGGGGCCATGTCTGTCGGCACAATGCCTTGGGTCATTGCGTTGTTAATGGTGATGGACCGTTGAGAAGCGGGAAACTTCACCAGTGGTAGTTGGAAACGTAATTGTGGACAGACGGGGAACTTAGTATATCTAGAAAATACAAGATAAATCTGAGATAGTTGATTTCTTGATTTTAATTGGTGTAGTACTTCTGTGAGGTAGTCGCCAACTCTGTAAAGTGGTAATGCATACCAAAACCTCGAAATCTAGGGTAGACATATCTTTAACGCGATTCATCGCGTGGAGGCTACGCGAATATCCACTCTTGAGAAACAGTCTTCCAACATTCCGTAGGCTGAAACATGCTAATTTATCCATAATAAGCCACTGCCACTGTCCTTGACGCTTAATGACTTCTTGTGCGTGGCGATTACCAAGACTCTTGGCCCTCAGGGAACCATGGATTTACCCAGGTGTCTCACGCACACAGTCAGCGCATCGTCATTCAAGACTAATGATTCGACTCTGACCTTATCCAAAATGAACATCGAGGTTGCCAAGAAGCCAAGCAAGCTTGTGGATAAGCTTGTGGACGTGAGAAATCTACTTGGCGTGGAGAAAACATCGACCCCAGGGGGAATGGAGATCGGCAAACGCGATCCACACGGATCTCTTAACAAACATAAGAATTAAACTGGTTTTCTTTAACAAAAACCTGGGGAAAAACAGTAACAACTATAGTCAATAGATATATAACATATTGCAAAATACTATACATCAAGATATATAAAGGTATTGAATGCCCAATCAGCTGTACTAAAAGTCCTCTTAAACAGGGCAATTAGCCTAAATTCACCCATAATTTCGCATCCATCCCTTATCGATAGCATCAGGTATTCTTCTCCGTCCAAGGTCTCAGTCCATCCAGGAATTTTGTATGAACGTCTCCATCACCGGTTATTCTCAGCACCTCCTTGTACTCCTCCTCGCCAAGACACTGGAAAAACAGCAGAATACCCGCCCAGATGAAATCAGCATAGCTCACCACATCGCCCAGCAAAAACGGCCCTGACGCGTTCTCATTGAGCAGGGCTGTGATCTCCCGTGCAAACGGCTCCGCTCTGTCAAATGCACCTGGGGAGTTCTTTTCTCCGTACTCGTAAAGAGGCATTCCTACGTCTTGCAAACGCGTTTCGAGGAAGAAGTCGATGCTCTTTTCGCCGATTATGTTTTTGGCGACGCCGGGGACGTAGATTGGCACCATTTCTGTCATGAATTTAATCATTGATGCGCGGAGACGTTCTTGCATTGGGTTGTTTAGGTGTACACTTGGCTCAGGATACTTTTCCTCGATGACGTCGACGATCTTGTAAGAGTCCATTATGTATGAGCCGTCTGGCATTTGAACGGCTGGGCATGTGAAGGGTGCGCCTCGTTCATTTGGGGATACACTGAGTAGAGGCCTGTTACTGAACGCTCAAATGACGTGACTGGTTATACATACTGCTTGCTCAGGCGTTCCTTGATCTCAGGATACTCGAGCTACTCAAGTTAGTGAAAGTTCTGTATCAAAGCTACAAAAGCTTACCCATTCTGTTTTGTAATCAAGGCCTTTATAATTGAGAAGCAATCTTGCTGTAAACCTGTTAGTGCTGGATGCAGTTCGTTAATTATGGGGACTGACTTCTCCAGGTATTCATCGACCAGCAAACCTGAGGCGACTTGCTGGGGATATCGAAAAATGTGATCTTGTATTCGGACATGCTGCTGTTAGTTTCTGGTTTCAGTATGCGATATAATGTTGGCCTGTCTGCTCAATGCCAATGTAAATTCACGGGTATAATTGAGGGAATTGACTGGCTGATAAGGTACTTTAGGATATAAATAGTAACAGGATCGTTATCGTTAGATTAATCAGCAGGTCGAGCTCGGGCCAATAACACAAGGGCATCATATCTTCCCCTCACACGATGGATGTTAGCACAATCCTTCAATGCCAAAAGCAGAAGGTAGGAAGTCGGCGATGTTGAAAATAGACACAAAGAGCGTCTCGGATTAAGAATCTATTTATAGCGGTATTGAGACTATAGCTATAGATGTTTATCTATATACCTTTCAAGAACATTTCTCATCAACTATTTTACCATCTGCCATGTCCCATATAGCCAATATGGACATTGATGTCCAAGGCAAAGGTTGTTTTGCAAGACAGTAGTAGTTTTAAGATCTCACTATCACCAGAGCCTTTTATCAGGAATAATGACGCGCTCTTCACAGGGATGGACTGGTTCGAATCATCGATATCTGGCAGGCCTTCACTTTCTCGGTCTTAAGCATGAATCTAAAAGCCCCTTCGTGACCTGACTCTGCTGCAATAGAAGAATCGTGGGTTGAGAGTCATGTCTGTTTGTATCTGCCTGTTTAGTTAATAAATGCAGCCAAACCGCTCCATTATAGTTACGATTTGTTGCATATACTATGGTTGACAATCTAGTGTTATTATCTACTCCTGAACCTATTCTGCTTCTAGCCAGTAATTATTCTATAACTACTTCGCGTCTAGCTTCGGTGGCATTTATGAGCGGTGTCCGACAATCCTAGGCATTAACAATCCCTACTGGTGCACCTGTCAGTAAGTAACTCGCCCCTTCCGTGACTAGCTGTTAGTATTTATCCCAGTATGAATTTATTGATTCAGATTTTTCAATCCCAATGTATTTCCTCGATTAATTGTTCAGAACTATGGATATGGAGGAGCCAGAGTGTACGAAAAAGTCCTGCTACTCACAGTTATGTAGCTATTTAGGCTCAACTTGTGAGAAATGGAATTTATAAACAAGGGGTACTACTTTAAAAAGGGTGATATCGCGAGAGGTAATGGCATAAGAATACAATAAATATATGCCATATAGCTATCTAGGCTTATGCCTATCCTTTATATAATACGTCTTTACATTCAAGCATCCAAAAGTAGACCATGTTTATGATGCGTTTCGGCCTTAGAGCCGATATATTTCTAGTTGTGAAACTTGATACCGAAATACATAAAATAAGATATGCTAAGTTAATGAGAGTTAGTCTGGGTCTTTCTTTTCACAAAGGATTTAATTCATAATGGTTTTTGCTTCCCAAACAGTGCTATCCCACGACCTGCCGACGCGCCGTGACCCCTGCAGATCAGATCATGTCACCATAACAAAGCAATCAGAGGCCGCCAGATCCACCAAACCCCGGTAAGGTGCCTGGAGCACAGCCAGTTACGCGCATTCTGTTACCGCCCAGCTGTGGGTACCCGTGTCTGTCGGCTGAATCTCTAACTGAATGGCGCCGGCAGTTGCTTAAGTTATTTCTTACATCGACGTATTTTCACCTTACGAAAAGTGATGAGAATGTGATGATTTGAAAGTGTGATACCTACATAATAGAGAAAATACAATGGCATCGTAGAACTACTACTTAGTCAGTGCCGGTTGACTAGATTGACAGGCAGGCAAGCAGGTCAAGCACAGCCATGCCTTTGCCGCAAAGCTGAGACATTTGTACATGGGGATGCAGGTAGCCTTTCCTGTCACCCATGAAGAAAAGTGACGTGTGCGTGTTGGTCGTGACCTTGCACAAGACATAAGTAACCCAGCACAGGCTGTTGGTTCAGTCAATTCTCGTCTCCAATTGATCTCTCTAATCTGCGATCTAATTATTCGTTCTCCCGCGACGCCCATGACATCGAATGGAACCGAATTCGTTGGTTGGACACCATCGCCGGACGGCAGAGGCACCTACGATATCATAGCGACATGCCTCGTCACAACATTCTTATGCTGTTGGACCTCGGTTTATCCCAACATTCCTGCGCCTGGAGATGGATTTTGGAGTTCAATTAGGGATAAACTGGGTCTTGCATGTATGGGATTGCTAGGACCTGAGTTTATTATAGTGTTGGCGATTGGGCAAAAGTCTTCGGCTCGGAGATCTGTCGTTGTATGTTGCGCACTCGTGACTGATTACCATTCAAGACCATGAGCTAATTTGATGCAGAAGTTCAAACAGGCAGGATATACACAATGGACCATCACGCATGGTTTCTTCGCCGACATGGGTGGATTTGTACTTGAAGCCTCGGATCTCCGTCAACCGATCCCCCTCAATGCTGAACAACTATTTTACCTGGTTAACAACTCGTATGTCGATTATCCTAGCACCAGTGATCGAGAGCTCAAGGACAGGAACAAGTCAGATGGGTTAGCAAGGTCTGTCAATCCACTTTGCATCTTTCCGAAGCTCTCACTAACACGCCCAGACTCATAACTCTTTGGCAAGGAACTTGGTTCATTATAACATTTATTGCACGGCTAATTCAGGGACTTCATGTGACGACCATGGAGCTCACAGCGGTTTCGTTTGTAATCATTCTTTTTGGAACAGCATGGTGCTGGAAAGACAAGCCATCTGATGTAGGGACCACGATTACTGTCCCCTGCCGTACCACGATGGAAGACATCTTGATACGCGTAAGTAATTCAACTCCTGAGCAGCTTCACCAACCAGACTTACACAGGTATAGGAAGGACGTCAGCCAGATCAGCCATACTATCAGACCCCCCTAGACTTCATCAGCAGAGACGAAACAGCGTTGAACCTTGCTTGGCAATATTATAACGAACTCTCCCGCAAAATCCTCTTCTCTCCCTTCTCACGACGCGTAAAGCAAGTCCCATGGGACAGGAACCCCGGCGACATCTTCCTCCGAATGGATTTTGATCTCGAACTAGTCGGCGTCGCTTTCATTTTCGTCTTCAGCGCCGTCTTCCTGGGGGCCTGGAACTTCTCGTTTCCCAGCACTGTAGAACGAGACTTTTGGCGTGTAGCTAGTGCTTACATGCTAGCTTACGGGATGTTTGGTGCACTATGGATGGAGCTGTGTATGTGGATCTTCATACCGCAGTATCGCCTCGCTGAGGGTCTTGAGCTGAGCCTTGTTGAGCAAGCCCTTGATCAACGACCGCACCCTGTGAGGAACTGGCACCATAGGTTCCAGAACTGGAGGAGAAGTCGGTTCAGCAAGATTAGAGGTACTGGGGATCCTGATGGAGAAGGGCTGACGTCGCAACGACCCAAGAAGGGCATTTTTGCTTTTCTGAGCAGGACATATAACATTTCGCAGGGCAAAGATCCTCACTTGGGCGTTCAGGTCGGATTTCTAATCGTCACGTCTTTCCTGTGCGCCTCTTACTGTGTGTTTCGGCTATTTATCTTTGTTGAAGATTTCATTGGGTTGAGAGCGCTTCCACAAAGTGCGTACCAGACGGTGGAATGGGCAGAGTTCATCCCTCATATCTAGAAGCGGCTGATGTCCGAATTGGGCACCTGATGATACTGATGATAGATAGACATTTTCTTGCACTGGATCTAATGAGTAATTACTACACAATTTCTTTGCTCTACCGAAGTCTTTTAGGAGGACAGCTATAGTCTAAACCATTCATGCCTAAGAACCTCCTCTGCACTTATCCGGGCGCTAGGATCATACTTGAACAGCCGATACAGCAGATCCGCCATCAACCTTTGTTCAGCTTCAGGAGTTTGTAACGACTTCTTAGGCCCCTCTTTACACTTCTCACCCGATTCGAAGATCTCGATTGGTTTGCTCAGCGCCACTTCGAGAGACCAGTCTTCTTCACGAAGCCATTTTCCATCTTTATCAAAGTATTCCCCCCGTGCCTCCCATTTCGCCCACCAATCCTCAGGAAGCTTACCAAAAAACCTGACCATCTCTGATAGTAGTTCATCTTTGTCGTAGATCATGTAGAATAGTGGGAGCTGTTCTCTGATTTCGAACAGTGTACAGCCAAGAGCCCAGAGATCGCAGGCTGGGCCGATCGTATCAGGGCACTCTAGAAGAATTTCCGGTGGGAGATAGTTCTCGGGGATACCGAGGTCCTCTGGCGGCGATGAGAATTTGAACGACTCGCCAAAGTCAATGACACAAATCTCCTCTGTTAGGAACTCGTTTCCGAGTCGGGAGATGTCCGCTGGTGGTACAAGGTATCTTGGGCTAGATGCTGGAAGATCTTCTCCTGACTCCATTTGTACTTGGACTTCCTCAGGGCGCCCTAGTAAAGAGAGGAGCTCATCCTCAGATAGGTGATCCAGGTTGCACAACTTGGCTAAAATATTAGAGGCGCGGAAATCTAGTAAATGCAAGTTAGTAGTCGTACTAAGCTAGACTCAACATATGAACTGGGAACAGAACATACCTCCGTGACAGATCTGATTCTTGTGCAAGAAGGCTAACGCTTGCGTGGTCTGATAGGCAAACTTCCGCAATATGGTAGCAGGGTCTTTCTCAAGCCGCATCCATAACCGGGGTGACACACAAGGCCCAAGTGGTGGCAGTGCCAGGCAGTGGTGGGTTCCATTTGGCCCCTCAACGGAGAAAAAGCCGAGCGGAGAGGCAATGTATTGAGCACCGGGCATCGACTGGTCCAGCTTCGCCAAACTGAGATCCAGGATCTCATCGGAGTTCAGATCACTAGCCATGACCTTAAGGGCAACATAACTGGTTTCTACAGAGTCTCGACAGAGCCATACTGTTCCGAAACCACCATGACCGAGCTTGTGTATCACTCGATACCGATTCGACGGGCCAAGCACATCTCCAATATGGACTGGGTGATAACCGCCTTCCTGGTATTCCTCCAAGGGTTCCATGCCCTCCTTTGAACCCTTGAGGAAAGTGCCTTGCGAGGTTGCTGGGGCATGGTCGAGTTCATGGTAGTCGAGTTCGATATCGTCGTCAAATTGATGTCCGCCTTGCGTAGGTGACGGGCTACGTGAACATCCTGAGCCCATGATTTGGATGCGCTGCAACAAGCTGGAATGTTCAGAGTTGGGTATTGAAAGGGCTCTTGATGGGAGTGTAAATGCAAAAATGATTACGGAATGAAGAGAATCGATGAGAGACGGTGATCAGCGGCCCATTGAGGGAGGGTTTGCGGCAGGTCATGTAATGGTAAAGTAGTCGCATCGATTTGTGTGGCAGCGAGGTAACGTCAGGCGTGAAGGCCAAGTGGGTTGAACGACTCCACATGACTAAGCCCGAACCAATTATTGCAATCATAGACCAACTCGCATATCTGTTGCAACCCGCATAGGTAGACGTCGTTAGGTGGTACACCGACAACCACATCACCGTCTATTGTGGAAAATCGAGCAATCCAGATAGGCAAGGTGGCGTACTTCTACTTGTGCCGAGAGATGGCACCCTAGTGGATTATGCAGGATTCAGAATGGAAGATGAGGGGCATCGAGCTGTATCCCTTTCCATCCACAGGAAGGACGACTGGCATATACTCAGTGCTCCAAGTTGAATGGAAGCATGTCGTGATACCGAAAGGACAAATCTTATATAGCGTTTGGCATGAAGAATCTATCATAAAAGCAGGTTTCTACGATCGTCCTAGAGACTCTAGAGCCTGTTTGGCCGCAGCTTCACCCGCAATGACAGCGCCCTCCATAAATCCAGCCCAATAGCTCGACGCCTCAGTCCCAGCGAAATAAATCCCACCAACCGGCTTCGTCAGCGCGGGCCCGAACTGAGTCCAGACATTCGGCGGGAACAATCCTGTATGACCACCTCTAGAAAACTCTTCATTATCCCATCTCTGAAGAACCCACGATTGAACCTCCCTCGCCTTGGGACCAAAGTATCTAACAAAGTCCTCCGTCACAGCAACAAAGATTTCCTCTTCAGAGGCATCATCGAGTCTTCGCATCTCGTTGGCTTCCAGGAAACCTATCATTGCACCGAAGCTTCCATCAGGAGGGGAACTGTCGAACGTTGACTGGGATACACCCTCGAGACTTGCGACCTCGCCGCTGAGACCTTGATCACGCCAAAATGGAGTCTTGTAGATTGCGATGGCTTTTCCGATTGAACCCATTGGGACGCGCTGGCAGAGCTGGTCTCGTGCGGCAGGAAGGGGAGGTTGGTAGACGATACGGCCTGCCAGCGTGGGCGGGATGGCGATGATGACCTTGTGTGCTTGAACGTGGAACGAGTCGCCGACGAGGAGGTATCCGTCGCCGTTCTGGAGAATCTGTCGAACGGGTGCCTGAAGGCGGATTCTGTCACTACCAAGACGCTCAGCCAATTTGATAGCGATGTTCTGTGGTCCGCCTTCAATCCTCTCTTCGAGAGATCCATTCTTGACGTTGGTCAACATCTCCATTCGGCCCTTAGTTTCTGCGTCTCCAGTTCGGGCAACATTGATCACAGCGCTCAACAGTGAAACGTCTTCCCCTTCTGCCGACATGACAGCTCTGTTTGTCATATCAATCACGCCTCGCGCTACCCCATCTCGCGTGAAGCCATCGAGCCATGACGACAGAGTGAGACGGTCCCATTCCTTTGCTTTAGGGTGCGTCCAAGGTTGATGCACGTCGATCTCACTTGCCATCTCATTGAATTGGACTGTGATATCAGCCAGAATCGCTATATCCTCTTCAGAGAGCGGTGGCAATCCCTGTGTCTTGACAGGATCATAGAGCAGAGGGCCCTGACCAGGTATCCACATGAGCATATTACCCTCGATGTATGTCGGAAACGTCTTGATGCCAAGCTCACTGGCAAGAGTGAGAAGCCGTTTGTGGTTCTTGCAGATGAATTCAGCCCCGGCCTCGACTTTTTGGCCATTTCCGTCTTTCACCTCCACGTCGTAGACCTTTCCGCCGACTCGATCTCGGGCTTCAAGGACAAGTACTGATTTGCCGGCAGCAACGAGATCTTTGGCAGCCGCAAGGCCACTGAAGCCGCCGCCGACGATGGCTACATCAACAGGCTCCTGGGTCCACTGCGTGGTAGGCGAAGAGGTTAATACTGTCATTTTGTGCAAAGGGTAGGAATATAAGATGATGGGAGAGTTCGGAGAATAGACCCGCAAAGAATCTGTAGTTAGGTTGAGCTACTCTAATAGAAGGTAGAAGAAATATATATGGCCAAGTATTGAATTTATAGATCGTAGCAGCGCTAAAATGCTATCTCTCTTATTTACAGATGGATCTGGAGGGCTACGTATTCAGTCATTTGTGGATTGCCAGGGAAGTCAGAATTAGCTGAGTTCAGGTTAAGTAAAGTATGATGACAAAGGATCCCAGTTTGAAGCATGATGCTTGATAGGGAATAAGGGACCGAGCCTGCAATGTGATATTATCGATATTATCGTAACCATTTTCCCCGAGGGTTAGGATGAGGTCTCAAGCTCCACTCCACCAACTTCTCCCTTCAGGCAGTTCACAGCGAGATCCACAAATTATGCGACTAACCTGTTTGGGCAGCATTCACTGGCATGAGCAATTGTGAGTTATGATCATCAGCAGCTATTAGTTTGCTGCAGAACTGGCAATTACTCTCCCAAAATTCAAGCAGAGATAAACCTCGGCAGGAGTGTTACTATAAGTAGTTATATTCCAACCAACAACGACATACGTAGCCTTCAGCTTCATAATCCGACTTTTATTTCAGTTGCACAATTTGTGATCCTGACCATCCAGCACCATGGCGCCTCCCACTGAGAATAGCTTCTTGCAAGAGATTGAGAAAAAGAGTGAGTTCTCTGAGTGCATCTAGATGTATGACTAGCATTAACACTGCGCGTTGTCAATGTTGATGTTGATACGCTTAACACTGAGTTCATACGATCTCTCCCAATGATGCCGAATGATCAAACTTGCAATCCTGCATGGTTGTCTCTAGCTCTGCAGGATCCATCTAACGCAGAGTTGATCAGAACTACAGCCCTTGACCTTCAAGACCAGGGCTTTCTTGCTATACTCTCGCGACTTGTAAGTTGCGTATTCCCGATGCTCCCTTCAAAATCTAACTATCGCAGGCCGTGCATCTCTGTAAAAGAAGCATTGATCTGATTAAAGGTCGTGTCTTGGTCCAGACCAGCCCTTCAGCTGTATGTAACTTCCAAGAGACCTTGGATCATGCTCGCATCTACGTATCTGAGTTTGAAAAGGCTGGGATCCCGAAGAACAGATATTATATCAAGATTATGGCTACGGGTCCTGGGCTGAATGCAGCCAAGATTCTTTAAGATGAAGGCATTTCGACTCTGGGAACAGGCGTGTTCAGCGTGATCCAGGCAGTGGCATGCAGTCAGGCGGGTTGCTTGTATATCAGCCCATATTACAATGGTAAGAGGGACGAAGGCTTTCCTTTTTGCACACTTCCTTAGCTAAATCGTTGCCATCAGAGATACGAACTCACCTGGATCCATCACTGTGGCCTGATGTCCAGGACCCAGCATTGGAGCATCCATTTTCGCATCGCATCGCCCAGATGGTCCACGCATACAAGACTTTATTTACTGTCACAGGCAAAGAACAGCCATTGATTAAGAATGCGGGGTAAGAGTCTTTGCCTCCACGCCCGCCGAGTCTATTGAAGCTTACAGTGTCAGCTTTCGCTCCTACAAGGAAGTTCTCGCCTCGTCTGAACTCGGGTGCCATTCTGCAACCATCTCCCAGGATCTATTGGAAGAGCTCAAGACTTCGACACCTGGAAAGATTACACTGCCCGTTTCTCCCAAAGTAGCCAGCCTAAAATGCCCCTATGCTGACGATGTACCTATTCCACCGCCTAGGCTGGGTGAGCTACTTACCCGCCATCTGGATGAACAGGGAGGATGGTTGGCAAATGACCTGACAGTGGACTTACTGGCTGATGGAGGAAAGGTGTTAGATCAAGCTCTGGAAAAAGACTCCGAAGCCGCTCGTATGGTTAAGGAGGCTTTGGATATGTTTATTTTCTGCGAGGAGGAGACCAAGAAGCTTATCAAAGGGACGGCTTTAGTTGCAAGCCTATAAGTAATCTAGATAGCTTTATGAATGCACTTTGAAAAGTCTTTATCCTAGAGGCACATATAGTACTTGGCACAATGTAATTTGTTGTGTTTGCTGCTATTTGTATCAGTAGGTGATATACTGCTCAGAGTGTCGTCTTTGTATTATGTAGAGCTCTTTCCAATCAGACCCTCACACTTATCTAGAGTTTTTCTTCATCCCCGTTGCATATTGTAATATCTGTACTTACGAACTAGAATTTTGCACGGTTCCGTAGTAAAAGCCAATGGGCCCCCAGTCATTGGCCTTAACTTTAGAGTGGTCCGAGGGTGGCTGCCATCTCGAACCCCGCATCGGCACCCGCGGACACTTTGCCCATCTGACCAACCCGCCGATGAGCCGAGTCGTTTGGGATTGCCTATTTCGGAACAAATATTCCAAGATTCGTGTCCGGGACATCTTCATGGCATAACTCAAGCTAGCACGTTGCCTCGAGTGGTGATGGGTCTGTACATATGGAAGGAAGAAGGTACATATATAATCAAAGCTCATCACCTGTGTACAAGATCGAGCATGGAGGCCCATTGTATGAACGACCTCTACTATTCTTTCAATGCCCAAAATGTCTCAACTGGTAAGTATTTCAGGCTTGAAAAATAACATGTCACTGGGAGTTACAGCTAAAACGTTCCAGGAACCCACAAACCTTCCAATCAATCATATAGCAATTTCTTGCGCCGATATCGAAGGACTTGTTAAATGGTACAAGAGCGTTCTTGGCTTCGAGGTCATTGGCGACATCCAGCATTGCATCAGAGCAAAAGACCTAGCGCCATTTGAGACAATCTTCGTCTCATACCCAACGGCACTCAAAGAACTCAAATTCGCCATCCTCACGACTGGTAATGGCGTCTGCATCGAATGTTTCCAATTCATCGACCCACCGCCAAAGCCGCGACATGAGGATTTTGAATATACGAGGGCTGGCATTTTCCATACCTGTGTGACTGATAGAAATCCTGAAAAATTGGCAAAGAAAATTGCAGATGAGGGTGGAAAGACGTTGGGAGGATGGATGGATTATTCGATATTCGGGCTCGAGGGGCATAAGGGGATATATACACAGGACCCGTGGGGCAATGTAGTTGAGATCATGAGTCTGAGCCTTGAGAGGGTTTCTTCCACTGGGACAGCGCTGATGAATGCTGCAAAGACGGCTACAGCAGGGAAACTGTAATCAATGATCTTCTAATACGATATCTAACATGATGAAATTGGTTACCAATCCAGTAAATCTAGCCAGTGAATTGATACCATATCGGGAAAGGCGATACCCCATCTTACACTAGGCATCGTCCGCGGAGGCCGATAAGCATAACAGATGAGGGGACTCCACATCAACAGCTCGGTTGCCCCGCGTTTTCAACAACTTCAAGTCAAGCACATCGGGGCCCTTCAGCTGAATAAGACGAATTCTGAGTCTCTACTGTACCCAATATTGAGTCACCGACACTCTCCGCTTTAAAACCCCCAACTTACATTATGAGAAAGAAATCCAAGACCTTTACAGGATGCTGGACATGTCGGGCCCGCAGAGTGAAATGCGACGAGGTCCAGCCGGTCTGCAATCGTTGCACCAAAGCACGTCGAATCTGTGAGGGCTATGGGGTTCGCCTTACGTGGACGAGCGACGAGAAGGACATCCCATTCAGAGTACTTATCGACCTGGATACGGATGCCGTAGAGATACCGCCGGAGGACCTGGATGATATGATCCATAAGTGCGGCTATACAGAAGCTAGTCATGAGACACAGACATTCGGTCCTTTTTCTGTGTTCTCCGCTGGCCAAAGCAATAATTTTGAGTCCTCAGAACAGCGGCATCTTGATAAAAAGGAGGGCCGAGAAGATCGACGGCTGCAGGGAGAGGCAGCAACCGAGAACCCATATACACCCTCCTCTCACGAATCGTTGATAGGTATATGTCAGCCCTCATTGCCAGAGTCCAGTAATGAGGTACTATCAGATGTCACCATATTCGACAACTTTGCGCGTCAGGCTACCAGTTCGAATTGTGGTTATGTTGATGGTAACGACGATCTGGTACTGGATGAGTTGTTCTCCACAGAATGTTTCTTTGGCCCAAGCTCTTTTGAGCCAGAGTCACAGGCGTCATTATGGGCAGGACTCGAGATATTTCAATTTGACATGGAAAGCGATTCCACTTCCGATGTCGAGACGTCGCTAGAGGGTTGTGCAACGTCGGATCACGCCCAATTCAACGATATACCGTTCAACTTCTGGCATGAAGTGCCGCCACCACAGACCAGTCTCACCCCCATCCCCATGTCGCGACAACAGACCGAACTGATCCATCACTGGCTAGTCCACATGTGCAGAAATATGGTCCCCATTGATACACTGGACAACCCATACCGAGTAACCTATCTACGCCTCGCTTCCGAAGGCGTAAATGGCACATCCAAGAGCCACATTGCAGTGCTACATGGCGTATGCGCTGCTGCCGCGCATAATCTAAATACCCTGCGCCACGACAAGACGAATACGCAGTCAGCATGGAATGCGCAGGTGGCACTGCAGAATCTACAAGAGTCAATTTCACAGCCCAAAGGCATGAACCATGCTTCTGTTCTGGCTGCCATTGCGATGTGCATCATGCAGGATACCATGACGGGACATCCGCGTGGCTGGAGGACCCATATCCAAGCTGCGTTGAGGATAATAGTGCAGGGGAAGCTCTACCAAGGATTGCATCCGGGATCTGAATTGCACGTTGTGGTTCTGCAATGTCTTTGTCTCGTCGTGCTCGGCGATGTTGATGCGCAGCATGACCTTGCAGATATGGTGTCTCAACTCCCTCGGACCGAGGACTATGTCTCTAAGCACCACAGTGTCACAAAAGACATCGTCAGTATCATATCTCAAATCAACACGCTCTCTAAACAAGATGCTACGAGAGATCTCGCTATGGTCGACCAGCTAGAACTCCAGATCTATCTTCAAGTCAATCCAACAACTCAACACAATCGATTCCGCAGTGAAAAGGTCAATTTCATCAATCAACACTATGCCTCTGTCTGGCACTATGCCACTATAATACACTTCCAACGTCGGATCCGTCATAAGCCGGCAGAGCAGCTACAAGACATTGTGTCTGAAGCACTAGCTCATCTTGAAGCAGCTGAAGATGTTGCAACTGAACTCGATGGATGCATTGTTCTTTGGCCGTGCATGGTTGTAGCCACTGAATGCTATGACGAAGAGCACAAAACGCGTGCGCTGAGCTGGTTTAAGAAAAAGGACCGCCATGCATTCGCTAATGTTAGTTTGGCGAGCTCAATCTGTCTCGAGTATTGGAACTGGCGGGACAGGAATCCATCTTGGGCTTTGACCACGTCGTGGCAGGATTTTGTCGCAGGTACTAAGTATGATGTTGTGCCGGTATGAGATAATTTGATCCATCTCTCGATCCATTCGACCCGAATCTTTGGGTAAATAATTATCAAGGATCGAACCATAAAGCTTTGACTACAGAGTCTCGCTAATCATATCCCCAAGATACCAATTAAATTTGCGTGCATAAAGAATCGGTTAGGACTGGTCGGTGCATGTCAACCCGCTCGCTCCGTTAAACGAGCTATGTCTCGGTCTTACAAGATCCGAAGAGCCCCCCAGCTCAACGTGGGTCATGCGAGCGCCAACACATTCAAATTACGCTTGACAATGACTGAGGAATCGTCCGTTTGCCCCCCAAAAGCTTAGTTCCTCCTTCCTTGTCATCGCCTCCAACTCGAGAGTATCTCCATCATGGCCGCCGAACAATTCGACACATCTTGGATGTGGAATCCTGCTTTCATCGAAAAAGCCACGTCTACTGCCGGTCGCTTCGTTCATTTTCGCAAGACATTCTTTGTCAATGCGGAGATACCGACATCGCTTCCGATTCAGATCACGGCTGATACGCGATATAAGTTATACGTCAACAAACAATTGGTCGCATTTGGACCTGTCAAGGGAGATGCGAATCTCTGGTTCTACGATGAGGTCGACATCAGTCCGTGTTTACGTGTGGGAGAGAATCATATTGCGATTCATATCCTTCGACTCTTCCACGGGACGTCGTATGGCACTAGCTTTCCACGTCTGGGAACAGGTGGTGTCAGGATTGCGACTGCTGTCGACGATGAGGTCTGGGCACCGCAGATTCGAAGTAGTGAGTTTTGGCAAACGGCGATAGATCACAGTGTGACTCTTCGTATTGACGACGAGGAGGATGACTTTCTTCATGTATACGAACTGGTCTCTGCATCGCATGATACTAAGTTGGAGTGGATTCCAGCGATACTGCTCCGTTTCCAGAACTCTACTGGTGTCACAGCGCCGTGGAAACTGTCGCCGCGTCTCATCCCGCCGATGAGAAGCCAGAGGTCTTACTTCAGCGCTATTCACAACGTTAAAAGCGGCTTATCTCATGGAGCTTGGAGTGCAGGACTGCTGGGTATCCAGTCTGGAGAGAGTGATCTCTTTCTTCCCGCTCGCTCAAGCCATCAATTCGACCTTGAGACTCCCATCCATACAACTGCTTTTATCCGCTTCCGCTTTGTCCGACCGGAAGTTGGAGGCGCTTGTCTTACGATAACGTATTCCGAAAGTTATGAGAACACTCCAGTAGTCGTTCCATATCTTCGCCGCAAAGGAAATAGATGCGATACAAGCAAGTTCCTCATCGGGCCCATGGATGTTTATACTTTTCGGGGAAAGGATGGGAATCCACGTCTGGGCTACTATGAAGATGAAGAGACGGAGGAAGTATACATGCCTTTTCACTGGCGCACCTTTCGCTTCATGAGACTCAACATCGAGACTGGATCATCTGATCTGATCATGCGCGGCATCGATATAGACGTTGTGAGCTACCCATTGGACGTTTTATCAAACATAAGCACGACCTCAGATGACGGGACTTTAGGAGCGCTGTACAACACGAGTATCAGAACATTACA